TTTAATTTTCCCCCCCTTCCCCCGCTGCAGAATTTCGTCAATAGCGTCCACATTTCAAATGCTACCTAAACCAAACTTTGCACACATAATTTATATATAATTGTCTACTGTTGTTCAAAATTTTATTCAATTCGGTCAATTCTAAGAAAAGTTATTAGCGAAACAAATTCTCGCCAGTACAACCCCCCCAAACTGCAGCAACAAGTTCGCTCTTCTTCTTCCTCTTTTTGCTGCTATGGTGCATATAACTCAGTGACGGAAGTTTACCTGGGTACAGGGTATTACACTGTCGGGCTTGCTCGACTGCAGCGTTCCCTCTTGTTAGTCTTTGGATTGGACAGCAAATGATATATCAATATATAGTCCATAGAAACAAGTCAGTATAACATCGCCTACATTTCAGGGCGTAACAGAGAGGCACCATTTTGTTTTTCCTATCTTACACATCAAATAAAGGCTATATTAAAGCCATGGCCAAAGCTGAATTTCACAGTTAAAGCAAATGATGAAAGGCTCTGGAAAAGTGAACCTATTCCACGTTTACATTTTTAAACAACATTCAGAGAACGATGCCGACTCATTGTAGTGTACACCTGTTTTCATAAACAAAACGTGCTTTTGTGAAGCCAACAAGCTAACAAGCAAGAGAGAACGCTACCGTCGAGCAAGCCCGACAGTGAAATACCCTGTACCCTGTACCCTTTGGTTCCTGTAAACCAAAAGGAAGAAGAAGAGCGAACTTGATGCTGCAGCTTGTGGGCGTAGTACCGGAGCGAAATTGTTTCGCTAATAACTTTTCTTAGAATTAACCGATTTAGATAAAATTATGGTTAATGCAGCTTTTGAAATGTGGACGGTATTGACGAAATTCTGTAGCGGCGGAACGGGGTGAAAATTCAAAAAAGGAGCGTCTGCATACTAAGTTTGGTTTATGTACGCTCAGACGGACGGACGGACATGTCTAGATCGATTTCGCTCGTCATGCTGATTCAGAATATACTTTTTGGGATCGGAGATGCCTTCTTCTGCCTGTTACATACTTTGCACAAACCTAATATACCCTTTTTACCATACGGGTACAGTGTATAAAAACGCATTGCAATATACAAAGTATTTCAGAATATACATATAGTGAGAAGTGGGTGACAATGTCATCGGTAAGATAAAAGGCAATCTTGTCCTTTAGGCACTTATGAAGTCATCGCATTGTTTTGCAAAATGACGACAGGTAATGTCGAAATCAAATCGATACGAAGTTATTGGCAAATAACCAATAAAATATGCCTCCTACGATGTAAACAGCCGTGTCATCAACATGTCGATGGCGTTGTTGTTCTATATATTAAGTATATGTAGTCTATGCTACACACACAATTTACATGTAAACCGTAAATCTACCAACGAATGTGGCAATGACGCTACCACATGGGAAAACTTGATTGTGTGTTTATTTGGAGCGCGCTGGTCCACGGGGAGGGGCCTTGCAAATTGCAACACATTGCAATTACGGAAAAGTCTGTCAACTTATAGAAGGGACAAATACTGACAAGTTACTTGCCTCATTTGTATGACATTTTGAATGACAAATAATCGAAAACTCGGTATCTCGATTGCGAATATCGAAGCCACCAGCAAGTTCCACATGAGGAAGTTCATTCAGACGTAAAAAAACAATGCGAAAATTATTCAACAGGCAATCATTACGTTATACGAATGAGTGCACCGTCATCTCTTTAATTACATATACAATATAGTTCCAAGATGCATATTTCATTATTTCCAATTAAGATGTATTCGTAAACACTCCAGCAAAAAGCCGCTATAATCTGCATAGACGATTCCCGGATTTTACAAATGTACTGATTTAGTGCAATATTGCACCTTTTAGTATTTAAAGATATGTTTAGATCATGTTTAGTCAAAGAGGAAATTAAGTTATCTAGCAATTATTCCTAAACTAGATAGGTAGTTATAGTATCAACAGGGATAATATCAAGTTCGGATTAAAATCGGATTCATTGGGTTAGGCGAGAATTGCTTTATAACTCAAACAATAAAAGGGTACCGTTTTTGAACATCGGACTATTGACTAATACAAGAACTGGTTGAACTTTGTTAGTTTGAAGTTTGGCACGTAAAACAATTTAAATTTGTATCTCAATGAAAAGCAAATAAGTGGCTATATTGTTATTCTGAATTACCCAGTTAAATGCAAAAATGTTGGATAGGTGAGATAATTTCAAATATTAGTAGCATATCCATTAAGTTAGCCGATCAATGACACTATTTTTATTAGTCATATCCATTAAGTTAGCCGATCAATGACACTACTTTTATTAGTCATTTTCCTTTATAAGTTTTCAGCAATACCACCGTCTTGACTCTTTGTTTTTGTTTAGCTGACCGTAAATTCGTTTTCAAGTACATCGATGACAATCTTTTCAATTTTTCAGCAAGTTTTGTGAAAAACAATTCCCCATAGCTACACAAAATTGTAGGCAGCACGCGATGTAGATTGGGAGTATGTGTACAGCCCCGGCATATGGTAAACAACCAATGAAGCGTAACGAAATTCTATAGTCGAGTGGAATCAAATCTTAAATACCCTGTACCCACTCCAACAAGAACAAAACAAAACAAGTAAAAAAGCTAAAGTCGGGTGTCCCGACTTTGAAATACTCTACATATGTTTAGAATAATTATAGAAATTAAAAAAATTAAGAAAATTAAAAAAAAAAATGTTGATCGATTGTATAGCGTACACACATAAAGCATCTTTGTGCAAAATTTGCTGTCTCCATCTCTTATAGTCTCTGAGATCCAGGTGTTCATACGGACGGACAGACGGACAGACAGGGCTAGATCGACTCGTCTTGTCACGCTGATCAGGAATATATATACTTTGTGGGGTCTGCCACGCCTCCTTCTACCTGTTACATTTTTTAGCTCCCGAATGACTTGGCATGCAGACATATAATCACTAAAGGGATGTAATTATTTAGTTCGAAATTCCAAAAATTACAGGGGTTATGGAAAAAACACGAATTGCGGGGAAGTGGGGGGTGCATCGAAAAAAAGCTCAAACTCGTACATTCTCGGAATTAGAAGAATCTGGATACCAAGTTTGGTTATTCTAGCTCTTATACTTTCTAAGATACATATACTTTGGGTGGCCTGCCACGAATCTTTCTGTGTGTTACATACATTTGCAAAAAACTAGTATACCTTTTCGGTATAGGGTATACAAATTACATATGTATGTACATGTACATATATATGTCACCACATCGGCCATGGAAAGAATTCGCGAGGGACCGATTTCCCTTTTGGATCGAGGGTTCGTTTCTATGCACATATTTATACGGACCCCTATATACATACTTACTTGTTGTTTGGCAATTGAAAGCAAAAGTGACGAAAATTAAAAACAAATTGAAGAGGCTAACATTATAGGGGGCTGTGCCAGATGGTGATGGCCATTTTGGCACTTACACAATGTTTAGGTTGGTTTTCTGCATAAATAAGCTGAAACGATGACGAATGTTTTTCGCAATAGTTTTTGAACATAATATAAATATAGAATATACGATATGTGCATATGCTTGTTTTTCTCCTTCTTTTTTTCAGTTTTGAAACATTCTAATAAAATTGAAGAATTCATTTGTCTTTTTAATTCAATGAGCGGTGTTTATTTTGGACACTGACGTCAATAATTTTTTTACAGCCTCCTCTACCTTTCATATAAAGCTTTTATTTATGTAATTATAAGATGCATTTATTTACAATTGGCTGCCTTTGAGTCATTTCTGGGGAACACATATAAGTAAGATTTAAACAACTTTTCGTATTAACATTGTTAAATGCACATGATTCACAAACAATACATACAAGTACATACAGGTATATGTATGTACATATGTATGTACATACATATGTATGTACGCAAGTGTTAATGACGCACACAGTACTATTTATGAATCAGACGACATTTTCGAGTTGCAAGCACTCTTTAGATAACAATAATTACCTCCAGCTGGCAATTTGTGCTTATTTTCAGCAAAATAATTAATTAACATATCCCCTTGCGCTCGATACAATTGTCAACCAAATGCACTGCCACATTGAATTGAAACTAATGGAAGGTGCACCAAAACAAACCCATTTGCATTGGGCGATCGAAAGGAATATGGCGGAGAAACAAGAGCACAAGCGCAAAACACAAGATAAAAACAAAACATGAAAAATCTAGTTTGAACAAAATTTAACGGAAAGAACAATAAATTGACAACAAAAACAACACACTGCAATGACTACATAAAAGTATTTATGTATGTAAGTATGTACATATGCAAGTGTGCACCAAAAGTGGAGAAGAATTAATGACGTGAAGTGCAAAAAAAAAACAACAAAAATAATAGAAAAGATGCCGGCGCTGTTGCCGCCAAGTGGCATAGACAAACGCGATTTTATTGTAGTTTGTTGTATGTACTTGTATTTGAATTTGTTCACATTTGAATGAACGTTTATTTAATTTTTCACTTTTGGTCTCTTTATTACTGTGTTGCTATTGTTAGCAACGCTTTTTTGATTTATCTTTTTTTTTCCTTGTGCTTAAACAAGTTTTGATTGCAATCTGCGTTTTGATGAGACAATTGCCTTTCAAATCACATTTGGCAAATTCTATTAAATACACTACACACACAGAACGTGTTTCACTTCAACATACACGTACATGTATGTATATACATACATATGTACATATATTTTAATATATATTTGTATATAGTATGTGTGTAAAAACCGCTTTTTGGCTTTATGTGCACCAATAATTTAGGTCACAACGTGTCAGCACTAAAAGCTTAGCTCAAGCGAAGCTTAAGCTGTTGCGGCGGCGCAAAGCGTTGGCGAGCTTTTGTATACAGTATGAATGACAAGTAACAGCAAACTTGATCTGTTTTCGAAATATTATTTTATATTGGAGCTAAACCGCAGAAACGTACGATTCATTGCCTGCCGATTTGTAACCAGTTCATGCGCGTACTCGCACCGAGCTGTAGTCTACCATCGGTCGACGGCGTTCCGCAAGTGACTGAGAAATATATATGCGAGAACCTTCGTCGCTGGTCAGGTGGTCTCTCAATAAATGGGCGCGCTCTCGCAAATAAACACATGTGCTGTTTGTGGAAAACCGCGCGGTATTAGGTATGGTAGACAGAAAGAAGGTATGGCATTAAACGCTGCAGCTTTTTTACTCACTGGGAGCGAGCGGGCGAAAAGTATAAGTGCTCTGTCCGTACCGGTGCGACTGGCACACAGTGGCTACACCAAAACACGGCCTTCATAGAATCAATTGCGCACCAAACTACACACATTATCGCTAATCCACAAAGTATTATGACGCAAAAGAAAACCAGATATGCGCATAACTTTTAAGCCTATGCGATTACTATATTTGCTGAGTTTGGGGAGTACTGCCAGACCTTAAAAATGCACCCATGCAAGAATGTAACACTTAGTTACTTATTAATCTTACCTTATTCCAGACATCATAAAGCAAAAAACTTACCTGCAAAAAATAAAAGAATACCCGTCAGAATGGTAAATTATTAGATGTGACATTTACATAAATATTTACGTACATACATACACATGTATGTACATAAATATGTACATATGTACATACATGCCATAGTAAATTTTTTCTTATGTTATCAAAAAAAAAAAAAATGAAATGGTGAAGAGGGCTCAACGCTTACATACATTAAATTTAACTAATTAAATAAAATCAATAACAATAAAAATATACATAACACGTGCAAAAAAACTAAACATTTTTTGTAATTTTTATAAAACAATTTTTTGTAATATAAAATTTTCATTCATTCACATTTCTCTTTTCTTCAGTTGGATAATATAAATATAAATTTTAATTCCTTTATAATAAGAAATATCAATAAAATACGTCTAATAAATTAAACGAACAAAAATAGGAAAACGATTTCAGTATTTTAAAAATGTATACAACTTAGTTAACATAACATAGTTAAAAATATAATAAAAATAAAAAAAAAATAAATATTGTCAGAAGTGGGATTCGAACCCACGCCCTCAGAGAGGACCAGAACGCTCATTTACCCTCGTTCAGAAGGCAAGACTTAACATCTTGAGTCTGGCGCCTTAGACCGCTCGGCCATCCTGACATGTATTCGAGTTCTGTCAAATGTTAAACTAAAGCGGCAGCACTTTTTACATAACAAACAATTCAATAATGTTACATAACAGTGTGCATTTAAACAATTTGTTCATTCTGTTAAGTACAAAACTCTGTAACTTATTCTTCTATATAACATTTGGAACAGCGATGTAGCATGGCCCATTAGCTCAGTTGGTTAGAGCGTCGTGCTAATAACGCGAAGGTCGCGGGTTCGATCCCCTCATGGGCCACAGACTTTTTTTTTTCTTCCCTACAACTTATAAATACAAAGCAATCCAAATATTAATAATAAATTTAAGATAATAAAATTGGATCATTTTTGGGTTAGTTGGTTTAGTAAGCAGCGGACATGTTGCGAACATTACACATATACTTGTACTATACGACATTAATTTAATCGAAAACAAAACTATGATGTTTGCATTTGCAACACTTAAAATGCATTAACGGGACATTATCGCCATCTTTTACTCCTTTTGTTATTCCATTTAAATCACATAATTCACCTTGCGTTAACATTTAGTAGATTTTTAGCTGATTGCTATGATTGATTTTTCCTTGAAAGATAATTAGAAGCTTTTCCTACTTTTGGACATGTTTTTAAATAAAGTATAGTATAACATGCATGTGGGGCTTTCACATGAAATATTGACCAGGTTATTAAACAAAAATTGTGTTCCTTTAATCTGGCGTAGAGTTGCTCTTTTGCTTTTTGCTATTTACTTCTGATTTTTTACTGAGCCAAAAATTATTGCTGTACTATATGCTCTAGCTTTTGGCCTTTGGGCTTTTTACAAATGCATATGATGTGATTGTGTGTATGTGTGAATGTATTTTTATAACGAAGTAAGCTTTGCGTTTAAAAGTTAAAATTTGGGTTGAACGTCTGCGGCTTACTTAGATTTAATTATACGCATACTAGCATACATACATGCATACTTTGGGAAACTGAAGGCCTGTTTTCCCCCCAGCGTGCCGGAAGCACAAGCAAAGTCGTCAACTCACACAGATAGTATACGTACTTACTTACATTTGCGCTAAAACGCATTTGCACACGCCCCGGGTGGAGAATGTCACCGACTGAAGCTCAGTCCCGTTGGGTTAATACTCCCCATGCAGTGCACATTAAGATTTCATGCCACCACCACTACCACCTCAATGCCCATCATGCCCCTGCCGATGTGATGATGTAATGACTCCCAAGTTAACAAACGATGATCTCACAAGTAATGACCTCCTTAAATGTAAAGAAATCATCAAATGTCAATTCGGATTGCTTTTTATCTACAGGATTGATTGAAAAGTTTTAAAGGCATGGGAAAATTGCAGACGCGCCCAACAAACAATGTCACATTAACTACCTAATGTCTAGTGATTCAATTTAATTATCCAATTCTCGCTAAAATGATTTTTTGTTCGTGTCTCTGACCTTTGAACTGATTGTCACGCAATAGTCGAACAACTGCAACTTATTGGTTAAGTAGCTAACTAGGTAAATATTAGGCTTATTTAGTTTCCAATTAAAATCGAATGTACCCTTAACAGTTAACCTTGGAAGTGCTATTTTATATAACTACTTTATTGAAATAACACTTGTGATGCCAACCACGCAATCCTTTTTTGATTTCCTATTTATTTTTGATTTACCAAAATATTTTCCAATTATATGTACACTCAGGTCATAATATTAAAAATGTCGCACAGCTGGTAATTTACACTGGCGCTGTTATTTGAAAAGTGCTGTTAAATTCTATGAAGCTAGCTGCTCTTTTAGCTACAGTCAAGTAACATGTCAGGATGGCCGAGCGGTCTAAGGCGCCAGACTCAAGATGTTAAGTCTTGCCTTCTGAACGAAGGCTATTATGAGCGTTCTGGTCCTCTCTGAGGGCGTGGGTTCGAATCCCACTTCTGACAACAGTTTTTTTATGAATTAAATTTTAAAATTTGCAACAAAATGAAATTTTGTAACTGCGTTTGCTGTCAAATTTTACAGGCAGATGAAAGATTATTTATTTTCAAAAAAATCTTCATATATCTGTTTATATTTTTTAATACTTAATCTAAGAAATATGAGCAACGAAACCCCTATATTTGCGACTGCACAGCAGATGCCTCTCAAAACAATTCTCGTCACCAAGCGAAATGGTGAGGGTGATGGGTTCAAAAAGCCTACAAAGACCGTGACCTTCAAACGCTTCGTAGAATACTACACCTACTCCGACAAATGGAGCCTAGAAAAGACGTGCTTTCTGTTGGACGAGGATATGGTAAGTTTTACAAAGCTCCAAATTAACATGAAAATAACATTAATTTTTAAAATACTAGCAACTACTAAAACCATTCACAACCCTACAAGATGATGAATCTTAAAATTCCGACAATGTTGGTAGCAAACTTACACAATTGTTCATATTTCGACTGTAACCTCTCACACAATATCTTATACAAGTAAGCTGTAATTCACATTAGTTTAGTTGCTGTTCAATACTGAAATAAATGTATGCGTGCGTATATTTGCTTATTAATTTTTCAGAAAGGCATTCGACCGCTGCCATGGGCAGAACGGGATAGCACGTGCCAAAGGGTTGGAAGTGCCTGCCACAGTTTTAACCTAATTGGCAAGCATACAATTTTGTACTCTCGTTTTTATTACGGTTTCGTTTTGCATGAGACGGGGCCAAAAAGGTGTTTGGCATTGTCGGCGGCCTGTTGACAGCGGGCGGCCGGAAGGAAATGACGGAAGTAACGGAAGTGGCGCCGCTGCGACTTAAAATTACTTTTACATTACCATTACCTATCCGAGCTAGCCAAGTCAAGCCAAGCCCAGCAAAACCCACAAGAACCCAGACAGCCGATGTCAGTGACAGGCCAACATTATGACAACGTAATAAAATATTATTAAATGGACAAATGGAATCATACATACTTAGATTGAGATAGGGAGCGGAGTGTGGAGTGCAATTTTAGTCTCACATTTAAGTGCATTGCCGCACAATATGCGATAATTCAATAATATCGGTCCCGTGCCCTCACAAATACAATTTTTATGCCACACGCGTACAATACTCACTCTACAGCTGTCAGCCCCATTGGGGCAATGGAAGGGGCTGACAGCAATGACAGTTGACTTTAAATCAATAACGTCTGCAATAAAGCATTTCTCTTTGACTTCAATAACGTATAATGAAGACTGATAGCAATGCTTTATAATCAGCACTAAATGCATTACAGAAAAAATTTACAACGAGCCTTCAACTCTCCACCTGCGCATTAACAATTGGAAAACCCTATTAAATTCGAAACATAACATATAGGTACAAATCAAAACAAATGGCCATATCGGCACGTCACTTCAAGTCCATGATAATTCCTAATGTCGCAAGTAACGACCTCTCTATATAATGGAATTCGAAACAACATTAATGCCTGGATAGTAGTCTAGATACACGTACAGTACTTTGGCAGATTACAATCTCAGTAACGGTTAGCCAATATATTCTTTTCCCTTTTCTTTCTCGACCTAATAATGATTCGAACTTTTGATTCGGAGGAGCCTATCGCAATTGTGGACATCCACATACATTTTCTGCTAATACTCAAGATTTAGCCGACCGCAATTCTTAGCATTAGAGCATTTTAATGAGCTCTTTCACTCAAGTAGAATTATGCATCTAAGATACGTCAAAAATAAATAGTATATGGAGAAATATAAACACTGAGCCATAAAAGATAAATATTATGTATGTGAGAAGTATATACATATATAAGCTAATCTTTCGGAACATTAATGAAACTAATTGTTAAGAGCTGCCGTAAGCCGAGGCCCCAAGCGTTCACTTCGTTCATATTCTTTTTGTTTTCCCCATTAACCTGTTCTCCTAAGTTATTCATTGGTCATGCGTAATGGCTATATTATTTGATTGTTTTTCGAGAAATGTGTTTAATTAGTGGTAGAAAAAAAGATACATTACTTTTTTAAACCCATACACATATACATAACATACATATGCAGAATCCATAAACACATGTACTATTTAAGAACCAACACTTTATAAGCAGATTATAGTCCCATAGCTCTGTATTAATTCATTCACTCACGCGAATCGATATGGTTGGCGCCAGCAAGTCTGCACTTCGGTTTAGTAAACAATGGGAGCGTCTTGATGGCGCATACTTAAATTTTTGGCGAAGCTTAAGTCTGCTGTGGGCGTGTTTTTTGAGTGTGTCTGCCTGCGTTGGGTCTGTGAACCTGTGCAAGGATGTTTTATGCATGCCTTTCAATAATATGCTAAACAACAAAAATTTGTTTGGCCAAGACGTCTGAAATACAAATGTGTCGCTTTGTCAAAGCCAATGGCAGCTAGAAACTGCAATGGCCAAAGGAAAAGCCAACAGCAAACATGGCACAATCTCTCCCCAAATGTGTATGTGAATGTATATCAGGCATACGTAGGCTTTAAACTGACTAATACCAACACGAAACACTCTGGCTCAGAAGCAGAAGCAGCCTCAGACTGACCTACATACAAATGATAGAGTAGGGCCAGATGTATATGTGTGCATGTATGTGTATATATTTTCAACAATGGAATATAAAATGGCGACAATATGCAGAAGTATTTTTGTCTGCGACTTAGCTTTAAGCCTAAGAAATCCCTCCAATTGAGAATTGACATTTTGGAACACAATTTGTTAAACAACCGCCACTCCAGGTCCTAAATTGGTTTGAGCAACAACCACCCAATGGCTCCAATCATATAGCCTATGGAACTTTTCTAATTTTGTTTTTAAAACATTTTATTTTAAATAATAATTATTATTAAATGCTGCTAATTTTCGCTTCACACACATAATAGTAATCTCCAAAATTATTCAAAAATTATGTCAAACCATTTATTAATGGGCTTCGATTACCAGAAATTTGTGCCCTACACAAACTTCTTAGAACTGCATAAAGGTCGTTTTCTACAAGAATATTCTAAAAGGCACTCTTTTGGAATATATCGATTACTTTTTCTTCAAATAAATAAATAAATTTTATCGAGAACTAAAAAAAACTTGATACATATTTTATCTGGAAAGAACTAAGTCGCTTACTTCTGTTCTTATGAATCCAGCAGACTGCCGGGAAAATATAAAATCAACTGTTGCATTTTGAATTTAATTCCTTTCACCTTTCCTTAACTTAAGCCGAATTCATAACATCACTGGTTAGGTATAAAATGTTACTTCAATTAAAACACATATGCATTGATTTTGATGTGGTGTTGAATGTTGTTTTAAGTTCATTCAAGTTGAAGTAGTTTATTAGGACACTCAGATCCATAGAATTGTGCCTAATGTTCGGCTAAGGTACTGCTAGCCCTATTTGGAATGCCTTTGTGGTCGACATCGTAGCTCCCTAATTTCTGTGGGCCTGGATTTCTTTTGGCTATAATATTAATCTGTAGATAGCTTATAGTGTGCCATCAGTCTATAGTTGGAGGCCGGAGGTAAGTCGTTTAGACAATGCTCAGTAATAACAAATTTTATAGAATGCGTAAAGTTTTAATCTCAGTTATTCCTTTAATGTTCCACCAAACCACTTATTATTAAGTTTGAAAAAAATGTTAAATTGTCCTAAAACGAACAGGTGATCACAGATTCCCAACTTCTAGAAGTGGACTACAGCTTCTTAGCCTCATCAACGACCCAAGACTTCAGCTGAGCCACATCGGTATAGACACCCGGATACTTAGTCTGGGCACATCCTGTGCCCCAAGATACCAAGCCTACCAGCTTGTTATTCGATACAAGCGGTCCGCCGGAATCTCCTTGGCAGGCATCCTTATTGGTTTCCGCGGCACAGATCATGGTGTCCTTTATTTTAGAGGCATAACCATAGCGAGAGCCGGCACATTCCGAACGACTCACAATATGAGTATTAATGTACAGAAGTTTGGACGCATATGGTCCGCCGTATGAGGTTGTGCCCCAGCCAGAGCAAGTGGCAGAAGCCCCATTTGCAGGTGTAGCGTCGGCTAAGGCTATACTCTTCATGGTGCTACCACTAAGATTCAAAGGCGTTTTCAAACGCAAAATTGCGATGTCGTACATTTTGGTACTGGTGCTATATTGCGGATGAATCTTGAACGCGGCTACATCGGATAATGTACCCAAATAGAAGTGGTAACTGGATCCGGCGCGCACTCTCAGAACGGACGGCGTAACAGTATTAGGCAGACAGTGGGCAGCAGTTACTATGATAGTATTACTATAGATGGCACCACCGCACGAATGGGAGCCCCAGCGCTGTAAGGATACCTGCCAAGGATGCGCGTTTATTGTAGTCGCCGAACCGCCCACGATGCGCCCTTCTATATTTTGGGGAAGTAGGCCAGTGGGTAAGGCAGCGCCTTGGACTAGCGTAATTGGGACCAGAACCAAAATTGCAAGTGGAAGGAACATGTTGATTCCGATTCTGTAGCTTGTTATGACTGACCAACTGCGTGGCATTGAGCCACTTATATAGGCGGAAAATGTTGAAAATCTTTATTATATCTTTATTGCCGTTGCATTTTAGAAAAATCAATCCTTTGCGCATGTGCCATAAATTTCATATTTATATCAAAGGGCCATAATTCCACCACTTGAAATTAAAGTAAAAGCACTTACCACTATTGGGAGCTACCATGTATACTCGTTCTGATAAAGGCTTTTTAACTTTATCAATAATAAACCGTATTGAGAACGTAGTGGAAGCTTTATGACGATTTGTAAACTTTAACAGGATTTCGTATTTATGAATGAATATACTACGCAGGCAGCTATAAATACATTCTAGTTTAATTTTTCAACACCCAATATTTTCTAAAAAACTTAAATACTTTATAGAACCAACTTGATATAGTCGTAAGTAAAGAATCAGTAGGTCTAACCAATTGAATAATTCAATAAGGGCTAACCCATTCACTGTTTTGCCCCAAAAGTCTTTACAGCAAAGGAATACTAGATTTGAGTGAGATCAACTATTAAATACCCTGTATCCACTCTAACAAAAATAAAAAATGTAATTTTTTAATCAACATTTTAAAAAAAATTTCATTTAATAAAATTATTTACATAAAAAATATATAACTTGGAGTCCCACAGTTTCAATAGAACACATTAACATAAATATTGTGTCTTCGCCCTTTGTCACAGGACTATTCACAATCTTAAATGATTCATTGCAGAAATATAATGTATATGTATGTATGTATATATGAATATGTTGAAAGTTTCTTCTTCTTCGCTTCAATAATTTACCAATCGATTTATCTATCTATGTATGACTGCTTAAAATCCGGAGCATGAGCATATTGAGAAAAACTTTTTACCGATCGAAGCTGAACGCGACAATTTACTTGTAATTTGAATTTGAAATGGATAAAAGTTTTGGAAGGTTAGGAAATGGCATGCATTCGAGGAATAGGAAACAAGCAATAGTCGATTCATGCAAAGCTTGAAGCACAAAGCATTTGGCGCCGGAAAGGGATTCAGTGGCGGGAGGTAGACCGAGCTGGCCACACTCACCTTCGTACTCCGTGCGCTTTCTCCGTAGAAACGAGGCGGTCATGCGTAAACCACGCGCTGCCAAAGTGGAGACTCGACTGTGCCCGCTCTGTCTAGACAGTATGGAACCTTTAGAGCCCTTACGATTACATGACTTACGTCTTGTATTGCCGCCATCTGGGCGGCCATCCCCATGACACGGTTTCGACTCCTGACGCTGCAAGCCACCACACACTGATGTCGCTGCCGATGTTGACGGCGGCGTAATGGGTGTGTTTGGCGTATTGGGAGTATCGGAGTCAATGAAGCCGAGATTGCTGTTGGCACTATTCAAATGTATACTAGTGTGAGTGCCGCCGCCACGACTGCCACAGAGCGTCACGCTTCCGCCACTTCCTCCACTGTAGGTGGCACTGTTGGAGACGGAGAGAGACGCTGCCGGCGTCTGACAGGCCGTCGGCAACTTGCCCGCAAATGAGGCCGCCAGTTGCTCATCCAGGCCGTTGGTCGTTTCCCTTGTCAAATGCTCCAGCGATTCAAAGTCACGATTAACAGCCGGCGGCATGGAATGGCGAAACCATGACTCCTGGCGGTGCTGTGCCACTCGCTGCTGACGCCTTCGTTGGCTGGTAGTGTTGCTGTTACAGTTGTTGTTGCTCTTATCGTGGCTCCAACTACTCCTATTGTTCCTCCTGCCGCTGTCAAGTGTGCTCAGGAGATTTGTTTGATCCTGATTGCGCAGCTCCAGACTCTGACGTTGCTGAATTCCAGACATGATACCGCTTTCCTCCATTTAATTTATTATTTGTTATGGTTTGTTATGTATTGGTTCTGATTCCTAAGGCACTTGTTCAAAGTCTGTTTGTAGTTTTGGGCTGTTGATAGCGCTGTTTCTTTTCGGCACTCGCAACAAGGCACATATTTAATAGTTACGCAATTCAGCTGCTTGCTTTGGCATTTGTCAACTTATTAGTCATTTGTGTGTGTTTTAATTTAAGTGCGAGTTTGTTTTCTGGTGGGCTTTACTTCGGGCTCTTACACTAACGTCGCACACTTCCGAGCCGGCTCTAGCCTTGAACTCGTCACAGGTGTTGAGAACTGAAACAACTGACAAAACAGCTAAGTGCTGGAAACTATCATTCAACAACCCCGTCAATGGCTGTCATTTCATTTTGTTCTACTTAGTTTCACGAACCGTTCGTTGGAAATTCTATGTATGTGCATAGTTTTAAGCTGGCCCCTTGAAAATATATTAAAAATTTATTTCATTTCTGCCTTTTGAAGCGTACTACAGTCACGCATATGCATATAAAAATAGGATCGCAAACACTAAAAGGCATTCGAGTAGAAATAACTTTCCGACAATTTTGTATTATTTACCTGAAACTCCCAGTTCTAAGGATAACTATTTATTGTCGAAAACAACTTTCTATACCTTTGGATTTCAAATTCTTAAGCAAACATGTACATTTCTCACTAAGTATCCAGAAACTAACAAGTTTTTATAATTCATACATTTATTTTTTATTCCCAAGTGTTCGGTTTGAAGGCGCGAAGTTGTTTTACGGTCTGAAAGTATACGGGTCTTAGTAATTTTTTGGAAAATGTTTAGCTTTGTAATGCGGCTATTTTATAAATTTAAAACAAAAACTACTAATGAAAAATACGCGTTGGGTGAAAAACAAGACCCTAATATAAAATAGGTTTAAAAATAAAGGAACTTAAATCGTCAGAAACATGTTTGTAGATTTAAGACAGAAACATGTAGAACTAGTTATTTTTGAGGATGATACTTTTCATTTTAGGGCGACTATGAGCCTTTTTTTGCATCTCCGATCCTATGAACTATATATTCTAAATCAGAATGATAGGACGAACCTAACTTGACATGTCCATCCGTCCACCTGGATGAATACCTGAATTTCGAATCCCTAGGCAACATAGATTTGTTTTATTATTTTCCCTTCCCCTGGTACACAATTTTGTCATTACTGTCTACAATTCCAAAGTTGCATAAAATTAAGAATATGCACTAACATCACAAAATTCCAATTGCTATATTGTTCAAGACTTGCAAGTAGAAAAACTTTTTAACATTCTATCATAAATAGCTAGACTAACACGAAATTATGTGTCTATTCGAATGCATGTCAGAGTTAATGTACTTATGCCTATAAATGCATCTACTTGTACATAAATGTAGGTTGATTTGTCTGTGATGGTTGTATGTGTTGAGCGTCACTAATATTTTGCAATTAGCACGTTGAGCCGTAAATCACAGGCGGAACGAGAAGTCCAAAGACCGCCTAAAAGCAGGCAATGCTAATTTCCAACTGCAAAACTGTGAAATTAGCGACACTGCACAAACCGGCAATACGTGCCTGTGGGCCTAGGAATGAGCCTGGCAGCTAGCGAGCCAGTTAGGCAGTCAACCAGTTAGGCACAGAGTTCGCGTCACTGCCTTTGCCGTGTCTGTGCTCGTTCCCAAGCCTGTTTACAAAGTTAATTAAAGCTTATGGCGGCCAATGTGTATGACTTTATTTTGAGCGCGATTTTGTGTGTGTATCCGAGTGTGTGTGAGGCATTGTAACTTTTGATTTTGTATACGGCGTATAAGCAATTTAACGAACGCAGTGGTGCTGCATTCATCGCCCCACAGAGCACGTGGCAGTGCGTTAATCCACTGACAATGGAAAAAAAAATAGTGAACGGATAGACTGCGGCAGTTCACATGCTCTGATTCTGGCATTTGTACATTTAGTTCACAATTCGCCCCGAGAAATATAAAAATATAAAACAAGGAGAGCACACGCCAATTACTGGCTGCCACTTTTGGGCCACTTTCCGCCACTTATGTACTCGTATGTTGCCAATGCCTACTTAGTTACAACCTTCAACTTATTGAACAGAGCGATTGTGTGAAAGTTATGGCGGTACATATATGATTGTGGGTGTAAGTTAAGGTCTGTTCGTCTGCTCGCCCGTGTGCATCGCATGCAGTTCTTAACCAACTCGACTGAAGATATCTGGCTATTTATGGCTAGGGCACCTCAATATGCTTTTGCCGATAAACCGATGCGAAAAACATATTTATTTTGCTGCTTTGTTTTTATTAATGTTTTCTTTTTGCGCAATATTTCACACTTGGCAGCCGTGTGGAAGGTTTTAGGAGTAAATATCCGCGAATTGACGAAAGTTTTGTATAATTTCACATTGTCACATCTCACTCGTTTCAATTTGTTTGCGGACCTAAAATACGTCCGCCGCACACGAAAGCCCAAGCCCAACTGCGGATCCTCCACAGAGATAGATACCAACGAAGTTCCCATCGTGCTCGTGCCTGCTCTCGTCAGTGGCTGTTCATATAATTCGTCCTTCGGTTCTTCACGAATATGAAGTGAAAGTAGTTGGGATTGTGCAAAATGGGTTGTTTCCTAGTATGAGAGGGGAGTGGGGGACTGGTCTGTTTGTGTGGCGGACTGTAAAATGGCAAAATGTTTTTGAAACTGTCTCTGTCGCCGCCACCGCCTGCTGTGTTTATACATATGAATGTATGTACATGCACACACACATGCGTATGTATTGTATTGTATTTTTATATGAGTGTATGTTAGTTCGCCCTTGCGGCTGCCATCGCTACATACGAGTACAACACCAACAACAAACACAAAAAAACTTAATTTGCACATGCTGTGAATTTTACAAAACTGCCGTCACGCCTACTTTTGGATAACTTCTGGCACGTACATACATAGGTGGGCGACTTGTGCTTGAATGGCCGAACTATAATGACTTTTAATCTCAGACTTGTATTTGATGTGCAGTTCCATTTTTTCTTAAATAGCACAATAACAATAAAAACTTTTATTTTTAAATTTTAAATGTGTTTAAAAAAGGATCTCAGGAAGTAGAAGAGCAAGAATGTTAAAATTGTACTTCATCTGTGCATTAATGACTTCACTCATACATATACAAGTACATGCACATAAATGCTTCTTCAATTAAAAAAATTTTAAATTGCAAAAATACGAAATATATAATCATTTATTAATATGTAGATATGCATATAAACCATATAAACCTAGCATTTAAAAATATTATTTTTTGTTCCCATGGATATGTAGAATTTTTAAACCGCTAACAACATTTAACATTGGAATAACATATATATATAACATATCATGTTATTTGATATGCATCTGTAGCGAATGTTAGCCACATCTTCTGTTACGGAAGTAACAATTTTTTTTAGAAAATGTTACTAGGTATCCAATGAGAGGCATTTTCAGTTGTAATGCGTTTTTAATTTTTGTTATGTTGAAGTTATACCTAATTTTAAAAGCATACCGAAAAATAATATACTTTAACAGATGCTCTTATTAGCTGTTTTTAAAAAGGTGCCATAAAATCAAACAAGCGTTTGGAAGCCCATATAGTATGCGGCCCATTAGCTCAGTTGGTTAGAGCGTCGTGCTAATAACGCGAAGGTCGCGGGTTCGATCCCCTCATGGGCCAAATTCTCTTTTTTTCGTTAAGACTCCTGTTATTTAGGAAAAACAACAAAATGATTTTAAGTGCCGTAATGTACTCAAAACACGCAACTCATGAGTTATGTAAAATCATCACATATGTGAAATTTTAACATACGACTGTATGTACTACTTTATTTTAAAAGGTATTTAAACTTCGCTGATTTTATGACTAAAATAAATATATATTTACACGTATTTATTAAAATGTACTTGTAAAGTTCCACATTTATAGCGCGGCATGCAATGGTCTAAAAGCAAAATAGTGTTAATTATAGAAAATGGGCGTCTTTGTGTGACGCACAGTAAATGGGTATCTTATACGATAAATTAATATTTAAGTATTTAAGCCAGTATATGAATATTGATAAAAGTAACTTAACTTTTTCAGTGAAAGTCCTGCAAAATCCCTTTTAAAATAGCAACACCAAAAACAAGGAATTCGTATTCACTTATGCTAATGCTAATGCAAAATTGTAAACATACTCGTATTAACTCACATGGCTGCAAAAGTCCCGGTTCAACAAATTCATTGCGCCTTTGGGATCGTTGTCTTTCGGTTGCACCCCCGCCCACATAAGCAACAGTTGTCCCTTCGTCATCGTCGTCATCGTCTTCTTGCAACTGGTAGGATAGGCGCGACACAGTGGACGAGGGCATTTGATATTCTTTATGTGGGGGCCGCAAGAACCATAAAACAAAAGGCAACGAAAATTAAATGCGCCGTTGTCAGGCTTCACCTGCTGACACACGATTTATTCTTTCAATTAGCTAGCTGCAAACGACAATTTTCACAATATGTATTTATGGTATGATTTGTTGTTGCTTTCACATGATTACGCGCACAAAGAGTTGAGTTCTACGTAGGGCTTCTTATTTCATTGCAATTAATTGATAAGCACCCAAATACAAACACAACAATAATAAAAAAATACAATTTTAACTAGCTCTGTGCAGAGACGACTTCCGCTCTACACATGTTGCTTTGTTTATTTTTATTTATATGGACTTTAATTTAGAACCGTTATTTTGCGATTTTATTCTAATGTATAATAAACAAAAATTTCAGTATAAAAAATCGGCAACAAAATAAAGTGCGCTACTGCTTCGTTGGAAAAAATATTATTCAACACTGATTTTGCAACAGAAAACGCATCTGGCAATGCTGCACAAGCATCTGTTCTACTTTCAGCGTTACTTTTGAAACGCAACTCGATCCCAATAAAATGAAAAAAAAAAACGTCACAAAAAAGTATTCGCAAAGGCATTATATTTTTAAAACTCATTAAAAAATAACTTCTTTAGTCCTATATAATTTCACTTATATATTAGGCATCTTTACAGCTTACTAAAAGTTTTAAATGAAAAACATAAACGTGTGCTATACATATTACACATTATTCGTACATTGTTTAAAATAATACAGAACAAATACATTTTTATAGTTTGATTCCATTAATACATTTTGATAAGTATAGTTCAAACAATTATTTCAACATCCGTTTCGATGACTAACTGAAAATTAAGCAAGCAAATCAAGAAGTTAGGCAAATATAAGCATAATTTAAAAAATATCAACTTTCATCCGCTTAAACAATGTTTAAAACCACAAGTTCAAGCACTGTAGAAACAAAAATTTATTTTATATGGACGAGGTAATAGCGAATCTTTGTTAGTTCTTTTTTCGCTTTATGAATCAAATACTAATGATATGGCAAGATAATATACACATGTTTTGATAACAAATTCATTAAATTTAAATCGAAACGACTTAGAAACAATTCCCATAAAAGGTTAAAATGAGTGACTATTTACAAATGTATGTATTTTTTTATATATTTAGTAATGAATGCGCATTTGAGGATCATTCAATATTAAAACTGGGTAGGATGGGCGAATATTCGGGGGGCTTTTTGGCCTTATTGTTAACTTGTGAGTGAGTGGAAATACATGCAGTTAGTATTGAGATATTTAGCACATTAGTTTGTCAATGTTGCGCACAGCTTTTTAAAGTCCCTAAACAGTCTTCGGAAAATGCATAAGGTATTTTTTTGTTTAAATGTTATCGTCATACGTACAAATTAACATGTTGATTAATGGAAATTATATGATAAATTGGTTTCGGGCATGTCTTTGTTAACTTATGTGCTTATGATAATGCAAGGTGTTTATGAGCTAGTGCTGATGTTTATGCCAGACCATATGTTATAACTCGTTCTCCATGTTGGATCGAACATTACGCAGTACATTGTGGGTTTTAAGTATTTGATTTTTAATGTCTTTTTCAACTTGTGCTTTTGCTTTGTTAGCCAGACGTAATTTTTCATAGGTGTCTTCAAATGCGCGCTTGGTGCGTGTTAATTTGCGACGCAATTCAGCATTTTCTTGATCTACCTTGGCACAATCGTGTATGGCTGAAGCAGCATCGCCGCCGCCGATATTCGATTTATCTGGAAATTAAAATTAAAATAGCGTTTTAACAAATGTATATATAATATAATTACATTATCATGTAATATAAAAATTTGGTGCCCTTGGAATTGAAATAATATGACATTAACTACTACGAATATTTTTTAGATGCAAAACTGATTCTCTAACAATAAACGAATGCGATTGACCGACTATTAAATCTCCTAACTAAAATTAAATGTCCCTCACATATTTAGTTTCTTTTAACGTATTTGTTTTTAGTTTTTGTTTGTTAGTGTATTTGACCACTTCTAGCTGTAAATCAGTTTGCTGAAAAGAAAATATCATTTTCCCCAACGTTCTTGTAATGATGTTATTGTAATTTATCCTTAATGCTTTCTTTGCTATAAAAGTTGAACTTACTAAATCAATAAATAAAAACAAATAAATATGTGCAACTCTTAATTATGTGCTAACCACAATTTTCCTATCTAAACATAATTGAAGTAGATCGATAAGTAATGCTTCCTCACCTTCATCAGCGCCATCGCCTTTCTTACTCTTCAGCTCCACAGTCTTGAGCTGCGTGCGCTGCGCATTTGACAACTCAACGCTTGACACTCGACCCGCATCGCTCTCTATACCCAGATCGGGAGAAGAATTGTTCATGCGTTGGGCCACCACAGCTGCATTTGCGGACGCAGTAGCTCGTGACTTCATCACTGACACTGGAACCTCCTCGGATGTGTAGCCAGACTGCGACACATCGCTACTATTTAAACGCTTAGGCGGCTGACGCAGCTGCTGCTGCTGTTGTTGTTGCTGAGGTTCGTCTTTAATCAATGCCAGTTGTGTTTTAAGTTGCTCCAACCGCTCCTCTAGCTGAAGCTTGTCGTTGTAGGCCTTTGTGCGTTCCATGACTGCCTTAGAAGCCTGCAAGGCGCTCTCGTCCAATTGCTTCTTAAGCGCACGAGCTGTCAATTCATTATCCACCAAGGATTGCTTCAGTTCCTTCTCCAACTCTTGATGATATTCAAGGTTTTGCATGCAGTCCACATGCTGTCTCTGTAGCTCGAGGAGCTGTTGCTTCTGCTCCTCGTAAAGGGACAAAGCAATCCAATCACGTGACAATTTGTCCTCATGCGATTGGCGCTGCTCCTCCAACTTTTCCGTAGCTTCCTGCTTCAGCTGTTGCATCTCGAGCTTTGCCTGTCGCAGATCCGATTCATGTTCCGATTGCAATTCGGTAAACTGTTGGCGAACCGCCTGCAATTCCATTTCTGTGATTTCCGCATCCGCGGTTAAAACTTTGTGGGTCATCTGTAGATCTTCAAATTGTTTGGTGCGTTGATCCAGGAGATGCTGCAACTCAGCCAGTTGTTGATCCTCCTGCGTGCCAATGAGCTTCAAATCTGCTTGCAGCTCTTCGTTGCGGGCGCGCAGTTGATCCAACTGTTGAGAAAGTTCAATGACACGCAACTGTTCCTGCTTGTAGCGATTATCCGAGTCCACTAGCTGACACTGCACATTCAAGATGCGCTCATCTCGCTGGGCTATGAGCTCCTCCAGATGGGCGATGCGCTCGCTTTGGCGTGCACGCTCCTGTCTTGTTGCCGCGCTGGTCATGCGGCTCTGCCCCTCGCTGTCCGATTCGGTAAGCTGCTGCTTTTGCTCGCACGCCAAACTTTGGGAGTTTTCATCCAAGCCCATACGTGCCAGGGAAACTTTGCGATCCGGTTCAGACCAGGCTTCAGATTCACTCTGATTATCCAACTGTTGCTGCTGCATGGACAAAGGCAGGGAACGTCGTTCTTTACGCATCTGCCCGTCCGTGCTGCGTCGCTTTTCCAGTTCTCGCTTCAGCGCCTTGTTCTCAGCTTTTAAAGTTTCCATGGTGGGTCCGTTGTGACTACCCTCTGCTCGAATTTCTTCGTGTGAATTGTACGTACGATTACAATCATCAGCATCGGCTACCAAAATCTCTGATAGATTGCAGAGCTGGGTTAGACTTTGATCGGCTAGGGATGTGCCTGTTATGGAGAGTGTCATGTTCAGACTCTTGGACAAGTCTAGACTGCGGTCCACAGCTCGTCGCATGGCATGGCGTCTATCCGCGGCCAGCACTCCTAAAACATCCTTGTGCTTCAGCAGCGAGTTGAGAAAACCAGCCAATTCCTCCAATCGATTTGTCAGCACGCCGCAAACGTCCGCGCACTCAAGACGCCATTTATTGGCGCTCTCCGCATCCGCTCGAACTAAGTTCAGCTCGTGCCGCAATTGCGAGATCAAAGCATCGTTGTGTTGCTCCTCGCCCAAACGCTTGATAAGGACATCCACCTTTCGTTGCAGCAACTTATTGCGTTCCAGTGCCTTGGTATAGTCCTGCTCAGTGCACGATTGTTGCAGATCAGCACCTTCTTCGGCTATTAGCTGCTGGCTGGCTAATAGTTTTGTGAGTCGCTCCACTTCACGATTCTTTTCCCACAGTTCTTTGTTGACCAGATTCTGTAGATTGGCGGTCTTTTTCTTAATTTCAGCGCGCAACTCTTTAATGGTTTCTTCTTGCTCAGCCAAACGTTCTTTGAGGCTGGTTGTAGTTTCAGCGACAAGAGCCTCACTATCGCTATGGGCGCGGTTTTCTGATCCAGATATGATTGCATCAGCACTGTTGTCCTGAAAATTTAAAAAATATTTTATATATAAAAATCTTTATAATATTGTGGTCTGAACTAGGTTCTCTAAGAGCAGTAACTATTTGGAAATTGTACTTAAATGTTTTAAGTAAATGAAATACAATTAAAATTATTTGTATAGAGGCTAGAGCTTGATTTAGATTACAGAGTGAATAGATCTCTATAAAAGGAATATGAACTGCAATCACTATCGATAATAGCTGAAATCTAACCTGCTTGCGGTTTGAATGTTCCTGATTTAAGCGCTTGATTTCCTTATCCTGACTGCTCAGTTTCTGCATTAGCTTCTGTATGGTGCGCAACGCCTGCTCATGTATGCGTTCGCGCTCCTTCAACTTCTCTTCGGTATCCTGTAGCTCACACATCTTGTCCGCCAGCTGTGCAGCTAGTTCAGATTTTGGCTGTAAGCAAAGAATTGACAATTATGAAATGGACACGAGGCAGCTAACTGTATATGCACCATCACATTTTATTTCATTTTTTCAATATGTACTTTAAACAACAAATTTATTTTGAATTACATGATGTTAGGTAACCTAAACGTAGATGTATATATAGTTAGTGTATGTTCCGACTTGCAGTGAGATAAAAGAAATAAATACATATGTATGTTAATAATGATAAACAAAATGTCTAAATGTCTAGATTGGTCAAATTCTGGATTCCAGCGGTCAATTAAACAGAAAATCATTGCAGCTGGACTGGATGGTTGAGTTCAATTTCAGATCGAGAAACGAGCACTGTCCAGTTGCGCTGCGTTGCATTTCCGGCAGTGGGGAGACATCACAGTGGCGAACACAACGCCGGCCACTGAGGAGCGTCCCCGGCTGGAAATATGCAACGGCGCATCCATGCACAGTATTGTATTGTGCAGTCGGACCGCCAGATATGTCATTCGGAGCGCAAATTGGCCCAGGGCCAAAGGAATTGTCGAAATCCAGTTAAGCTCGGCTGTGAATAGTTGTAGAAAGCCGTGCTTTGCGATGCTGTGGGTAATGCGGCAGCTTGTCGCTGCTGCTTTATGTGGCTGCTGCTGCTCCTGCGACAGCCCTTGCAATGTATACATTGATGCTGTGGGCAACAACGGTGCTTTAGTTTAAAGTTTTAGTTGTAGCTGCCACTCAATTGGTGAGTTAAATATTAAATCTGTTTATTTCACCTGAGCACTCTTCGTTTGCACAGCAATGGGCGATGACTTCACCATGCTCGTACGCGCCTTTGGATCCTTGCCCACGCACAGAATACTGATCGATGAGAAATTTGAGTGCAATGAAGATAAGCTGTCACTACGTTCAATACGATTACCAACCGCGACATTGTTGTTATTGTTGTCATAGTTGTCCGAATTGCGCATGGGCTGGACAATAGCCACACGTTCCATGCTCAGCTGCTGATTTGTATTATGCCTCTGTAAACTGTCGATTAGGGCACGAAAGAATTCGTTCTCCCGACGCACCAAATCCATCTCGGCTCCTTGCTTACTAATGATGCCCTCGCATTCAATAAGTCGTTTAAGCAGGCGGCTATAGGCACAATCCTTTTCTTTGATGGTATCCTTTGACGCAGGAAATGCATGTGCATTTGTTGATAAGGAAATATCTCTATTCAATACTTACTTCCAGTAACTGAATTGTGTGTCTTTGCATATCCATGGCCGATGTGGCCTCCTTAAGGGATGAACTCTGACGTATAAGCTCATGCTCTATCCCAGACAACGAGTTAACCAATCGTTGATTTTCGTTAACACACATATGAATTTCAGCCTTTTGATATTTCAATTCGTTCTTAAGAATTAAGGCGTATTTAGTGCTCGGTTCTCGGACTCGGATCGTGGCTTAAGCCATAATAATACATTAACCATATTTAACATTAAATACTTACATTTGACAACTCTGTCGCCTTTTCGTGCCTTTCCATTTTATGCACTAGCTCGGCATTCTTAATCGCCAGCTCTTCGATCTTAGCCTCGCAAGATATCAACGACTCCTGACGCTCGTTGAGCTCATGTTCCAGTTTTTGGATTTGGCAATGGGATGCCTTACGCTCGAGATCGGCCTCTTTCAAAGCACATTCCAATTTGTTTACCTGAAATGGATTTCATTTATGTACTTATTAAAAAGACGGATCTGTTATTCTGCCTGTCACTATTACTCAAGAATATAAACAAGAATGGAATGCTAAGTCGAGCGGGCTCAACTCTTAAAAAAAAGTAATTAATTAATTTCATTAAATATAAAATATTTAACACATGCATACAGACATAGGTGTTTATGTGAAATTTTCAACAGCTTACATTTACATCAGAATCGTGTTTATGCGACCTTGTATGCAGTAAAAAAAAAAGTCAAAGCAGCAGCCCCTGTCGGCAGAGCGTGGGCAGAGATTATATTTTGGCTATAACTTTCTTCATAATTAACCTATCATGATGAAACTCCGCACACAGTACAAAATTCCAAGAAATACGGGAGTTACGGGAATTATGCGAAAAACACAAATTGCGGGGGAGTGGGGGTGCATCAGAAAAAAAAAACACAATCTCGTCCTTTCTCGGACTTAGGTAAATCTGGATACCGAGTTTGGTTATTCTTGCTCTTGTACTTCCTGAGATCCTTGCGTTCATACAGACGGACGGACAGACGGACATGGCTAAATGGACTCGTCTTGTCATCCTGATCAAGAATATATATACTTTGTGGGGTCTGCCACGCCTCCTTCTGCCTGTTACATACATTTGCACAAAACTAGTATAGCCTTTTACCCTTTGGCTAAAAGGCTATATATAGCCTTTTACCCTTTGGGTGCAGGCTATATATAGCCTTTTACCCTATAAAAATACATGTATGTCTTAATATTGAGAATAAATGTTCGTTGGTTCGTAGACAAGGGACGGGCGGCAATCAAGAAATTCACGGCTTAGTTTAGCCCTTGACGATAAAGTAATCTGCAGCGAGCAGCTCTACTTTGAAGTACCCTAATCTTCAAAAAGTCCAAATAGCTGGCTTATACCTAATGGTTACTCACTTCATCCTCCATGCGTTTTATTTGGCCATTACACAACACGTCCATAGATTTCTGTGCTTCTGAATGCATCATTTTTGACTGAAGGTATTAGACAAGATTAAAATTTACATTTAGAAGACCGGGTCATCTATACATTACCTCCATCTGCTCAATATTGTGCTGCAGCTGCTCAATCAATCTTTGATTTTCCATATCGGTCTTTTGTTGCATATCCTCGTGCTGCTCTATGGCACGAGCCGCATCCTTCAGCAGCTCAGTTTTCTCTGCGACGGCCTTTCGCAGCACTTCGATCTCAATTTTTAAGTCAACCAATTGCTTGGACAATGAATCGTGAGAATTGTTTCCGCGCACAGGAGTTTGGCCTTCCTCCATAAAATAGATGCGCAGCTTCAAATTGAAATTCTCCTTGCGCAATGAGGACATTTGCTCCTCCAGTTCGCGCACGGAACGTCCTTGCAACATAATAGGCGAGCTGCCTCCGATACCTTGTGTCCGAGCAGCATCAAAACTGTTGTCTGCGAATAAATTTAGGGAATTAAACGTCTAATTAACTCTCAAATAGTCTCCTTATTAACCATTTTCGATTTGTGACAGCAGTGATGAATCAACCAACGATATATTATTTTGAATCATTCTACAGTTTAATAAAGTTTTTGGATTTTTTTCTACAAATTCGGCAAGTATAAAAATATATATATCTTTATAAAAAATGAATATTGCGGATGCTGTCCGCTCTGGGTTTGTGTAGGTGTTTGTTTTGCCAAACAAAATTTTAAAAAATATTGTGCAGTTCAGAAAAATTTCTTGCTTATAAATGCCAAAGTTGTACAGGTATTTGGTTTGTTTTACTGAGCTTTATAGTCTGGCTTGCTACTTACATGAATTTTCCATGGTTACATCTTGAAGTCCGCCTGGACTGGTACTGAAAATAAAAGTTTATATTAGCAATATATAGTAAAGAGTCTTTTGGATTGGGAATATACAAAAAACCAAACTAAATTGGAATTTTAAGGAACTCCAGCTGCAACAGAGAGGGTTGCATTAGCTGCTGAATTATGTTGCATTCTTTTCTCAATTGCTTTCTACTCCATTCCACGACAATGCTAAAAGTATAGTCTATTGTTTAGTGAAGTGCCATATAGTTTAGTGCCGAGCTACAGACAGAACCTGTAACCTGTTGTCAGGTTAACAACCTACAAGTATTACAAAACCTTTCTTAACAAGAAAGGAATGCTAAAGTCGAGCGGACTCGACTCTTAAATACCATGTACCACACCACAAAAGAAAAAAAATTAATTATAACAAGGAAGTACGTCATGTACATATGTACACACATATGTATGTATATACTTTATGGGGTCGGAGATGCTTCCTTCTGCCTGTTACATACTTTGCACAAACCTCATATACCCTTTTTACCCTACGGGTACAGGGTATAAAAATTTAATTAATTTAATTTAATTAAATATAAAATATCCAACTCGTGCTACATGTTTATGTAAAATTTAAACAGCATATAGTACACTCCTTGCCACTTGAATAGGACACCCTATACACTCGCTCTGCAATTACTCGTAACTCGAAAGAGGATTTGTTTTTTTTTCCACTTTCTGCTAGCATTCACTGAAATTTACACTGAATTCGTAATCTTTCGCACGTGGTCTCATATTATTCGTTCATTTACATTAGAATCATGTCTACTCGTGTTTGTGTACTTGTGCATATGTACATATGTACAAGCAGCAACAACAACAGCTGTGGGCAGAGCTTGGGCAGAGATTATATTTATGGCTAGACCTTCTTCCTTAATTGACCTATCTTATAGTCTCTGAGATCTAGGTGTTCATACGGACAGACGGACGGACAGATAGACGGACATGGCCATATCGACTCGTCTTGTCATCCTGATCAATAAGTACCATATGTATATATTTTTTGGGGTCTGCCACGCCTCCTTCTGCGTGTTATACATATATGTAGGTACATTCGCACAAAACAAATATAGCCTTTTACCCTTTGGGTACAGGCTACAAAAAACGCTACCTAAATATAATCAATAACGTTCTGCTCATAGAAAATATCTTTCTTGAATTAAAAAATGTTTAAAAAAGTTTCTTTTTGACATGCAAATGTGGAAAAATCATACATTTTTGCTTTATTTAGTGTCTTTACTTAACTTTCTTCTAAGTGTAGATGTTATGAACAATATTGCCCAGATCTGATCTCATTTGCCCGCAAATAAAACGCCTGATACTGTGCGGGAAATCATAAAAATTTTAATTTAGTTTTCTTGAGCATTATTTAGATTTGTTTTTAAGTGGCAGTGATGACATAACGGACGCGACTCTTCGCACACTCTGTGCGTCCAATTAATCAACGCAGACTTGTTTCTTGTTGGGGCTGACGCACCAACTTATGAACTCTAAGAGTACTACACCGCCCCGAAGCACTTGTCAATGCCATCGATTGTTCCGTTGCAAAACTCTCCGAAGACGGACCAAGCAGTCCAGCCCTGTTGCGTTTTTATCCGTTTTGCACATTGCACGGCCCTCGTGATATCATCGGTTAACAGTTCCGTGCAGTTGACATTGCATTCATTGAAGGTGTAGTAGGTGGTCTCAGAAGGGGGCGTGCACCAGAAACGATCGCTGATCTGAAAGAGGCCATAATCCAGCGAACCATCAGCATTTCCGCGTCCAACAATGTGCGTGTTGTAGCGACTCTCAAAGTTGGCTATGCAGAGCCATAGGGGTAGCTCCGATTTGGGAACATCCAGTATATATAATAGTCCAGCCAGTTCGCAGCGTTCCAGGCGTCGCGCCATTGTGGATGTCAGCAATAATTGCAGCAAGAACAACAGCAGTGGCACGCAACACACCGGCAAGAACAATGCAAACGATTGTATTTGCAATTTTTTCGTTCTCATCGCGAGTCCGAACATTGTGCAACGTGCGACGCCGGCAACAGAATGACGGGCTGAGTCTTACCGCCGGGTCAATCCCGGTAACTAAGCACACAAAGCGGCAATCGGCGTAGCTTTAACTAAACCGGTTTCCACTGTTTGACCCGTTGTATTACTGCGTCTTGGCTATCTGGGTAGCTGTTGAGGCAGGCAAGGGCAGTTGCTATTTTAAGCAAGCAGCTTGACGAGGAAATGGAATTGGTGTATCCTCAATAATATGGAAAGCGCTGAATCGACTATTGACACCCCTACTTTAAACTAATTATAAGTAGGTGTTGTAAAAAACTATCGAACAATTGCAAAAATTTAATTATAATTTAATATTAAAATATTATCAAATTTATAGCAACAACCCTTACATTTTATCTATAATGACGAAACATAATATGAGAACATTGTAACTCTTGTTGTTCTTAGTATTTCAAAGTTAGAGCACCAGACTTTAACTTTTCCACTTGTTTTGTAGTCCCTCTGCTGGTGTCTTAATGGTAAAACACCAAAAAAAGTAAGCCATCAGATTGTTTTTATAACCTGTACCCAAAGGGTGAAAGGCTATACTAGTTTTGTGCGCATGTATGTAACACACAGAAGGAGGCGTGGCAGACCCCACAAAGTATATATATTCTTGATCAGGATGAGAAGCCGAGTCGATATAGCCTTGTCCGTCCGTCCGTCTGTCTGTCCGTATGAACGCAAGGATCTCAGAAAGTATAAGAGCTAGAATAACCAAACTTGGTTTCCATATTCTCCTAAGACCGAGAAAGTACGAGTTTGAGTTTTTTTTCGATGCACCCCCCCACTCCCCCGCAATTCGTGTTTTTTTTATAACTTCCGTAATTCTCGGAATTTTGAAATCAATTTTGGTAGGTACATCCAGTTAGTACTAATGTGTCCGTATGTCAAATTTCATCATGATAGGTCAATTCTGAAGAAAGTTATAGCCATAAGTAAAATCGCTGCTCATGCGCTGCCTCTGTCGGCAGCGCTGCCCGCAGCTGTTGTTGTTGTTGCTACTTTGGTTCAACTTTGTGCTGCATACATACACGCATATAAACACGCATAGGTACGTGATGTAAATGTATGCTGTTAAAACTGAACATAAACATGTATTCTAATTTAATTTAATTAATTAATTAATTCATTCATTTTTTTTAATAATTTAATTTTTTTTTAAATTTTTTTTTATTTTAATTTTTCTTTTTTGTGGAGAGTACAGGCTATTTTACTGTCGGGCTTGCTCGACTGTAGCGTTCTATCTTGTTTTCTGTTTTACTTCTACATACACTTTTAATCCGGTTGGTTTGGCGCTTCGTTATGAACTATTTGTATACTCTGTACACTCTGTAACAGGGTGAAGGAGGCGAGGCAGACCCCACATATTCTTGATCAGAGTGACGAGTCGATATACTTGTAGCCCTGTCTGCCTGTCTGTTCGTCCGTCTGCCCGTATGAACACCTAGATCTCAGAGGCTATGAGAGCTAGAGACACCAAATTGTGCACAAAGGTGCCTTATGTGTGTAGGCTGTGCAAGTTAGTTTTATTTTTATTATTCAAGCAATCCCAAAATAATGTTCTCCCGATTGGTTCTATTACAAGCGTGACGTTAAATTTCAATTTGCTGATTTTTAAAAAACAAACAAATTGTATACAGGAATTGTTCAAAATTGATTAACGTGTGTATAATATAACCTCCCTAGCCCATTGTAATAGCAATTATTGACGTTTTGTAGCTCTATTGATTGAACTGACTTGATTCTTGATCAGAGTGACGAGTCGATATACTTGTAGCCCTGTCTGCCTGTCTGTTCGTCCGTCTGCCCATATGAACACCTAGATCTCAGAGGCTATGAGAGCTAGAGACACCAAATTGTGCACAAAGGTGCCTTATGTGTGTAGGCTGTGCAAGTTAGTTTTATTTTTATTATTCAAGCAATCCCAAAATAATGTTCTCCCGATTGGTTCTATTACAAGCGTGACGTTAAATTTCAATTTGCTGATTTTTAAAAAACAAACAAATTGTATACAGGAATTGTTCAAAATTGATTAACGTGTGTATAATATAACCTCCCTAGCCCATTGTAATAGCAATTATTGACGTTTTGTAGCTCTATTGATTGAACTGACTTTTGGCGTGCCTTTCCGCTATCAAACAACCCAAATTCGAAATTCCAAAATGCAAATAAAAGAAAAACACAAATACCTACATTTGGTCTTGCGTTCACCGAAGCGTGAAAACGAAAATTCTTTTGTCAGCACACCCATTCATTACCAGACCAATATGTTCAGTTGTGTCTCCATATGACAGTTTTTAAAATAGTAGAATTGAAATAAGTCGATGATATAATAAATAACTAAGTAATACTATGGTGGTTTTGATAAATGCGATTTCTCAAAACTTCATCGTTTATATACCCCAGACACTTTGCGACTAAACGGATAATTATTCCTTCCTTATCCTTTGGGGTAGAGCTTAAAATTCTATATTACTTAGTAGTTCAATTTCCGAGGTCGACGCAAATAATTTCGAGACAGCTTTAATTATAATAATCGCAAGGCAACAGTTCTTGTAGTTCTTTTAAAATAATTAATTTCGCATCGACGCTGCCATAAGAGTTTTACCTTGTATATAGCTTCGTATATTCGTAATCGTGAGGGAGTGCTATCCAAATATATGATATTATGAATATTTCGAACACTTTTTACTAAGATTTTTATAAATTTCGCGAATTTTGAAACTAGCTCTACTTTGAAAGCAACAATTCATATTCAATGAGTACTAGGATGCTTGCATATAGAGAAAATATCCCAATAGCGATCTAAAGCTGACGAATCATCCCACTATGTATTTGATTTTTTTAGATGCTCGACTACCGCTTTTAAGATTGCATCCAAATAAACATTTCTCTATACAAAACAAGCCATCGGTGACGCCTCCTTTCAACACCTTCATTCCAGGCGGCTGACGTTCTTGTAAACATTTGTATACCACAATCAGGGAACAAAACAGAATCGGCCATCAAATTGTAGAAGATAAGGAAGAATGATATTTATATTTAGCATGTTAAGTGGGTCAAGCAACGAGAGCAGATGTCTGCCAAATGTGAGCCCCAAAGAGAGTTCTCTGTTATTAATTCCACTTACCAGAATGCTGTTGAGCCCAGTGAATATCGCTTAAAGCGATTGGGTGTCCTTGTTGTATTTTCATTTGTATTTCCAGTTGACGAATTGCCAAATATGCCCGCCATATTTTGTTGATGTAGGTTTTATATTTGTTATTATGACATTAGAACACTGTCCTTCCACACTTGCATTTGCTTTATGGGTGAAATGCCTTATAGTTTAACTAGCAATTCAAATTTTTGCTTAAAAATCTATGCGTAATTATATTACAATTTAATTAGCTGGGCGCTTGTTCGTACCCTTTTTGCTGTTGTGGTTGTTGTTGCTGTTCATGTTTTTGGGGTTTTAAATCCCGAAATAACTCTTTAATGTGCCTCATGTTTTGCAGTAACCACATACTACATAGTACATACTTGTATATATAAATGTGATGAATTCGTATATAAAAGACTATATGCAGGCTGCTTTGGTGAGTCACTGCCTGGCTTTCTGAGTGGCTGCCAAGTTACAAGTTGGGAATTGCAGCAGCTAATGGCATGTCTTCATTAGAGGCCCAAAGCAGGATGCGCCTGCTTTCTTTTGGAACCAATTAGAAGCAGCAATCAGTTAGCGCTTGTTGATTTGAGCAGCCGCCGCACACCTTTAACACGATTGCCAACGGCTTGTCTTGCCAATTCCCGCATGTGGGCCACGCGAGCACCCAGCAATGCAAGAAAACTTGGGGAGCACGCACAATTTATTTTGGGAAATGAGCAAAATGCGTATTTGCAGTTGCAACGATGCAAAAAATTCGGTACGAAAACAAATTTTGTCAAAGGAAAGAACAGCAACAACAATTTTCTGTGAAATAAATTTAACAAAGAGACGCCAAGCAACAGAGAAGGAGAGAGCTGCTATTGTTTTGTTTAGCCCTTGCCATAGCTATGGTAACAGAGACATGTCTATATAATAAAAAATCAATGGACATGCCTTTGCATTGGCAAAATGCTGATGATGAGTGGCAACAGGTGTACCCAAATGTGCTCTTAAAAGGTGGCGTTAAAGTGTTGTTTTAACAATTAACATCGAATGTGTTCCGATCTATGTAGTTTATAGATTCTTTATTATTGGACTGCTTGATCAAGAATATGCAGGCAGTCAGACATTTCATCGAAGCCGATAGCTAGGTAGTTCACACCTTCCCTCTCTACCTGACCGGCTGCAGTTGCGACTACCTGGTGAGTCGTAAGTGAGTGTCAAACTATACAAAGGCGCCTGCACTTTGTTCAACCGTACCAAGCAAATACAAACAATTGGCGCCAAAATGTAGCTAGCGAGCAACGAAACGCAATTAGAGAAAAGCCACTTATAGTAAATAACATACTTGTTCCACCATTCACACCATATATGTCTTGTTGTATGTATGTATATATTATGTGTGTATGTGCAGGTGCACGATGCAATGTCAGCTTCTAAACCGAACTGAACTCATTTCAACGCACGATAAAAGGCTAATGAGTTGTCATTGCAAAGCTTAATAACAACAAAATGACTTGTCTGCCCCTTTTCGAATCTCCACGATTAGGTGCACTATCCAACGGAAGCGTATCGTAAATCCAACATTTGAGGAGGGTGACAACGACGACAGATAAGCAAAATCTTGTGTGGCCAAACAAACTATATACTTTTACGTACATACATAATACTGTGTGACACAAACTTTGTCATCAAGCTAGCTATTCTATCTATTCTACAAGTACTATAGCTCATTCATGTATCATACTATGTACATATATACTCATACATGTGTACATATATCGTAGAGCAAATCAAACTGGCACTTTTAAAATACTGCGATTACATTAATATCTATTGGTATATACATACATACAGGGAAGTCTAAAAAATATTGGAGTTATGAACGCTGACAACGACGCAATAGTCAATTCCCCAAAATCTTACTCAAAATTCAAAAGCAAGAATCCAGAGTTAATGTCTTCATTTTTGTCTGAGCATAGATAAATTGAAACGTATCTGAAACAAGCTAATTTTGTAAGTGTATATCGTAAGTGTATATTGAACAACAGTAAACAATTGTATATAAATTATGTGTGCAAAGTTTGGTTGAGGTAGCATTTGAAATGTGGACGCTATTGACGAAATTCTGTAGCGGGGGAAGGGGGGCAAAATTAAAAAAAATTAAATAAACTCGTCGGAGAATCTGGATGCCAACTTTGGTTATTCTAGCTTTTATAGTTTCTGAGATCCTTGCGTTCATCCAGGCGGACAGACGGACGGACATGTCTAGATCGATTTCTCTCGTCATGCTGATTCGGAATATATATACTTTATGGGGTCGGAGATGCTTCCTTCTGCATGTTACATACTTTGCACAAGCCTAATATACCCTTTTTACCCTACGGGTACAGGGTATAAAAATGATAGGTGATATGACTTCGTTGTGAATAATTACAATTGTTTATTATTTGTACTAAGCGATCGTTACTTTCAACACAACTGTACCAAGCGAACGCGTCCTGTGGGCTCAACGTCGAACTGCCGTTTCACAAGTGTAGTTTCGTGACTAACTCAAAAGTTCCACTTCCACCACCGCCACCATGAACAACAATGCAAAGGAACCTTAATCGCCGCTAGGAGTATAACACACACACACAAATGTATATACGAGTATGTAATCAAATTCTGGCATGATTCATGCAATGTTTACGTTTTGAAATTGCCCAGGAGCGCAGCATTTAGTCCTTTGTACTCGGCATGAGAGAGCAAGAGAGATGAATTTTGCACGCTCTGGAAAAAAAGGCCAAATGTTGAGCTTCATCCCTACCAATGGGATGCTGCATAAGTAGACTACCTTGTTCATGGGTTTTGTGTATTACGTTTGGACTCTGGCAAGTACAAAGAGCTTTCTTTCATTCTGTTTAGAGGACTCTTTATGCATTAATCAATTTTAATTGAAGTAAATTAAACGCTGGTAAACGCCACAATAAAGATTCGTTTTAAAGTAGTCTTTTATCTGCTCATATCTAAAATGCAAAACACGCTTTGAAGTCGTTTACATTTTCTGCAACTAAAATTAGCCTTGGTAGCCAACAAAGAAAAACAACACGACAACAGCAATGGGCAGATACAAGACTGAATAAATATATATAGACTTTATAAATATATGACTGCATATATTTTCATAATTTTCTATTTTTCAGAACCAATAATTTTATATGTTAAAGGCGCGTAGCGCGTATACTTGTATATATCTTTATGATACATTTGAATTTTATTGAACACAAATTCACGTGTCTGTTCCATATACATACATACATACTATACATATGTATGTATGTATTGGCTTTATGTGCTGCACTCTTAATTCGAAAAATTCAACAATGCATCGAATAGTGTGCATATTTTCATCACCACCAACTGACCCGCAACGTATATCAAGACACAGAAGCGTATTTATTTACATATACATAGATACGTATGTATATTTACTGATTATTTGAACGAATATATTGCATACACGTAATATATACATATAAACTGACTGATAGTGAGACGAAGTGCGGAAACGATTGTAAATTGTACGCGACAAGCAACAAAATATTTGAAAATGCCCTTCCTCTACATATGTCTAAATTATTTGAAGGCAAGAACATAACTGAAAATGCGCCTCGAGTTGTCGAGAGAAAAACCCCAGCGATGTGCGCTTCACAAGAAAAACGCGCTCAGCGAAAACTCACAAATACTCACAAATTACGCACACACATGTTATGCACACAGACCTGAACAATAACAATGAGACTGCGGCAGATGTTACGCACCCGTACCCGTACTTGCGACATGTGGCTGTATTTGTGCGCCTGCTGCTCTCGGGAGAAAATTTGGGGTGGGTGCTGCACTGATGGGGAGCGATGCGCGTTGCTTTTTGTGGAGATTTACATGACAGACATACACATGTATGAATGTGTGTGTGTTCTGTTTTCGGGGCAAGTTGCTATAAGAGCACATTGGGTTAAGTTCGTGCGATCTGTGGGGCTGCCAATAGTGGGGATTGTGGATTACATGACGAAATTGTGTATATATATACATACATACATATGTATGTACATACTTGTACATATGGGTGCATGTTTTTATGTACAACTAAGTCTACGATTAAGGTACTTATATATATAAATATTTAGAAACAGCTATGTCATGACCTTAAAGAGAATCATACGATGAAGTATGCTCCTGTATATTTTTTTCCTAATTGTTTTTTCGCTTAAAGGAACTAAATATTCTCGAGAATAACAATTAGAGTTATTAAAGTTGGTAGGCGGGTACCACTCAACTCAAGAAAATTCAGATCATGTTTTTTTCCTGTTCATGATCATCACCAACGTTTTTATACCCTGTACTCGTAGGGTAAAAAGGGTATATTAGGTTTGTGCAAAGTATGTAACATACAGAAGGAAGCATCTCCGACCCCATAAAGTATATACATATATTCTTGATCAGCATGACGAGAGAAATCGATCTAGACATGTACGTCCGTCTGTCCGTCGTCTATGCAAGGATTACATAAAAAAAGGGAATTCCTGAAATTCGTTGGTTTCTTCCCTAAAGGGTAAAAGGGCATAAACTGCAATGGTATGTACACAGAAGGAGGCGTGACATATCCCACAATATACATACATACATACATATATTCATGATCAGTATGAGACAAGTCGCAAGCAAGGATTTTAGGAAATAAAAGAGATAGAATAACCAAAGTTTAACTCCTGCGTACATATGTAAGTGCATGCACATATGTACATATATACAAATATACATAGATCAGTTTAAATAAAATACATTTTGACATTTGAAGTAAATAAAAGTATAGACTATTGGCAAAATATTTCAAGATTCCACAACGCAGAAGCAAGTAAAATAATAATAACAATAAATATGTTTATCATTTTAAACTCCCAAGCTCGCGACATCGTAGAAAAAATATAGTTCATCGCTTGACAAACAGCAAAACAAACACCTACTTGTTTATTCGTTTATTAATAACATTAACTTTTGGATGCGAGCCAAAATGTGAGATGCACTTGCATTTTACAGTACAGACAAGTGCACGAAAGCATCACAACTTCAAAGGCGACGCCAAGCATTAAAAAAGAAAGAATAAATCACTACTTACTCATCTATACGTTTGGATAGAGCTTCAGCCAAGTGTCGCAACACCTTCGGGTCCACCTCGGCCGCACCATTCTCTTCCAAAAAAGTGGTGACTGTCTCAATTAAGGTGATCTCCTTCATGGACGAAAGACTGCTGACGTCATTGGCGTCACAATATTCGCGCGGAGCCTGTTGCGAGTGATCCTGATTAGCGCAGGAGGAACCGTTTTGTGAAGATTTATTACTTTTAAAAAGACTATTTTCTTGATTTTTATGCATTTTGTGCACAAGTAATATTCTGTTGTTTATTTCTTTTTCTTAAACACTTAATTTAGTAAACTTAAATGGCAAATCGAAAATTGTGGACAATTAGCGCGCGTTGACAGCTGATTTGGCGTCGTCTATGGCTAGAACTGCTAACTTGCACCAAAAACCGGACAATTACCAGCACTGAATAGTCGTTGCAACTGCTATTTTCACGCTTCTGTTTTTGAGCACTGGTTGTAAAATAAAGGGTAGGGGCTGTGAAATAATTTACATTTACGTTTCCGCGATAAGCAACTGGCACACGATACGCATTAATTGGGGCAAAATGACATAAATTTTGCTCAGTAACGAAACACAAATCTCCAATTTTTATTAAACGAACTCGGGTCGTGGACAATAAAGCAGTTCCACCCACAATGTTTGCAACGCTCAAAAACAAAATCAAGGAGGAAACTGGGGATGATGTATCCACGTCGGCGTCCCAAGTACACCAGCGTTATGGAAGCAACAACAACATTAATAATTACCGCCTACGTAGTCGACGTGTGAGCGTCAACTCCAACTTCGCCGATGAATTGGGTGGTGCTTTTAGTGAGGTAAACATTGTCTTTGTATATATGTACATATGTATGTGCACGTCAACACCTATGTATATCTTTTCAATTTTAGTCTGAACAAATATGCCAGCTGCGCAGTCAATGCAATGAGCTCACGACCAAGGTATCCAGCCTCAGTCAAAGTCTTCAACAGTTACAGGAGGAAAAAACCCGCATAGAGAAAACAAATGCAATCTTATTAGAGAGCGTAAAGGTGGCACAAACACAAAAGGACATTTATTGCGAGGAGCAGGAGAAAATACAGAATCTGCAGCAAATCGAAATAGATAAATTGAAAAATTTGCTCAGCTTTCGTGAGCAGGAAGCTGTCGATCGCATGGGTGCTATGCAGCAGCAATATCAGCAAATTGATAATCTAACACAAGAGCTGGAGCGACTTAAAACCATAGAACCAGTTGCTGAAGATCTGCGCGATGAACTTCAACAGATCCGACACTCCACTCAACAAGAAAAGAACCAACTTACCACCACATTGGCGGCTGTGCAGGAAGAGAATCATCACTTTAAAATGCGTCTGAAAATCGTTGAGGAGGCGCGTCTAGAAACTCTCGCAAAAATGAATGCCGAACAGCAAGTGCAGGCACTTGTCCATGAACACAAACGTCTGGAACAACTTTTGGAAGAGGCACACTTGCAATTGTCCGATATTAAAAGCTCATGGAGCGGTCAAAACTTAGCACTAGAGACACAAGTGAGTCGGCTGTCGAAACAGGTGGCCGAGGAAACCACCGAAAAGCGAAAGGCACTAAAAGTGCGCGACGATGCTAACGAACGAAACAAACAGCTCCAATTTGAACTACAGAAATCACAAGAGGAGGTCGCACAACGCAATAATAAAGTTTGTTTTACCCATATGATATTATAGAAATGTTATCGTAATGCCCTATTTGTTTTAGATCAAACTTTTGGAGGACGAGGTCGACGAATTAAACTTGGCTCTGAAAGAATGTCGTGAGGATAACGAACAGCAAATTCTATATGAGCGTAATAAATCTGTGAGTATTTCAGCTGATGTTGACGGTTTGGAATGGGATATATAATGAAAATAAAGATAATATCTGTACTAATCCAAATGGCTGCTATTAATACTATAACTACTTATATACTATTATTCACAACATCCTTAGCATGCACACATATTTTAATTTGTATCGCATACGATTTTGTATTCATTTTGTTTAGCTCTTCCTATTCCTAACAAACAAAAATATTGAATGTTTAATATTAATTGCTTTAATTTGTTTGATATTAAAAAGATGATTTCCCACTTATATAAAACCCAATCTGAAATGTTTTCAATTTGGTTGCGAACTAAACAATGAATTTGAAACTAGCAAACACTTGAAACGGAAACCAAAGATCTGAAAACACGACTGGCCAGTGCGGAAGAAAGATTCTCTGATTATACCACCAATGCGGAACAGGTGGCAAAAAAGTTGCGCGCCCACGTTAATGAGAAGGAAGAGCAGCTGAGCGAAGCTCAGTCTCAATTGGAAGTCGAGCGTGAGGAGAAATTGACTGCTCTCTTGCGCAATGCTGAGATTTCACAAAGCGAGGAGATGCTGAAACAACAGTTGCGTATGGAGAGAACCGATTTAAATGAACTGCAAGATAAGCATAAACAATTAGAACAGGAAGTTAATAAGGCCCGACAGTCCTTAAAATTGTTAAACGAAGCATCCCAACAGCACACGCAAAACTTAGCGGACTATGAACAGGCACAACAAGAAATTTTGGACAAGAACAAGGTAATGAAATCGCTCAACACTGATGATATGCTTATTTAAATCGTCTAATCCCCTTAGACAATAAAAACGTTAAATCAACGTTTAGTTGACCTAAGGAAAACTCTGCAAAAGGAATTTCGCAACTCCCAATCGACTTCTGAAAACGATCAACAGATTGCAATACCTAAATTTAAATGCACCAACGCTGCTCTGGATGCTTTTCAGGGTGAAAACAAAGCCAATTGCATTGTTATGGATGAGGTCAATTTTAAGTACTTAAAACATGTCATAGTTAAGTTTCTGACCAGCAGAGAGGTGCGTAGAAGTCATCGCTAAAACAGCTATAAATTCTATTTGCTTTTAAATACTTCAGGTAGAAGCACGTCATCTTATACGTGCGGTCTCTACATTGCTTCAACTTTCATCAGAAGAGGAGAAACTGCTGCATGACACATTAAATTGGAAAATGAGCTGGTTTGGAGCCAAACCCAATCACGGAAGCGGACAACATGCATGGTCTATACCACCAAGTTAATCCATAATCTCAAACAAAACGAAATCGGCCGTTCTATATGACCACCAGCTTTCCTCCCAGCGCTGCAGCTACTTTTTAAACGCAAGCCCATAATGTTAGAAATATACATAAAATAATTACATATGGTCGACTAAAGTTGAGGTTTTTACTCGATAAAGTAAATTAAGGACTGTGTTAATTTGTTTTTCTGAAAACATTCCATTTCGTTATATCTAGTTATGTTTTATTTAATTGTATTATCATTAATATTTATCGTTGTCATTTTTAGAAGGTACGTGAACTTTGTGCAATTTTGCAATACATATTTGCATTTGAAAAATTAAAAATAAAAAAGTGTTTTTATATCTTTATTCGTTGTTAGCAAATTGAGCTTAATCCAAGCGGAATGTACGCAAATTAAGTTCGCGTCGTGCTACTTAAGCTCAAACAGTGGCTCATTCGCCACATGCTGCATTAATTCCCCCGTTACCTTGCTAATCTCTGCGTGCACATCATCCACAGACTTGCCCGCTTGAATTTCATGCCAATAGCTTGACTCTTGCGAGCAGATACGATTAAACACGGCGGCCACTTTTCGCTGGAACTCGGACCTTTCATAGCTGCAAAAAATATTTGGTTAGGCGTGTCTGTTCACTGATAGTGATTTCAATTGATATCTACCGTTCCTCCCCGTAACTTCCGCGTTCCGAAAGTATATCAGTGGACGCTTTTAAATAAAAAACTGCATCCGGCCGAATGAGGCCTTTTTCAGGAGCATAACACCAGTCGAAATCAAGACCTTTGGCAACAGTATAGGCAACACCAGAATAGGAATAACGATCTACAACCAGTGTAATTCCAGCTAACAAATGATTCTTGATTTCTTTGGAGAACTCCCAGCGGTTCGCCGAGAACATAAGATGTATTACTTCGTCTGACAGCTCCTGCTTGTTTGTCAAATAGGAGTTGATCACCTGGCCAATGCGTGAATCACGAGCGGGAAAATTCATATGCTTCACTGGGATATCCTTGGACTGCAGCCAATCCACTGTGAATTGCACTCCACATAGAATACGGCAGTAGTAGAATTATCAGACAATATACTCACCCAAAAGCCTGCTTTGAGTGGTTTTGCCACTGCGATCGCATCCTTCAAACACTATAAATGCACCGCGCTTGCCGGCATTCATTTTCATTTACCGCACGTGCATTAATAACTCGAGTTGCAGCAGCGCTTCCCAACAGTTAATCAGCTGTTTCAATTTTAAAAAATATTTTCATTGCCTAACAATGGCGGGTCCACAGTCACATTCGCAGCTGCTAATTCACAAATACAATTTGCACAGTAACATTTAAATCTAAAAATTGTTAAAAATCTTTTCGGCTTCATATACTATTAAGCGCAAATAATTAATTCATAAACTTAGGTCCATAGAGATGGGCGATAGTTGATTTGAATTTTTTTTTACTGTGGCAGAAGCATTGTAACATTGTAATAATGTAAGACCTCTGTGAAAAAAATAGTTATTTTAATAATAAACCAAAACTGTTCCTGTAAAATAGATAATTTCTTCAAATCTAAAAGTAGGGTACATAGTCGTATTCGAATGGAATGCCGAGACACTACAATGATAAAATGTTCTTGATAGCAACATTGTTACTTTTAATATTTTGTCACTATTTGACTTGTATCTGCGACAAAAGAACAGGTCAAAAAATTTGTCATCTGTAGCTCACACATTCTATATCGGCATGTCGTTAGGAAACGCGGGTCGTATTGCTGCTTGTTGGTAAGTAAGAAATTTGTATTTGTTGAAATAAATCGTAAGTGAAATAGGTTTTTATTTGAATGAAGGGCTGTTTTAACCGTTGGTGGTGTGTACGCTTTCGTCCTATCAAAGCGATCTGTGGAAAATCGGCGTATTGAAAGCCTTCAAGTTCGGAATCGCATGAAAAAAGCAAATCAAGGCGAATACGAGGCTGTTACTGACAGACGTTTTGGTTAAAGCGAACCAATAAGCAACATTTTTTATTTTATCAATTAGTTGTAAATAAACCAAATGGCGATGCCCCAAATCAGCCCGGCCGATCAGGCCAAACTACAGCTGATGCAAGAAATGGAAATAGAAATGATGTCTGATTTATATAATCGTATGACAAATGCTTGTCACAAGAAGTGCATTCCTCCGCGCTATGTGGAGTCCGAGTTGGGTAAGTTGAGAGCTTGACGACCTGTGACTGGTCATTTGATAAGACTCTTTTTCGATATCCCAGGCAAAGGCGAAATGGTGTGTATCGACCGTTGTGTGGCCAAATATTTGGACATTCATGAAAGGATTGGCAAGAAGCTGACCGCCATGTCAATGCAGGACGAGGACCTCATGAAGAAAATGTCAAGCTAGAAAGTCATATAAGCCGTAGTCGCAGAGCGCTTAATGTTTGCATCATCTTGTGAACAAAACAAAACCATCGGGGGCATTTCTAAGGGCACATTAATTTGTTAAAGGTAATAATTAGGCTTCTTGAATAAACATTATAAACGACAACAATTTTGCGTTAGTTCCAATGGTTATAATACTTAAAATTTGTTCGATTGATACTTGTATTTTAAAAAGTAGTAACGAAGCGCGCCATTTCTGGCAACATTACGCTTAGGTCCTCAATATTGTTCTCCAGCGTGCTTTCATCTGTGGTATCCAGTTGGCTAGTCCGTACGCTATTTTCCCAATCGGACGACGAGTGCTCCTGTTCTTGGCCGGCAGCCCCAGCGGCCCGCTGATTCGCCTGCTGCTCCTCCTGTGTATTTATAGTATCACTACTGTCGGCAGAATTCTCGTCCATGAGCACCATTTCCACATAGATGTTACTTTGATGCTGAAAATTTAATGTCTGATTACAATATAGCAACTAACGCCATGAAGTGAGCTTACGTGAGCGAGTCTTTGCAGATCCGCACTCACGCTGATTGGATTTTTAGACAAATTCAACATGCGAATGTGACGCAGTTCCTCCAACTGTGCTCGCGTCGGCACTTCATCGATACAATTCTCATTGAGAAAGACGAACTTTAACTTTGGCATTGCCATAAGCATGCGTGGTACACGTCTCAAGCGGTTACCCTTAAAATTTAAGTGCGCCAATTGGCCCAGAAGCGCCACGGTGAGTGGCACATCTGCTAGCTCATTGTTCTCCACTGTTAGCCAGCGCAGCTCGGATAAATTCCCCAGCGTATCAGGCAGCTTTTGCAATTTATTTCCACGTACGCCCAACGTTTGTAACTGCTCGCAGCCGCGTATCTCTTCGGGAAGCTCCAGCAGACCTGTATTATTGCACCAAAATGTCTCCAGTAACGTCAGATAGCCGATTTCCGGCGGTAGTCGTTCAATCTTGTTACAGCTGACATTAAGAAAGCGAAGGCTTACCAAACGACAAATGCATTGGGGAAACTCATCAAGCTGATTATAATCCAACGTAAGCACCTGGAGGCGCAGGAGATTTGCAATGCTCTCAGGTACCTGCCAAATACAATATACATATGTATGTATATTTTAATAAGACTATTGAAAACTATATGTTAACTAAATATATTAGCATACTTACTCTGGTCAGTTTGTTTTGGTTTAAAAATAATTTCATTAATGATTCGCATTGCTCAATAATTTCGGGCACGTCTGTCATCCGGTAGTGTGAGAGATTCAGCAGAAATGCCTTTTTTCTAATGGCATCCTCACAATTTGCCAAAATATAATTCGTGCGGAAGAAATGGCATATACTTTCCATTTCGCAGCCTTGATTGGTTATTGTCTTTAGGCACGCTTCAATTTGCATTTGTTTTGTATATATTTTTTTGTATTATTATTTTATGTATTGCTAATTTCAAACAATACTTACTATGTTTTGTTCAAAACAGGAACTATTTACATGTCTATCTGCCCCTGAAAATATTTATTAGGCGTAGTATATGACATTTGGCAATTTATATAATATGCTCATGCTTTGCTAAATTTAAAAATGGATCGTTCGTCAGATGCATTTGTACAGTGCCCCACCAGCTGAATAGATACGACTATGTATTTGTAGCAAATGAATGATCCACAGACTTCCAAGACTCTTTAAAGTATTCATACAAACTGATTTAGATAATGAAAGATGATCAAGCACCAGCAGGCGAATCTGAAATACAATTTGACTGGTGTCGTACAGTGATATATTCATATGATAATTATTTTGTTTTAATGCACATAATGTACACAAGTCAAAGAAATCACAGCCCAAAGCATTATGTTTTGACTTTTGAATGAATCTATGGATGTACGGACGTACCTAATTAAATATTAAATTTTAAAGAAAAAACAACACTCAATAGATTTGTGAATAAAAAGTTAAGTATAGCAAGCAGGACCCGCGCACTTTGTTAGATTATGCAGCAATAGGCTATATAAAGCACGTTCAATGGGCAACATGTCAAATCCTAAATTATTCATTTGATAAGGATCCTGCGCCAGGTCATATGCCTCTACAAAATTCTGCAAACGTATCAAATTATAATTGAGCTGTGTACGAAAGCAATCACCGGACTCACTTCTTTATCCTGGAACTCGCAGTAGATGCGATCCATATGGTAACGAAAATCACGTACACAGGCGTACGAATTATTCCTAGTGTCTTGACAATGACAATCAGCATCGAGAGTACAGCCAGCCATATTATCACTAAGTTGCCAAGGACATTTCGGATTAAACGTATGACTGTTACCCTCTCCCCAATACTCAATAAGCAACGTTCGTTGATATGAAGCTCCGTCCAGCTTTTCATCGTGACAATGTTCCAGATCTTGTTTTATAGAGCGTCCGTTCATCTGTTCGGGTATTAAACCGCCTGCCCAGTCCAATATTGTGGGCGCCAAGTCCAAAAGAGAGATGGGCACATGTAGTGAGCAGTGTACTGGTACACCCGGTCCTCGAATAAGCAAAGGTACGCGAATATCTGTTTCATATGGTTGCCTCTTGTCGAACGGTTGCGCAAACTGACCCATGTGGTACCCATTGTCCGACGTATATATAATGTAGGTATCGTTTATGGCTTCTGTTACATCCAGCAACGCTGCCAGCTCAGCCACCATTTCGTCCACAGCCAAAAGTGTTTCCCAACGTTGCTGGAAATATTTATCAATGGTAGCGAGCGTATTTTGTTTCAACGCCTTGCTAGACGCAACCAACCAGTGTTTATCTACTTGGCCAATTACAATTGCATTAAAGGGGTCATACCTTAGTGATTAACGCAAGAACTCACCCAAAGGTGTCTTCACGAGCTGATTGAAGCTGGGCGTGCGCAGTGCTTTCACATTGGCAAATAAACCAGCATGTCGTGGCGCTGGCGTATATGGTGCATGTGCCGCAGGTGGAGCTATAATAGCAAAAAAGGGCTGTCCTTCTTGTTGAGTTGCATTTCTTATAAAACTTAAAGCACGTTCCTTTAACAGATCCGTCAGATACATGTCCATGTAGCTAACATTACGCTCATTCTCGCGCAACGTATAATTGTAGTATCGCGAATTCCCATGAAGACCGTAGAACTCATCCCAGCCAGGCGGTACTTCATCGCCACTATAATGATTCAAATACTTTCCGGCATAAAATGTGCGATAGCCCTGCTGCTTGAGTAGAACAGGCAAGGCCTGAGGCTCCATTTTCTCGCGCCAGTGGCTGCCGTAGCAGCCCCCACTGTACGAATTGTTTAGGGTCCGATGATTGTGAGCATATTGCCCAGTCAGAACGCTGGCACGTGAGGGGCAACAGAGAGGCGTGGGAGTGTAAACGTTGTGCAGTTGAGCCCCAGAGCTAGCAAACAGCTCCCGCGTCCTTTGCAGTGGGAACATGCCATGTAGCTCAACATCTTGATCATCACTTAGTAAAAGTAGAATATTGGGCAAGTTTCCAGTTCCACGTGCAAGGGAAGTCATGCACAGGACAAGAAATGTTGATACAATGGGAAGGTTCAACTAGATATTAAAGAAACACTTTATTTTTATTATTATTTAGGGAAAAAACGACACCAATCATACCATCTTTGTTTCTTGCAGACCGACTCACCCACATTAACACACAAACATACATGCATACATATGCGGTTTGAAATGTCAAAATCAGATGGCAATTTATTTGCTGTCAGTGTAACTTGAAAAATAAATAGAATGCTAAATCCTGCACTCGTTTCTTCTTATTGCGGGTTAAATACCGGAAACATAAAATGCAGATGTTCTGTTGTCAAAATTCGGCATGGGCATGGTCTTTATTTGGAAAAAATTGTTATCGTTATTGTTTGTGTGTGCTTACTTAAAAGTAGTTATGTATGTGGTAATAATTTAAAAGCGCATTCACAAAACTTTAAGATCTATGTATTTAAATATTGTCATAGTCTTCATCTAATTCGAAAAACGACTCATTTATTGGCGCTGATACTGTGGCCTTTGGAATGAACGGAGCGTTGCTGCTCCCGCCAGAAATGTGATTGAAAGTGGCTGTAAGTTTTCCTCTGGAGTTGTTGCTGTCGTTACCATCACCATTGTCGTCGCTCTTACTAGCCGACGTTGCTCCATAGCAAATAGTTGTTGTTGGTGCAGGAGTCTCTGCCGCCGCAGCCACTATGTTTGTAAGATCAATGTTAATAACTGGAGCGGCAAAGTTAAAAGCCGCATCAGCAACGGCGCCGGCGCTGCTGCAATTGGCCGCCTCAGGCGAGCCCAGTCCTTTTGTTGGAATCTTGCTATATTCGATTTTTACAATGGGTTTATTAAGCTCGTAGCTGCTAATTGGTGCAGGTATGGCAGTGTCGCGTATTTGTCTGCTATGGTAGGCATGGACATTGGTTCTGGCTGGCGTGGATTCAGAGCGGGCCAGTTTGGCGGGAGAGTACCCCACCTGCTGCTGATGCTGCTGCTCCTGTTGCATTTGCGCAAATACGGCAGCATTTTGGACAATAACTGAAGCCGGACTTGAGGCGGGTTGTTGGTGATGACGCTTTAATCCGCCTGCAGCTCCGTTCAGGCTAACTGAGCGCGCGAACGTGGTGGCGCCGTTGGGCACGGCACGTTGCATTGACGTTGATGGCAGGCTAAGATCATATGGCGTGTCTGAGTCCGGATATTGCTCCTCGGGGGAGCTATCGTCATTATAATTGCATGCCTCCTCGGCCACGCTGATGTCTGGTATATTTTTTACAAGCTCTTTTAAGAAGTCAAATCGCTGCTCCGACATGATGCACTGCTTCATGTGGGAGGTGGACAGTGTTTTGGCGTTGCGTGAGTGCGTAATTCTTAGTGTCTTAGTCAGCAACGATTCCACAAACAGCTCCAATGTGCGGGAAATAATGACCGGCACTGCTGATGCAACTTTTCCGATTTCTTCGTCGCTTTGCATGATTTTCTTAATGCGAGTCTGAAATGTTAAGGTTGAACATTACGGACACGTTTGTTTATAGTGTGGTTGGGCAACAGCAACACAATAAATTCTGATAACCAACTCGCGCGACGACGCTGTGGCTACAAAGGAAGCACTACTGTGGTTCTGGTGCCCTATTTACTTACCGCAGGAAAGCGTGCATTGTATTTCTTTTTCTTCGACGGCATTTTAGCTATAACCCTGGCAAAGTAGGATTATTTTTTTTTTTTTTTTTTTTGATTTAGGTTACTTTGCACAGTTTAATGCAAAGAATTATTTGGCCGTCCACGTTGGTTACGAGGAAAACGCCATCACCAATTGTGTTTTTAGTGCGATGTTAGCATTTAAATATTAGACTTAATTGTGTTTAGAAATTGTGTGATTGATTTGTATGAGCTGGTATTTTCGTTAGCAAAAAAGTTATAAATGCTGTTGTACTTTAGCAGTGTTGGGAATTGCTGTCTTGTAGTGGTATATTTTATACAGCTGAAGATTATATGCGAGGCGTTTTCCACCACTTCACATGCGTCACATGTGTTGCAGTTTATCACCTTCATTTTGGCTAGTGTTGCTTTATCAAAACAGTGGCCTGATAAGAGTCTGTTTATTTGTTTACATTCTGCGCTTGAGAGCTCGCCTTTATATTGATGAAACCAAGGTATTTTCACGAGGCTGGGGAAAAGTGCGGTGTAACCTCTATTTCTGTTGGCTGCGAAGTTCCAGTATTCTGTTTCCCATTGGTTTTGGATTAGTTTGCGGATTGAGTTGATAGCGTCGTTGATTGACCATCTCATTATTATAAATGATCCATGAAAGGGGGCCACTTTTGCGGCGGCATCTACCAAAGAGTTTTGGGGAATGTCTTTATGACCAGGTATGTAGTGGATCTCAACGGAGCGGATTTGATTATTCTCTTTTATTTTCAGTAGGATGGTTTTGGCAATGTAGCTGGGTTGAATGGATTTCTGAAGGGCCTGAATGCCGCTGCGGCTGTCTGTAAGGATGGCTATATTTGAATAATTGTGAGATATGGCATGATCTAAGGCTTTGTCTATTGCAATCAGTTCTGCAGTGAGCGACGATGTAATTTTGTTGGTATAGAAACTGTCGATGAACTTGGAGTTATTGTGGAGGAATGCAGCGCTGGAGTGAGTATTAGTTACTGAACCGTCTGTGAAGAAAACTTCAAAATTCCTTTTTTGGAGGCCTTCTAGTTTTTCTTGGAATAGCTGATGGATTATGTTCGGATTCGCTTGATGTTTGTTTGTTGCCGATCCTTTAAAGAAGTTTGTGTCCGTGCAGAGCTTGAAGCAGTAGATATATGTGTTGTCGTGGAGTTGGATATGGTTTAGAATATGTGAAAATTCGTTGTATATTTTTGCATAGTTTGTATTGCATGATGAATTGTGAAGTAAAGTTTTGCTAGCCGGTAAATTGTACGCGAAGACTTTGACCAGTTCTTTGGCTGTTAAGAATTTCATTCTGTATTTTGGGGGCAGCTCTGCTGCTAGGTGGTAGATGATATTGATTGGAGTTGATTTAATCAACCCCAGTGCTCTTCTTAGATGAAAGTTCGTGTGTACGGCGATCTTGTCTGTAGCTTTTTTCGAGAGGTTGCTGAAGGATGAGCAAGCGTATTCCAACTTTGATCTTATGAATGTTCTGTAAAAGAGCAGGCCGCGTTTGGGATTCACCCCAAATTGGCATCCGTTCAACAACCTTAGAAAGGCGCATGACTTGTTGGAGTTTGAGATGACTTGAGTTATGTGGGAAATTGGGGAATTGTTTGCTGAAACGAATCTTCCCAAGTATTTTATTTGGTGAACTTCTTTTAAAGGTTCTCCTGCGTGTGAGATGTTTAAAAGATGTCTGCGAGAGTTGAAGTGTATGATGTTGGATTTGTTTGGGTTAAATGAGAGGTTAATTTTTTTGCATTCCTGTACAAAGGTTGAGATTTTTTCCTCTAAGAGATTTCGTGCTACGATGAAGTTCGGGTGGAAGCATAGGAGAAAGAAGTCGTCAGCAAATTGAAATAAAATGCAGTTTGAATCTGTTATTCTGTGCAGGTCCTTTGTGTAGAGGTTGAAAAGAGTTGGACTGAGACAGCTGCCTTGACTGACTCCTCTGTTGATTGTAGTGCTGCTGTCACCAAGAATTAAAATTCTTTTTTGAAGGAACCCTATGATCCAGGCTGTAATGTGAGGATTGAAGTTCATTTTTTGCAATTTATTGGATAGAATGGAGATATCCACGCAGTCAAATGCCTTCTGAAGATCAACGCATGCAGCCACCACTTGGTAACCTTTTTGTTTGAGGTCTGATGTTATGTTTATTAGGTCGTTAATGCATTGTGATGTTGAGTGGTTTTTTCGGAAGGCGTAGGATCTTTTAGGGAAAAGGTTCAATGAGTTAATGTGTTCGTCTATTTGGAACTTTATAAGTCCTTCCAGTGACTTTAGGAGAACGCTGAGTAGGCAAATGGGTCTATAATTTTTGACGCTTGATTGGTCCAAGCTTTTCTTCGGGATTGGTACTATTTTGATTTTTCTCCATTCCTCTGGAATATCACCCTTCAGCCATGTTTTGTTTATAATGTTGAATATATCTTTCTTTTTTTCGGAGGTTAGAGATTGAAGAAGTTTGTAGGACACCCCATCCAGGCCTTTTGCGGATTCTGGATTTTTATTGTTTAGGAAAAAAAGGAAGTCTTCAAAAAGCAGGGGAGTGGGAGGGGTCTCGCTCAGATGGAGATTTGCTGGATTAAACTGTGTAGTGTTGCTTGTGATAGTTGGAATATTTTTCAAAAGCTTGAGGAAAGATTCGTTATCATCTTTGGACCAGCTGTTACCAACTTTCTTGATTTGTTTGTAGCTTTTCAGGTTTTTTAGTTTATTCCACATAATCTGTGGAGAATCAGAGAGCTCTTGAAGGAAGTTGCTGAAATTTTTCTTTTTACAGATATTTATATGTTTCTCCAGGTTTTTTTCTGCTTCGATAAGAAGTCTGGCGTCGGTGAACTTTTTAGTTAAATAAAATTTTTTCCTGCAAGCATTTCTGATTCTGAAGAGTTTTTCGGCCTCTGGGTTCCACCATTTTTTTGGGGTATATCTATTGTTAGTTGGAATTGTGATGGTATTTTGAATTTGTATTTTTTTTAAATCTGAATGTAGTTTGTTGAGATTGGAGAAGTTAAGTTGTCCAAAGTCCTTGGATAATTTATTGTATAGAGTTTTTTTGGTTAGAACGTTGATATGAGTAGAATTAATTTCAATGAGTATTGGGAAGTGATTGCTATTCGTTAGTTTGTTATTGGAGGTTTGCCAGGAAATATGTAGATTTGCAGCGTTGGAGAAAGTGAGGTCAAGGAAGGAAAACTGTACTGGGCTATGTGAGTAGGTGGGTGATCCGTCATTTAAGCATATGAATTTGTTGTCAATCATGGCTCTTTCTATTGTATGACCTTTGGCGTCTGTGGATGAAGTTCCCCATATGGTAGATTTAGCATTAAAGTCTCCTCCTATTATTGATGGATGTGTTAGAGAGGCGCTTATAGCAAATAGTTCTTTTATACCAGTTTTGAAGGTGATGAGATTAGTGGAAGGGGGGGAATAGGCACTGAAAATGTTGATGTTGTTGGAGAGGTTTAAAGTTTGAATTCCTATTGCTTCTATTGAACATTTGAGATTTAGCAGTTTAAATTTAATATGTTTTTTAATGTATATACCAACTCCTCCGTATCCATCATCTCGTGTCTTACAGAAAAAGTTAAAATCGGCCAAACTGCTGGATGAATTATCTTTAATCCAAATTTCTGATAAGATCGCTATGTCAATGTTGTTGTTAACGAGATACATTTCCAGAATATTTTTATTGTTTTTACTTATTAAACATTGAATATTTAATTGTAAGATTTTCATGGTGTATTTGTGGTTGAGAATGGAAGTATTTGGTCGTTTATTTTGGCTGCATCTATTTTTGCGTTAGCGTAATTGAGTTGATCTCTTAATTTTAACAGAAAGGTTTTGGTGTCGGCCTCTTCGAAATTGTTATTTTGTTTGCCGATGAATGCCGAAAGTTGAAGTAACACCTGTGTTAGTTCTTTCTCGGCAATTTGTTCGGGATATTTTATGGGGATGAAAGCGTTTTCTTGCAGTTGAAAAGTATTTTCTGTGATAGTTTGCCTCCATTCATTCATGGTGGCAAGAGCTTTTTCGTTTTCCCTAATTTTGTTTTTATTGTTTTTTACAGTATTGGCGAAGGAAGTGAGGGAGTGGATTTCTCTGGCAGCCTCTTTGTTGCTGTCATAAGTATTAGTTACAATTGAGTTGGACCATATAGGTTTGGGAAAGGCCTGTTCATTTAGGTGGTCGGGAGCTTCTTTATGAAAAAGGGATGGATATTTAGCACGCACTTCTTGTCTTGATAGATTTTCTAGTGCCATACATTTTTGGATGGCAAATGCCTTCTTTCTGGCTGGGCAGCTGGTATGGATTGCAGTGTGTTCCCCCTTGCAGTTGCAGCATCTTGTGTCAGTACATACAATGTCCTTGCCGTGGCTTTCTCCACACTTAATACACTTTGCTTGGCTGCATTTGCAGTGCTGTGCAAAGTGGCCAAATCTGAAGCAGCGGTAGCATTGTGAGAAAGGAATGAAGGGGTGTACTTTGACTTTGGTGTACATAAAACTTATTTCATTCGGAATTTGATTTCCTAGAAAGAAGAGTTTCACTCTGTTTGTGGGGACGAGAAGTTCTTTGTTGTCTTTGTCTTTTCTCATTATTCTGAAAATTTCAATAATTTGGATGGGCGAAGAGATAAATTCTTTTAGGTCGACATCATTGAAATTAGTAGGGACTCCAAAAATTAACCCTGCTTTACAGATAAAATGTTTGAAAATTTTTGGATCATAGCCTTCTGCTCTTAAGCGAACGTCTTTTTGAAGGGCGTTTGCACCTTCTGCAGAGCTACACGTGATTTTGCATCTGCCAAATCCTATTTTACTGATATCGACAATTCCATTAAGATTAAGTTTATGTATAACTGCCGATAAGCTGATAGCATTTATCGGTGCCCTTTCCGTGCCCGTTTGACGTTTGTCAACATAGACTATGAAAGCACCTTTATGTGCTGAGTCATATTCATACCTGACAATAGGATTTTGAGATTTTTCTTGATTCATTGATTCATTTTCTTGACTATTTTCCTCAATTACCTCCATGCTTAATTGTTTGGTCGGTTCGATACTTTTAATTGACTTCTTAAGTTCGTTGATAGAAGGATAATTTGCCTGTTTGGATAAGCCTAGTGGTTTGGTAGTGATTTTGTATTTGCTGACGCCCCCGGGAGGGGGGCGCTTGGTTGCCATTTTTCTTTTTAACTTGTTTCTTGATTCCGTGATTTTCAATTTTTGACTTCGGGATGGAAAATTCAAAATTGGAAGGAGAAAGAAAGAAAGAAAAAAAAAAAAAAAAAAAAGAGATGTCAAAAGTGACGGTTGAATGGGGTAAGCAGTCTTTTTTTTCCAAATTACGACCTCTCGGCTCGGATGATGAAAAGCGACTGCAAAGTAGGATTAAGTTGATATCAAAACGTACTCTCTTGTTGTTTTTTACACAAGAACTTATGACAGGTATTCACACGGATATAATGCATTTGACAGCAATATTCGAGGGTGTCGTCGTGACCATGTGATTGTCAAATGCGGCGTAACTAGGAAGAAGAAAAGCGACACGATAAGCATAGAACAAAATTTGCTCGAATAGTTTTGAACATTTTGGTTTTTACATTAATTTATCTTGAAATAAAAATCACAAGTTTTTGTTGACATACATGTCCTCTACTCGTAAGGACCCATGCAAAGCTAACGCCTGTCGTATACAAGCTTGCTTGAAAGGTGAATATAGGAGAATTATTACCCGGCATAAGCACGATATTATATAATGTTATTTGCCAATCAAAATGATTAAATTGCAGAAAATAACTATCAGGAGCACAAATGCGTCGAGGTGCTGGAGCAAATGCGTCAGTGCTGTTTGAAGTGGCATAAGCAATCGATCTGTTGCAGCGGCATAGACCTGCATAAAAACTACATAACCGGCAATAAGTCCGATAAGCAATCGCCGAAAGCTGAAGAAAAGTCATCCTAGGTATCAAGGTTTTGACTTAATAATTTATGTATAATGCCCAATTCTGTGCCACCATATAAGCCACCAAAAGAAATTCAGCAATTATTAATACAAAGGCAGCGACAACAAGAACAGCAGCAACAGGCAGGCCAGCGTAGACGAACTGCCATTCTTCCCAAGCGCAGTTGGATACAGCGGAATCCTCGTCTCTTTCAAATTGCCATCTTGACCACGTCGATGCTAATTTTTTTTTCCAAGCCATTGTTTGACGCGTTCATTGCTGATCCTTTACCGCTGCCGCCGAAAGGAGAACGTGTGGCTCCCCATAAACGATAAGGTATGGAATCTGTGCGCAAAGCCAATCAACGACTGCGAAACTATCCCATATTGCTCACAAAGTGTGCGGATAAGGCAGCAGCATATGCTTCATGCGTGTCACGAGATCTCAACATACAGCATCACATTTGCGACACTGAGTTCAAGGAGTTTATGGGCTGCATACGCAAAGCAGCCGTTGAATTGAAAACTAAATTATAAAGCAAGGAGGCCTGTGAGGAAACGTCGCAATATGACAGCAACTAAAGCAACAAAAGCCCCAATATATTTATCGGAACCTGGCAATGGAGGTTGTTACGCACTAAAAGTCGCATATAACCACCTGTTGAAGGTCAGTTTTCGATCTCATCTTATAATATCTGCCCTTCTCCGGCTGTCGCTCATATGCTATGGTCAAATTCATGATGCCCATTCGGCTGTGCGTTATACTGACATTGATTACCAAGTAGTTACCGATGGCGCGCGTCTGGTGCTTGGTGGAGGCACACCATTTGCACGGCACACCTATCGCTACAGTCCGATGCTGGCCTATCTGCAAATACCAAATCTAATGCTACATCCTGCTTGTGGAAAAGTCATTTTCGCCACATTCGACTTATTGTTAGCTGTTCTAATCTATGAGCTGGTCCGCTTAGAGTTGGAGATGCAGGGTCGGAAATCAATAGACCGCTTGTTTAGCAGTTTTGGCAAGTCACAAAAACAACTGGGGTTCTGTGATTCACTTGATGCAAAACTTAGCCCAGAGAAAATTGCTTGCGCCTCGGCAATTTTCTGGCTGTACAACCCGCTTACGGCTGTCATATCAACTCGTGGCAGTGGCGACAGTTTCTCCAGTTTCTTCGTTATATTAAGCGTATATTTGCTCAAAAAAGCAGAGCACACGCCTACAAAAAGCAAATGGCTTGTTTTTGGAGCTGGCTTGGCACACGGAGTTGCCATCCATCTGCGTCTATATCCGCTGCTATTCAGTCTAGCCTACTATTTAGCGTTATCCACCAGTCTAGTAGGTAACATTCGGGATCTACTTGGGCAAGTATTGGTCCCCAATAAACAACAATTCTGTTTGGTGCTAGGGACTCTATTAAGCTTGATTGCTCTCACATGGACATTTTATTGGATGTATGGCTGGCAATACATCTTCGAGGCCTATCTGTATCACTTTGTGCGCAAGGATGTGCGCCACAACTTTTCGCTGCATTTTCTGCAACAATACTTAAGTAGCGCTACGAATGTGGAGGAGTCCACTGCAATTGTGAAGTTTTTCATATTGGCGCCTCAATTCCTGCTCATCTTCTACCTAAGTCTAAGCTTTGGCCAATTTAGACAAACGTTGCCTTTTTGTGTTTTTACCCTGGCGTTTGTCATTGTGACCTACAACTCTGTAGTCACTTCCCAGTACTTCATCTGGTATTTGGCTGTGCTTCCGTTGTGTTTGCACAATTTGGGAACGCTGTCTTTGCAGCGTTGTACCTTCTTGATGACTCTGTGGTTAGGCGGCCAAGGCATGTGGCTGATGCCTGCCTATCTCCTAGAATTCGAAACCTTGCACACATATTATTGGATCGGACTGCAAAGTGCTGTATTTTTTATTATCAATGGCTATATATTAGTCCAGTTGATCAATAACTATGGATTTACAACGACGCGCGGCAGGCGCATGCTCTATTGTAAATAATTAAGTGATGAATAGTAATAAATTTTAAATGTTAACAAAAATATATTTTCTTTATTTTTTCATAATTTTTAAATTAAATGAATAACTAAAGCATAATTTCATATTTTTATAAATAATTATTATTTGTTGAGTTGTAAAGTTAATAAAAATAATCATTATATTGTGAGAAAAAAATTAAATTATAAAAATTCATTATTTTGAAATTTTCTTTATACGTACTCGTAATGATTACAGTTCCAGGTTATTAGAGTTTTTATTCACGTCATGTAATCTTTTATTAATTTTTTAATTGCTGCCAACATGCAGAAACTTCAAGTGAATAGTTATGAGCCTTTTGCATTCCTTAGTATTTAAAGTTTTGAGCCGTTTTCCCATTTCATATTGGTCATTTGTGGATAAGAAAGGTGTCTCGAAAACATTTCCATCTTTGTTCCATTTGAATTCGGGTAAATGCTTTCGGACTCTGCGCTGCAACGATCGGGCACAGACTATAGGAACATAGATCCAATTGTTTATAGGACAGTAAAAATCCGGTTGCTTGTCATATTATTAATCTTTTAAAAATGCTTTTGATAGTATCTGCAACCGTGCAGAACATGTAAAATAAGGTTGCAGTTTTATTCCCTTTCATGCCTTTTTTAACTGTGTGCCGGCTTAATAATATTCTCCGTAAACTCAACGTCCATGCTCAGCCCACAGCTGTTGTTGATGATGCTTTGGCTAAATTTGTACTACAAACATGCTCAGTGAGCATTGCTCATACGCAGACATAATAGACACAAATCCGATATAAATTTGCAGATATACGTGAGTCCGAATGACCAAGGAGGTATAATCCACAAAAAAAAAAATTATTTATATTTCGCAATTTTTTTTTTTCAATTTTCATATTTTTTGTACGCATGGGTATAGAGTATTTAAAAGTCGGGACACTTTCCAGTTGCTTTTTATTTTATTTATTTAAAACAAATTAATTGTTTAAATGGTTTTATTGTAAAGATAGGGTACTAGAGTTGTACCCGTTCAACTCTAGCTTTCAATTCTTGGTTAAAATAAAGATTGTAATTCCCATTGTTTCAATAGTTTCCAAAAAGCTTTATAATAAAAGATGCATATTCCTTTCGTAATAAATATTATTAATCAAAATACATTGCTCTGTTTATTTGTAAGTTACTCGAGACATTGTTGAATTTAGAATTATATTATAAAATTTTATGATTTTTTTACGGATCGGTGTTGCATTTGTACTGACGATTACTTTTCAAACGGTGTTTAGTTTTGATTATGAATTTGTTTTTATAACATAGATCAAATTAATCCTCGGGGACCTTCCATTGTAGCTGCTTACCACGGTCATAAAGAGTTTTCAGTGCAGTCGTTATCTTTTTATCAGCCTGGAGTTTAAGATAGTGTTTGTAAAGCTGCAGAGTTGTGCGGGCATCCTCAATAGAATCGTGGGTTTCTGATTGTATTTTCGTGCCTAGCGCAAGTTTAAATATGAAGAGTAAAAGCATAATTTTGAATGTTAATTTTTAACTTACCCAAGAAATGCCATGCCAAGAAACGCAAGGAAACCATGCGCTGATGTGGCAGGTGGAAAAGGTGTACGGTGTCGATTATTTGCTCGGACGGTACATGAATGTTAATAACTCTGCAAGCAACGGGGAATGTGAAATGTATGAATATTATAAATTATTATTATTAAAATTGAAAATGTACTAACAAAGTACCATAAAATACTTTATAATCCTAACTCTTATGCTTAAACGAATCATAGCTAATCCAAATAACGCTGTTGATTGAGTTCCAACCGAAAAACAGTATACATTTGTTCATAAATTATATGTTATGTAAACTCACCTGAAATCATTTTTTAGGCCATGCCCCACAAATATAACGCCGACATCGACCAAGAATTTCAACTTTTGATACGAATATTTTAGAGCCGTTAGGCGTTTCTTGCTAAAATTTGCATCTAAATCGCCTGGTTTTATGCCTGAAAACTGTGTCAGGTAATCGACAACCTTCTCCTGTGTCGAAATGTAGTCATCCATAAAAGGAACACCTTCATTCACCCCTTGTCTATAAAAACACAATAACATGTACTCTCATCGCTTACGATGTTAATTAACAGTTGAACTCACCCACGAATGCACGATATGCGCGCCACGCTCATGTGACATGGCTTAATGGTTGCTGTTTTGCCATCTGGACGTATTTCATTCTCCTCTGGATTCAATGTTACAAATTCAGCATCCATTGCAACCAAGTCGCCCGATTGCGGCATTTCATCCGTTTGTAAAGGTTTCAACGTTGCATCAGTGCTGAAGTTACTGGCCACCAATGGGTTAAGCACGTCCTAAGGCAGCATACATTAAAATATTGGGCTATTATTTGATTTTCAGATTTGGCTTACCTGCAGGAATGGATTGTAAAGTGAAGTACTAGTCAAAATATTCGTCTCCTCCTTTGCAGTGGCGTCCTCAGGTAAAGTGCCTTCATTGGTTGGACTGCCAGCAACTTCAGTATTTTCATCAATACTACGATAGAAGAGCACACAGGGCACTTTCCAGTCTAGTGTGAACCAAACTGATTCTTGCGGGGCAACGGGTGAAACGCTAGAACCAAAATAATTAATATAATCTGCAGAAAAGCCTACAAACATCTAAAGTGCAGCTAATCGCCACAGTTCTCATTTAGGTCACATATAAGTTTAAACAGTGATTAAAAACTTACCTGAAATCATTAAAAATATACCATTGATGCAGCTCTTCAGTTGTTTCCATGCAAAGTGATTTCATGGAATGATATTGTTGCTGCACATTTATCAATGAGACCAAATTTTTCTGGGTACCATCATCTATTTGGCAGACCACGGCATGGAGGGCATAGGTGCGCTTGTTAGAGCTTGAACCAATCGCTTTAGCCGAGGCCGTGGCTGCAGTCGCAGTCTCCTCATCCTCTTGTTCCACCTTTGTGGCATTCGCTTCTGTGTGGACAAGCAATTCTCCTTTCTCGTCAATGTCCATATTGAATACCAATGGAAACCACGATTTTTGTCGTCCGTTCGGAGAAGTATTAGGGTTATTTGTTTGACCGCTGTGCGATGGCGATTTTCTGTAACGATTTTAAATAAAACTAATGTTTTATAATATAACCATAGACACTAACCGATCTGGATGCATAAAGTGGCAATCACTGCGTGAGCAATTGATGCCATAACGACAGGGTTTGCTGGTGCTCAGTGTAGATGTTATCTCAGCGGACGGTTTTTCATTGCAACGATTAAGTTGGCGTTTCAAGAAATTGATGTCCTTGTCATTGTTCAACCCACAATTTATTGCCAATATTTGTGGTAGCGATGTAACCTATAATAGCATAAAACAAATGCTATTTAAATTTTTAAACATCATTGCTTTTATTACCTTAACGCTTTGATTGGTCGGCGAAAATTTCTTGCAGTTCTCGCAAAATGCTTGAATACTCTTTTCGGTGCTAAGCGATCGTTTCAAAATTGTACCGAAATTAAACTGCTGCTCAGTATCTTTTATACTCGTGGGATATGACAAATTGCATGCCAATAAAATGTTTTGCTTCGATTTCTGAAATATACAAATATAATTAGTTATTATACGTTCTAGTAATAAAATGGTGTAAGCTAGCTCACCTCTACGTGGCATTTAATGCAACGATTAATGCAAATTTGTTTGGTACCGAAAATTTTACTTATATCAGTTTCTTCATTTATTTTACTGCGCTCACGTTCATCTTCCTTGGCATTATCGTCTGTAAGGTTAGAACAATTAACAATTTAATCTCCAATGTTATCGTATAAAATCGCAATAGTAATAAATACTAAGACTAACCAGCTCGCATATCAATTGTTTCAAAAATATCACTTGCCATGCTACTTTCGTCTGCCGCTGGAGCTATTTCACCTAAATCACAACCAGTTGTAATAAGATAAGGTTTATTTTGATTTTAGATTACCATAACTTGAAGTGTACAAGCTGTTGAGTGCCAAATTCTTGCCCGAGTCAAAATTTTCATAATGCATTTGATGCAAAATAAAGCGATTCCAGTTCTAAAAATTTGAAATGGGTTAGGTTAATTTCAGAGTCTCAAATTAATAACAAACTTGCCTGTATTAGACTAATCAGATTAACATTTGATGACCGATCTGTTAGAATTAGCCCTAAAGCTGATGCCTCTGGCACTGTGCGGAATGAACGCAAAAAGTTGCTCGCTTGGCATGGTGTTGAAGCTAAAAGGAATTGGTACATATATGTATATGCTTGTATGAAAAAATATTTATGCATTTTAATGGAGGAACATACCAGTACTTTTATCTAGCATATGAAAGAGGAATCCAAGCTCACAGGATAAACAAAACTCCTTGGAACATGTATGCGTTATTAATTTGTTGCGTAACGGTACCGTGAAATACAATATCTGTAATGAGGAATTATTTTAAAAGTTCCAAATCTTAAAAAATCGATTGTACAGAGTACCTGCAACATGGCATTACAATAGGAGTTAGGTAATGTGGCCTCGAGACCGGCAAAACACGTTTGATTGTGCTGCTCGAAGTCAAAGTCCTGTGTGCCCAATTTCGTATATTTCAACTCCACTTTACGATAACGTCTTGGTATAATTTTGACGCCGTTTTCTGTTTTCGTAGTAGCTGCAGCGCCATTGGCATTTGCATTGGAGGCGCCGGGCTGCTCAATAATGTAGGGTATTTGATTGCGTCTCGCTGTACGTGGATTCGGCGAATAGCCAATGGGACCTTGCATTTTCATGTTATTCAACACATCCGAATCTATTGGTTTCGGACGATGATATTCGTATCGCAACAGCTCTTCGGGCCAGTCAGAGAACCAACGTGTGCCAGTCGTTAGGTGCGGCAACATCACCGACGATAATGGAAAGTTGGTGTCTGTAATTGGCACCATGGGTAGTGGTGGCACGACATCCGCAAATTCAGTGTTGCGCGAGAAGGCATTGAATTGTGGTTGCGGCGTTTGTACCGAAGCAATTGTGTTAATATGCCCCGACTGATCGCCAAAAGCCATGGCCTGAGAGGAAGAACTGATGTCGAAGCTCAGACACTGACTACCGTTAGTGTTAATTTGATACATGGAAACACGTGGTTCGCTCAGCGCCACGGTATCCACTAACTGTAGCTGGCCATAGCTCGACACAACGGCTAGGCGAGATGAGAGCGAAGGCAGGAACTTCAACATCTGTGGATCAATTAGGATTTGTATGGGTGAGATCAGGCGTAGCATGCGTAAATCGTAGACCATTAGGAAACGATCTATGGCCAAATTGTTCTGGCGTCCGCTGTAGCCGCACGATATGAGATAATTTCCCTGAACATCAAAGTCAGATAGGCTATTTGTGTGCGTTTTTATCGTATGCTCTACGCTCAAGCTGTTCAAGTCACGCAACGTGACTGTGCCGAATTGATCGCCCGCGAACAAATACCGCGAATTTTTGCGTAGCACAGTGCATCCCGCAGTGCCAACATGCTCCAGTTGTGTTTCCTTCAATGTGCGCATATCGAAATCAATGAGTTCCTCCTGCAGGCCAGCCATAACTAGTCGATGCGGCGATAGTTGGAGCATACAGACCATTTCCACCATATTCTTGGACCTAAAAATCATTTTGAGTTTATTTTCTCAAGTGAGGAATAAGCAGCATAGGTGCTTACTTGTGCGTGAACTTCGGCAAACCTCGTCGAATTTGGTGCCGGAGTGAGGTCTGTGTCAATACCAACACACCCGAATCGGTTGTGGTGATCTGGCGCACAATGTCGCTGACATGTACTTGGAATGATGTGTACTTCTGCAAGGAGCTGGTGTAGTAGGAAGTAACATGCCCCTGCAATTAGAACCAAAGGTAATTTTAAAATTACTGGGTCAAATTAAAAAACGTACACCTTGGTTGCCCATCCATAGCAACTCCTCGTAGTCGTCGAAGGCCACACTAGAGACGCCATAATTTTCACCACCATCGGCCAAAATGGGCACCAGCTCGACATAGTCTGGGTCAGTGGTGCCTATATTGAAACCGTTAAAGCTGGGCGAATAATGCCCAGCTGCGCCTACAGTAGCTAAAATAATACACACAAACAGAATACTATTAGCTTAAATTTTTGTTTGGCGTATACAAGAGTAATAGCAGCAACAACAATGAATACGCAACAAAGGCGAAAGTACAAAACTGCTACTTACTCAAAATTTCATCATCTCTCTCCGGGCCGGTGCCACAATACACGAAATCCATTAAAATGCAGCCCCCAATGTAATAAATTTATCAGCACTGTGATTTGCTACGCAATTATTATATTTTGTTATCGCTGTTTTGTTATGCAGAATTTTGACGCGTTTATATTTACATTTTATTCTTTTGTTTTTTGAACTTCAGAAAGGCAAAAAGAAGACACACCAACGATCCGGCAACTCTTCTGCTCCGCGATTTTGATAATGTTTCGAGGCATATTTGCATGCGGATTTAAAGAATACTTATTCACCAGGTCTAGTGCAGTAGTAGAGAAAATCAGGATGGCTGCTTTACAACAAATTGTGGAAAACAACCAACGTGCCCAGGCACTTATTGATTCCATGCAAGGAGAGGCAAGTGTTTCTTATTTATTCGATATGTTACGTACTATATATTACATATGTATGTATGTATAATATGTATGTATAAATAAATATGCATGCACATATGTAAGTTTTATTGTATATATGTTATCTTATTATGCAGCTAAATTCTTTACAAAAGGCAATTGTAGCGCGCAAAAAAAAGGAGCTGGCCAGGGAGAACGAGGAGTTAACGAAAGAAGTGGAGGCAGCATTGGCTCAATTGATTCAGCTGGAGCTAAAGAATGGGAAGAGGCAAATACCGGTGCCTGGATTAGTACGGGGAATGTGCACCAAAGTACCACTACCCTCCGAAATTGCCATACCTCCAGCTTTAAGTGCTGCTACGCTAGCACCAACAAAAGAAGTAAAAGGGGCCAAAGAGAAGAAACCTAAAGAAAAAAAAACAGCAATTGAAAAGGTCGTAGCCACTGCTGAGGCACCTGTTGATGTGTCTCGCTTGGACATGCGCGTTGGGAAAATAGTCGAAGTAGGTCGTCATCCAGATGCCGACAGTTTGTATCTGGAAAAAATTGACTGTGGGGAGGGAATATTACGTACTGTTGTATCGGGATTGGTTAAATTTATTCCCCTAGATGAGATGCAGAATCGAATGGTTGTGGTACTGTGCAATTTGAAGCCAGCCAAAATGCGTGGCGTCACATCTGAAGCCATGGTCATGTGTGCTTCAACACCCGAAAAGGTTGAAGTCCTGAGCCCACCTCCTGGTGCTGTGCCCGGAGATTTGGTGCATTGCGAAGGTTACTCACGTCAACCCGATGCGCAACTGAATCCCAAAAAAAAGGTATTCGAAACATGTGCTCCAGACCTGATGACCAATGGTGACTTGGTGGCATGCTACAAGGGTGCATCTTTGCACGTACCTGGCAAAGGCCCAATTGTCTCACAAACATTAAAGAATGTTAATGTTAAATAGGTCCAATTTATAAAATATATTCTCTGTGTGTCCATTCTACTTCTTCCATTATACATTGATTTAACAGTATTTTATTTTAGTATTAACAAAAGATTTTACATTTACACTTGTATATAGTATAGTTTTTACACAATTTGGCGTAATCTCATTGCTACCGCCTACCGCATCCTCTACTGTGGGGGCTGCCGATGCAACACATTCGGGTTGTCAATCACAACAACCGTCTTTGCAAAGATGTCATAGGCGGTTCGATTGTTTTTGAAGAATACCATAACAACACAGATGGGAAACAAAAGCGTCATCACTAGATTCTTTGCTAGGGCTCGCATGAAAGCTCTCACCAATGTCGGCGTCTCGGCGGGATAGAGGAGGGCACGTAAAGGTTCGCGTTGCGCCTGAAACAGAAACTGCGGCACTACTTGCCCCTGCAATGGCACCACAGCTTCCACATAGAGTATACGGATTTTCATCAAAGCCTTCCCCGGCGTTGCTCCATTGTACCAAACCGTCCAGATGGCCTCATAGAAGCAAACTATTAACTTAGTCATTAGCTCAATTAGTATTAGATCAGACGAGAGTGTGAGGAAGTCCACTGAAAGGTCGAAAAAGCTTGCTAGGATATCTTCGTCATCGAGCGTTTTTCGAATTACATCCTTGTGGATATCAAAGCCCATGTTTAGGTCCAGAAAGCTTACAATGGCAAATGTAATAATAATCTTCAGCAGGAGCAAAATAATGAAATCAATGGCTTCGGCAAGAGCTCTCTTCCAAAATGGAGCCACCACGTACTCGTACCCGCCGACTCGTTGTATTATCTCCTGTTGTTGGATCTCGTCCAACATGCGAAATCGATTGAAGTGCGGACGAGCAGCCCCTACTGCAGCGACTGGAGCATTTGGCTGGATAGGTGCTGCCTGAGCCTGCGATGCAGCCTGGCTGTACGGCAAGTTGGATGAGCCCTGCGCTTGAAACAAATGCGGATAATAATTAGCCAGTAGATAGTAGGGAAACATGGCCGTTGCGTTCTGGGTCATTGTTGCCTGTTTAGCCCATGCTCTGAGACTGGCAAAGTACGCTTCTTTAGTGGACATCTCCTTGTTATTTGTCTCGATTAGTTTTTGTCCTTCGCCATTGGCTTCAGTTGTATTTTCTGGGATTGTGGTTGTCTCGTCAGTATTTTCGCTCATCTTTCTTTGCAGATACTAGTGGAATTTTTAAAATGTTACTTATCTTCGTAGTTTATTTATATTTTATTTAGTTGTGTTGTTTCGGTTGACGTGTTTATCATTAGCAATGCAGAGGGGTGCGAGGATTACTACGGAATAGCGTTGCCAAATCGCTAGCATGTAAATGATATTGACAGCAAATGGCGCGAACATCAGCTGTGCAGTTCAGCTTTGAATAAATAATTTTGTAAGCTCACATTTATATAACGCTAATACTCGTATATGTATGTTTGTATAGGACGTGTATGATTTCTGCTACTTACTAAACAAACCTTTTGATAGGCATGCATCACCATTTTAATAAAATATCTGCCTATATACATACGTTAGTCAACGATGTGACCTTTGCGATGGCAAAAAAACATCTGCTAGCCCTTTCACTATTATTGCACATAGCATATAAACACCATCTGCATTATATAAGTAAAAAGAATCAATTTACCACAGTATTATCAAACCCTGTCCTAATCGAATAACTACAAACTAAGAAATTTGTACGTGCATTTGTATGTATATGTACATATATAAACTCTGCATTATACTCAATAAAATTAGTACGGCTGGAACTTATACATAAATAAATAAAAAATGATACATCCAATAAAAATTCAGGGTTTAAGAAGCACAAGTACCCATTCTGTAAAAAATTGGGTATTTGACGAATAGAAATTAAAAAACCTTTAGATTAACCAATTACTTCAAATGATGCAAAATCGGTGGTGTGCATCAGCTTTTATACTTTTTGAGATCCTTACGTTCAAAAAAATTTTTTAAAACTTTGTGGGGTCTTTACTTCGCACCAAGCTAGTATACTTTTTTGGGTACAGGGCATAAAAATTACGTGATTTTTCCCTACATTTCAGCTCAATCATCTTGTAGACTGGTAACATATTACTGGAAGTTATTGGTTCGGTTTAAGATGATCCCATTGTGGCTCACATCTGTTAAAATTTAAAATGTATTCCATTGAAACTGCAATTGTACATGTTATACATATATTTTTTATTTTATTCATTTCATTAAAAAATTATTTAAAAAAATTTTTGTTTTGTTTTTGTGGTACAGGGTATTTAAGAGTTAAGTTCATTCGTTTCTTGTTTTCAAACTCATAATACCCTTGATATCTACAGCAGTACAATTATAGAGATCAATTTGTTGAGCTATTAATATCAAGAATTTTTATCCCAGAGCAACTTACGACTTTATCTGCCATAGCAAACAAGCAATGGTTTCTACAGACAGTAGCTGAGATGTGCAAATCTTCATAGGACAATTCATCATGTAACGTGACCCAACATTTCAATTTTATAAAAAAAGGTTTAATAATGTATGTATGTACGTCGAAGCTCTGGAAATGTTTTGAACTCATGATATCAAGTATTCCGTATTCAACAAATGAGATAATATCCACATATATTCTTCTCCTATCAAGAACATAACAAATAAATCTTAATATAATTCGCCTCGAACATACGCACATGGACCAAACTTTATCAAAACATTGCCCTTTCTGCAACAACGCGCTAATAAACATTTCACACATCCTCACGTCATGCTCCACACTCCTACCACATTATTATCTATTCTCCCAAACATTAACACCATCACCTTAATTTCAAACCCATCAAGACACAACTCTTACCTTATATTAAAATATTTAAAAGCCACAAACACCACAAAATCTAAGCCCACTCCTCATACATACATATTTATGTATATATTCCTACTTTTTTCCTCAATATGTACTGTAAAATGTACATACAAAGTTAGCTTAAGGCCCTGGAAACCATTGCTAACATAATCTCTTCTGTAGCAAAGAGTAAGAGTAGTAAAAGCTGCGTACGGCTTTTACCAAATGGTTACAAGACTTCAAGTTAATAAATTCATGAAATATCATTTCAAACAAAGAGACCTTCTAGAAATGAATCATGACAGCTTTCTTTTCTAATTTATACTACCAGAGATAAAGATCCCGAAATAAAATCGCCAAATCGTTGAAACTAAAGTAAAAGGACAAGAGATGGTGCAAATAAACATATTTATAGGAAAAACTTCCTATCTTTAAAGCTTTTTAACGCAGATTGATAAGGCTTGACAGCATATTTTACTATAAAGCAGCGATAATATTATCTGAAATAGTTGGTAAATATATGTACATATAATAGATTAGTATAATGTTACACAGTTCAGGTTTATTTATTTTAAAATGTATCATTCGATTTTATAATAAAAACCAAATACATACTTAGTATATGCCATAGCTGAATTTTAATTCAGTTACAGTTCAGGACGAGCAACTTCCCTCTCATATACATATGTACATACATATGTATGTATATTAGGGTGCACGTGCTTGCTTTTAAGTTAATGCGCAGTGCTGCGAAATGTACAATTGAATTACATTAAATTGATAGCATAAAATCATAAAAGTACTTTTTGCCAAAGTCTTAGTTGGTTTCTAGGCAATGTATTTATATAAATTTGTATGGTACTTTTTCCAGTTCTGAGATACATATACATTTGTATGTATGTATTATATATGTATACATACATTCGTAATACCCAATACTAGGATTAACAAAAGAATGTACTAGTATCTAACTAAATTTCACAAATATGCTTATGGGTACTATTTATTTTCTCGATTATTAATATTTATTGGATTTTGATAGGTGCATAGCAACAAATTTTGGTCGGATACGCACTGTTTTCAAACGTGAAAACTATTTTTTATTGCAAATGGCTTATTGAATACAGGTTTGTGTGGGAATTCTTCTACCAATGCAGTAGTCACTTATTACGTACAATCCAAGGTAAGTTGAAGAACACAATGGATTGGTTTAGCGGCAAGTTACAAATATTATATTTAATTATTAATCAACTGCTTGCACACCAAATACAGGTTTGTGTGGGAATTCTTCTACCAATGCAGTAGTCACTTATTACGTACAATCCAAGGTAAGTTGAAGAACACAATGGATTGGTTTAGCGGCAAGTTACAAATATTATATTTAATTATTAATCAACTGCTTGCACACCAAATGGACAGGCACAGGCCGTAAATAAAGGGTGTAAAATAATAACTGTGTTTTTATTGCCAAACATTACCGATATTTAGGTTACCAAACTGTTGATTTAGATTTGATGTCGCTGACGCGGCATTTGCACTGCTTCCTGTCGTGGAAAATCCTCCCGCCAACGGTGGTGGTACTCCACTTCCCATTTGCTGCATAGCATTCATGCCTACGCCAAGATGTTGTGATTGTGGATTGACTTGAGATTGTACACCACCGAAAAGAGAAACTCCACTTAGAAGGCTTTGATTGGTCTGCATTAAATTGGCGCCACTTGCTTGTCCCACCAGATTGCTATTAGCCCCATATGGACTGCCACCAGAACTGGGGAATTGCCCACCAAAGTTGACGCCACCAACTAAATTCATACTGCCGCTGGGTGCGCTGCTGAATGCATTGGGTGCGGCCATTACTGGCGCATTATACATGCTAACTGAATTTGGTGGTGTCATGAACTGATGAGGATGTGGTTGCTGTGGCACCTGCTGATGCTGCTGATGATGCATATAGCCGCCGGGGGCCATGCCTGTGAAGCCGCCGAAATTCATCTGTTGGTTGTGAGACGCAGGTGGATTGCCGTATAAAGCCAATATGCTGTCTTTTGACAGTTTGCCCGATTGCTCCTTTTCATTGCAACTTAGTGAACCTTGATTAAAGAAGTCCTGCTCCTCTTGGGCCAATGAATTCGCTTGCATACCCGATCCAGAGGCATCGCCAATATTTCCATTCGTTTTCTCCGGCGTTGTGCTGGGTACACCGATAATTCCAGTGCTGCTACTGGCACTAAGGAAGCTGCTGAAACTATCATTCTGCAGATCTTGCGCACCCGTATTAGTAGCTATTGGCTTTGTAGGTGATGACAAGCCTAGAAGATCACTTTCGCCGGCAGTATTGTTGATGTTACTGTTTTGCACACGATGCGTTACTTTAGGGCTACTGCCACCCACTTGATTGGGTTTGGGCTTAGGTAGGGGTGCCGGCAGTGGAGCACATTTTGCAATTGTCGTTGAGACACGTTTATCAGAAGCGCTACCACTGGCATTACCTATACACAAAGTGCCCTGGGCGGCCTTCTTTTTTCGCTTTTGTCGCTCCAATTCCTCGTCAATCTTCCACTCTTTAGCCCAATCCACTTTTGGTGGTGAATTTTCACGATATTCCAACGCAATATACTTCTTATGCTCGTACTTGGCACGTATAAAAGATTCCAGTGCCGTGTCCGTTTGGGGACGTCTAAATGAATCCGGCAACTGAGCCTCGTAGACGGCACGTGCCCTGGAATTTCCCATTTGCTGCAATGAGATCACCTGCTCAGGAGTCCAAGCATCCAAATTGACAGACTTCACACGCGATATGTGTACACCCAGATTACGATGTATGCCCGCGCAGCGTATGCAAAGGAATACACCAAGGTTAAATGAAGCCCACCGAGGACCTGAAACGGTTTTAAGCATAACTCTGTAAATATACACATACATTCATATATGCGAATAAGTGTGTACAGACAAATCAAAAACAATTCAGCTCATTGCGGCGTTGTATGATATTTGTACTTATATGGCAAATACCCGCCCTAAAAATGATACCAGTGTTAAACATGACAAGCTGATATGAAATTTCAAACATGTACCCTGCTCATATTCAAGTTTTTGCAGCACGCACCGATTTTAATAGAAAAATAAAGCAGAGATGGGCCATACGCTCAAACTCAATGACCACGACACCCGCAAACACACGCATACAAGCAAACAGTTCACAAATGTATGTACACACGTCATATGGAGTTGGATGTATTGTTTTCTCATCCAGACACATACCCTTTGCATCGCAATCGACACAATATTTATTATCTTCGTCTCGAAGCATTTGCGTTAATAGGGATTGACATTTTTCCTGCATCAATTTTGTACGTTCCGCATCCTTGTCCTTACGGCCTAAGCTTGACGTACTGCTACTCATTTTCCTGCACTTGTCGTCTCCTCCTCCGCACCAAAGTCCTTCTCGTTGCACTTGTTAATACAAATTAGTGTATTTGATAGCGAAATTTTGATGGGTTATCTAGTGTTTTTACATCAGCATTTAATTTTTTCTACGAAAACTACACCAATTTCGCTCTGAATGAAAAATAGGTGTACGTCTACGAGATGTCAACTGTCTGGCAATATTTGTGTCAGATTGCAGCACTGGTACTACAGACCTACCGGACTGTTTATAGAGTGCAGGGCCAGACCAAGCCAAGTTTTGAATCGTACGCGTCAACAAGTAGATTGCTTTGTTTACTTATATTGCACTCAATTATGGAAAATATAAAAAGCGCCAGCATGCGTACCTTAAAGGAGAAATTAAATGCATGCCATTTATTATTAAATGATGGGTGTGCGTATAAAGAAATCAACACCAATTGGCTAAATGTGAGTTAAGGATAGGTACAAGTGCCTCGTTCGCAGATTTATAGACCGCATTTAACCTTACAGAAGTTTTGTGCAAAATTTTTCGATCTTACTAATGCTTTGCACGATTATATGGGACATAATTTGGAAGAGCACGTGGAAATGATCAGTTTATGTCTGACTCAGGTTGTGGTCTGTATAAGATATTTGGAGTGCACTTTCAAGGCTGAAACTGCAAATGGGACAGTTATTCCGGTAAGCATTATTGTTGGTAATTTTTATTGAATAGAATTATAGAATTCTATAAGGCAAGTCGCCAACATTTCCTCGATCGCATGCGATGGTGCCTAGAACGCCTGCGAAGTCTTCACCCATCAGAAGAGCAGTCTTTCTTAAAAATAATGGACTCCACCTTAGATATCCTGACGACATTTAACAGCGATATTAATGAGACTGAGGGCGAGGAAAAGGACTTGCTGTCAATAAGCAAACAAATACGAGGCAATGTAGATTTGATTTTAAGTCACATTTTGGCCTTTGCCAATGTTGCCTTGCAGCAGGATAAGAAAGCTTTGAGTGCTCTCTGTCAAAAGGTGCAGTATAAAAATCAAATATTTATTTTAAGTATGTAACAAAAAATATATTATTCATAGGTTCTACGCGAGTGTGCCGCTTTTCAATCCGAGTGCGAGATTAAAAAAAGTAACCGATCTAATAGAAACCTACGAGCCACATCGCTGGAGCACGCACTCTGTCAACTGGAGGACTATATCAATGAAGCATTGCTGCGCTTGGTGTTCACTTGCTTTCTAGATTTTGATAAATTTTCAATTGAGAAAATGCGCAACGTTTTTCGAAAAATGTCGTCAGATGATTCAATAGCAGATGAAATTATAGCAGATTTTGATGTGAATGTGGATCGCACAACTCAAATAGGAATATTTGCTATAGCGTTTTCGCCAAACTTAAAGAGTAAGTAAAGACCGCTGCACTTTAAATTACAGTATAGTCTCTAAGTATTCATGTTTACATACAGTGAGAACCAAATTCCGCAGCTGTTTGGCGTCATTTGAATCATTAGATACGAGCTTGGTCCCTGCTCTGCAGACTACAGGGTCGGAATTACATTCGGAGTTGTTGGAGCAACATTTCAACGAAGAAGTAAGAAAATTTAAAACTGCTTTGCAGGAGATCATCGATAGTCGCGCTTTTGTCAGCTGCTATTTGGAAATGCTAACCGTCGGGATTATTGCCTCAGAGAAACAGTTTAATAAATCGCAGTTGCAGGACTTGGCACAAATGAGCTGTGCTTTGATCGAGCATTTCCAGTTGCCTATAAATCAAAAGATATTACTTAAAAGTAAACAGGGCGATTACTTTCAGCAGTATCTGCAAATGGTACGTGAGTGTAAGGCAATTCTAATGTGTGCTGCTCAAGTAGAACCACAGCGGATTATTAAGCGGTTTAAAATATTACGCACTGTACTCCGTAAACTACACGACGGCATTGCAACGGACCATCTTGAAAATACCTTTCATACAACTGCAGGAGCAAGTAGGGACAATTTGAGCGTTAACGTAGGCATGCTGGAGTTTATGGGCACGATTCCGTCCACCAGCAGCATTCTATACGACAACAGTCAACGCAGAAAACGAGTTCAAAGACCAATGATTGGAATCAGAAATACATCAACACTCAATAACCTTCATGGTAATGCAGCCCAACTAAATATCACTAAAACCAATAATCATGGCAGTGTGCGTCGACGTAAGTTAAATACAGAGGGTCAGCCCCTCTGATTTCAGGAATTTATTGTTCCGTTTCTTAGCAATGTTAACATATTAGTTATTAACTGTTTCTGTTTTCTAGGAGAAAGCCTTCGTACTGTCTTGTTTAAGCGCCAGAACATGACTGAAAATCCGAAACTTTACAATAGCATTTGTAATGAATCAGCCAGCTTGCAAATTAGTGGTAAATAAACAAAAATTGCCACATTTTCGTAAATAAAACATATTGGTTTTTCAGACATACTCGACCAGCTAACCCATTTGTCATCTGGCTTATCAGTTATTGAACCCAGAACTTAAAAACATTATTTTTACCAGATAGATATAACTTTAAAGTCAAATATTGTATATAAAAAAGAGAGCAGATTCAAAAAATTCAATTTCCGTTCATATGTAAATAAGTATATCCAGTGTCTATTGTGAATGTTAGTATATACATACATACATATGTATGTATGTCTTTAATTGTGTTGGTTGAAGTTTTTGTTTCGGGGCCAATTAAGTGGAAATATGAATCAAAAATGTCATTAAAGTAGGATTAAAATACTTTTTAATAAAATGAGTAGTTTGTTTTGAAAAAGCAACAAGTGAATAAATAATCGCCTGTTAATTGACGGCATATAAAAAGATGTAAAAGTTTGAGGAAATGAAAAAGGTCATGACCTATTTAATTCATGTTACATGAATAATTTGTATAAATATATATAAAAATACCATCTAATATGTATTCACTGCAAATAGTTCAATGTAAACCAAATTAACAAAATCTCTCATTACTCCATATCGATTTTTCAAGGATATTTAAAAAGGAGCTTTTGTTTACACAGTGTGAGTAATTAATTGATGTTTTTGATTTTCTCTCAGGAAATGAAAACACAAATTGAAGAAGCTGAAACTCCAAATGCTGATGACAAACTAAAAATCAGCCCAGACCTTACCTTTGAGCCCAGACAAAATAACAACCACTATGTGGTACCAGTCGGCTTACTCATAGTGCTTGTCACCATATATCTAATGGTAGAAGGATTACAGCTCAACTATAAGCGTTTTTCGGAATCAAGCGTAGCGGCTACAAAGCTGAATACAATTCAAAACGAAGCAATGGCACCCCAAATGCTACCCACGTGCATAGAACTGGACATTTTTACTGAGCAACAGGACGACAAGTCTTTGTCGTTCTCAAATGCCAGGAATCAGTTGATGAAACCTAATCCGCAAAGCAAGGCTACCAAACGTAAAGCACAGAACGGAAATGCAGGAAGTAAACTATCAAAAGTGCCCAGAATGAACAAACAACTAGAGATGAGCAACAAGAAAGATTCCCCTAAGAAAAGCAATACAGCTGAACCCATAATTTATCTTTTTGCTCTCGTCTTTATCTATCTATTACTAAAGGCGGCGTCGGACATCAATCAGCATTACAAATCAGTAAGATTTTATATATGCAATACATGTATACCCATTACTTATGGGTCCAATTTACCAAATGCACTTTTAGTTATATACACATTCCATCTCAGTCTTGACTGAGTTTTATATTTTATGTATACATAGCTCGGGAATTGACTTGTTTAATAAATACATATTTGAGTCTCCACCCATACGCCGGTTAGATATCACATATCACCTGTCCCTTCTGGCTCAATGGAGTTGTGATAAAGCAGTATCAAAAGGTTCGCACATATACCGGCTTCAATGCCTAAAGTATCTGAAGAAGTTCGCGCCTCATGTCTTTAGTCATCTATTATTTTGTGACCAAGTTGTTAGCAAGTTTTTGTATCGAGGTTGTCCGTACGAATGTACTTTCCTTATACCCTTTGGGTAAAGGGTATTAAAAGAACTCCTGGTCTAATTAATTTAGTGTACCTATATCACTATATCAACATAGGACAGATCTTAAATAAAGATTAAAGATTTAGAAAAAACAAGTAGAGAAGCTAAAATCGACTTTGAAATACTTTGTACCTATGTGTGGACTCATAATCACTAACTGGACAGATTATCCGAATTTTAATGAAAAATTCCAAGTATGGGAGAAAATCACTGATTACTGGGGAGAGGGAGGGAAATTCCGAAATACACGTTTTCTGCGTATTCACATAATGCATCTGGGACTAATTTTGTGACCCTAGGTCTTCTAGTCTCTGAAATATATTATACGAATGGAAATCCGGAAATTCCCCATAAGGGTGAAGTCGGGGGGAAAATCAAAAAATAAAACAAACTTGTACAGCGTACACACATAAGGCATCTTGTGCAAAATTTGGTGTCTCTAGCTATTATATACGGGCAAACAGACAGACAGGGCTAGATCGACTCGTCGTGCTGATCAAAAATATATATATTTTGTGGGGTCTGCCACGCCTCCTTCTGCCTGTTAAATTTTTCAGCTTGCGCAAACCTAATATAATCACTCTGGAATTGTTTATTAGTTTGTATTGATTTACCAATAACGACAACTTCCGTTTGTGGACATAACAAATATAACTATATTAATTTCTCTCTTTTAGCAAAACAAAGGTGACAAACGGTTGCGCCGCTGCTCCTTACAATCCTACGCCCAGGCACATAAAGATCGACGGGCGTCCAAAGGTATTTCCCCAAAAAGCTTCCCAAAGTTTTAAGCAACTAAATGTCTGGTTGTTAAAAAATAAAAAGGATCAAAGTAATTCTTTGAGATAAACATAATCTTAATGTATACATACCTAAACATGTACACTTACATTTCTTATCCTTACACATTTCACTGTTTTTTTCTACAACGTACATATGTAATTTTCAGACTACTTTCCAATTGTGTAATTTCCTATTTGTGATAGGTTGGAAAATTTCTTATTTTAGAAAAATTTGCTTGGCATAGGTAAAGAACAGAAAAATATGGCACATAAAATTAGAATAAGTAAATACTTTTTACAAAATAATTATATTGGTGAAAACATTTAGACAAATTTGTATACCCTGTACCCAAACGGTGCAACACACAGAAGAAGGTGTGGCAGACCCCCCAAAGTATGAGAAGACTAGTCGATATCCGTCTGTCCGCCCGTTCGTTAAAAATTTGAGGAATTACGGGAGTTGTTGAAAATTGCGTATACCGGGGGAGTGTGGAGGTGCATTAGAAAAAACCTAAGCTCGTCCTTTTTTCGAGAATATACTATATATGCTTCTGTGTGTTACATACATTCCTTCAAAACTAGTATACTCTTTTACCCTTTGTGTACAGGGAATAAAAAAAGATAATGTTGTGTGAGTGGGTACAGGGGCGGCCCGGCCGACTTTAGAATTCCATTCTTCTTTTTTTTGTTTTTCAGACAAGAAAAATAAATATTCTAGACATCTGTAACATCTGTAAATATTCTAGACATAAACGTTGCTACAATTGTTTCTTTCCATTTTCTGATTATTACCTTGCCATGCCCTTTGCACTATGACACGGAATTTTTCACAATATTTACATCGATAATTCCAACCGTCTACTATATATACAGTCTATGAACGCCAATTAAATAACAATTTTTACTGATTTTAAAGAACAAACTATTGCCTTGAACTCGGCGTTTAAAAAAAAAAAACTGTGAAACTGTACTGATCTCTATATACTTACAATACACATTTTCTGCATTAAACTGCTTTTGGTACGCATTATTCAAACCCTAAATATTGTAAACCTATAGAAAGTAGAATAAACGTTGTTCCAAGGCTTTATCTACATACATAAATATGTGTGACCTATAGATTATATCGTAAAGTATTGTGGCACAAAAATATTGTAAAGTATATCGTAAAATAAAACAACTGTCTGTAATCCTGTGATGATTTAACTAAATACATACATACATACTATATATGTTTATGCATCTGTGTTTTCTTTCTTTCGTTTATTCTCTACGTCTTTCTATCTGCAACATCTATGAGTTAAGCTTCATTTAACACATGCTAAACTATAGATTTTTTCACATAAAACTCACGTTCGTATGCATCAAACTCGAAGATTCTCCATTGCGACGCAGACACAACATATTATCCCCAGCACGTTCCATATCAGTGGATCGATACAAGTACGTAATTAGCGAGGAGCGAGATATAGCAGCAACTAGACACATGCCAACTATTATGAGAAAGCAGACCTCGTTGGGCGATTCAGCAGACACATCCACATCAGCATATATTTCTAGAGCACCAATACGGGAGAACAGCGGACAGGCTTTTGAGGGAGGGGATAAGCCTTTGGGTAAAAATAAAAAATTTGATTTTTTAATGGAAATACATATAACTGCAGCTGCGCCCATTCTTGCGGTTTCTCTTCCATAGAATTTAAGAGATCAATGAGTTTTACTCGCCGTTGTTCAGTACCAGTAAGCATAAACTATCAAACCGTACAGGTGGTGCATCATTCTGGCGCTCATTTGCAGAGAAGGAGTTCCAATATAAACATGGGTAGCCTGACAGGCATGAATCTAGACATGCAGACTAATTCAATACTCGAGACGAAAAGACGCGTACGCATGATCAATCGTCATTGAATGCTATGCCTCATAACTCTTAAAATATCATGGATTACAACCGTCACTAACAAACCTTCCAACGAACATAATATACGAATTTAAAAGAAACTAAAAAAAATATATATACATACAAATGCACCTAATCCCGTTTTACACGGTGTTTTTTTAAACGGTTTTGATTTAACACGGTTTGAAAATTATAAATTTGGTTACACGACGTTATTCCATTTAACACTTTAAACATATGATCGATGTCTTTTTTTACACGACTTTTTCTGGAACCAATCTGCCATGTAAAAACAGAATTAGGTATACATATATACAGTGAAACATAACATATATACAGTGGGCACTCTCTTTGGCGGTCACTTTTTCTAAAACATTCGACCGGTGTATAAATTATTTAAGTATCCCCTTAAGCGAACAAAATTGGGCGACCGTGAGTGTCTGGCCGAGAGAGTTTTCACAGAAATTCCTAATAATATAAGCAATTGATATGTATTATGATCCAACGCCAAATATTCAGATTTATGAACAACCTGATAAGAAGTGAATCAGCAATTAATGCTCCACCTAACTGAACAATAAGACTAAGCGAACCGAATAATAAAAAAAAATTCAAATACTTACATATGAGTATATTGCTCTTAATACTTCTTTTTAATTCATGTATTGTTCAAGTTTTGTTTGTTGTAAAACTTTAACATACAAAGGTATATAAGTAAATATATTTTTTAAACATACAAAATACATTTCTACAAACGTTATGTCATAGTTACTTATTGCATAGCCTATTTAATAATATTTTATAAATGCGTTTTCGCTTGCTTGTGCTGTTTGAACTGTTAAATATTTACATAAGTTGAACACCTAACATCTAGTGGAAGTTAATTTTTCTATAAATTAATATGGTTAAATTAATAACAGGCTTTGAAATATACCATTATGTCTCATGTTATTATTTAATATTAAAGTGAGCTAATTAAGGCAAGATTTTAAACAATCCTTATCTCGTAAATGATAATTATATTAGTATTATTATAATTAATTGTTGAATAATAATCGTTTGATGACCATAAGATAGCTTTTTTATTTCTCAAAAATCGTAAATAAGCAAAAAGCAATCATCAATCAATTGATTATAACAAATAGGTTTTCTTAAGACATCATTTTACAAACTTTTAAGGCATTTTTCACTATTTACTGCTAACTATTCATAAAAATAAAACAATAATAAATTACGTACATTATTTGCATATTTATCAACACTAATTGTAGCTGTTTTGGGGCCAGTTTGCAAAACGTTTTAATAACGCAGTACGGTAAATTATTATTTAGCTAAGTTCATTACCTTCAAAGAGACTTTCGCAGCTTTCCAAAAGACGCAGCACCGGTGATATGTCATAGGGGTATAGATTTGCAGACACCAAACGAGATATTTGAAAACGCAAACGGATTAGTACTCCCATAGCCTCCTGCAGCGTGCTGTTGCCCATCCCAAAGCTATGGCAGCTGTGGACAAATATAGTCCAGTTCATACGAATATATTTGAGAAATCGAAGCAAATAGAGTAGAAAGCAGGTCTCATTGCTAACGAGCAAATCCAGCAACAGGTCTGAACTGTTCGATGTCATTTTTAGAAATTCTAGGAATGTATATACAGGATTTAGAATGGCGACCAACTCCGGAAATGCATTATTGCGAAACGATATGCCCGAGGTGACATCCAGTGTACAGACCATCGCTTCGATTAAATGGTCGTCCTGATCATCGAACAGATGTATGAGAATTTTGCTAAAGTGGCTTCTTGGATGGAACTCAAGTGTTTGCTTTATAAACGTTTCAAGTTTGCTAAGTACATCGCGTATGGAGCGCTCAATTAGCAGCATATCTTGAAATGCATCGTAGTCGCTAGAATCGATGGATGAATCCGATGAATCGCTGCGTATTTCTTTAACAGTAACCGCAATTGATTTCAGCACCAAGAGCACCATTTTCTGCAGCATCGTCTTATCCATTTCGATGAGATCCAACGGTGCACCGCCAGCGGCTTCCGCTTGTGTAGTTGTAGACATGGTACCATACACATAGGTAATAGGCAAACCATTATAACCTATTAAGCCAACATTATTTTCGGGCTGGTGTCGCGGCAACGATTCCAGTATACGAAAGTCACGCACGTGTCGCACAATCTGATGAGCTAACTTGCATGTCTCCTCGGGCAGCGTGTCCTGCAGCGCCAGAGTGGAGCCATAGCATAGTGCTTCGTTAAACAAGCAAAGCATTTGCTTGTAAACAGTACATGGCAAGCTCTGGCTAAGCAGCAGCTCAAATTTGTCCAGTTGCGCATAGTAGGGACGTGTCTCATCTATAGAGAGATTCGCTTTCACCGATATAATATTTTCCCATAGCTGTAGAAAATTAAGCACACAATGCTCCGCAGCATCGTGACACGCTGTGGACATTAGCCCAGACATGTTCTTCACCAGCGTGGGCCATTTGTGCTCCAGTTTTTGTATAGTAATGCACTTCAGATGTGTCGTATCAAAGCTCTCCGAGTCGGTAAGCGTAACAACATGGCAGCCATTGGGTAGGTAAGCAGTTGTTACGCTGCTACCGCTAGCAGCCGTGGTAGTCCTCGGTTCTTCATCGTTTTGGTGGCCTTCGTGCTCATTCGCATCTTCGCGAAATTGCAATGCAAAATAGTTGGTCGCCAACGATTGTTCCTGCACTGGAAAGTGCATATAGCTTATAGATGCTTCTGATGCCAGTGCGGAAACTGTCTGGGTGTTATTGCTACTACTGCTGCCAGCTGCTCCAGTGTAGTCATCCTCCAATGGATGTAACTCTACGTCTTTCCATTCCACAATTCGTTTAATGATATCTAAACTAAAGTGTATTCTCTGGACTGCCGTTTGATCGAGGCGCTCAAAGTTAAACAGCTGGTCGACGATCTTCTGCAGCCATTCATCATTAAGCTCCTGCTTGGCAATAACCAGAAAGGCAGCCAACACACGCCCTGCCAAAAATTGCACATAGGCATTGTTATAGCCTGCCAGCACTATGATCTCATCTATGAGCTTATGATCATCGCGTATAAGCGCATCACATACGTCCATGATACGCGTACAGATAAAACCCTTCGAATTTTGCTTTAAATATATGTCGAAAAGTAGCTGAAGATTGGAGAGAAACTGCAACAGCTTGTTTGTGGGCCACTCGCGCAAGTAGGCAATGCGTTTTTGCCCACTAGCGTCAATTGAGTAGTGGGATTGGAAAGGTTTGCGCAGTGTACGCTCTGAAACGCCACACAGACATTGGCGCGTTAGAGATTGCTCAAATTCCAGCATGTCATCAATAGCGTTTGTCAGAGACGTTGAGGAGCAAGTACTGCTGTTGCTGTCGTTGGCTGTCACGGCTGCTGTTGCTGCTTCTTTCGTTGCTATCAATAAATCTGGCAATTTTGCAGCACGATCTACTTCATCCTTGGCTTTCGTAGTAGCGGTTTCACTGTTGGTCACTGCTTGTGGCAAGATTTTGTTGACTAAATTTTGTACACTAAGAAGCTGAGCATACGACGCCGCACGGGAGCTACACGGTGTTGTTGTGGGTGAATTGTTACTGCTGCTTGGAGTTGATAGCGAAAGTGTGGAAGACGATGACGAAGAGGAGCACAAATGATGATTCTTATTGTTGCCATTTGCATCAATGGTATCACCAGCACCACGCGTGTCAATAATGTCCGGCGGCGGAGGAAGTGGTGGCGAAGTTTTTGTGCTAATTTTTATTTGTTTGTCGATTTTCTGCCGCTTTGTTTGCGGCTGTTCATTATGATGCAAGGGAATACTACTGGCGACCGAAGAGCATGGACAGTTATCTGCGATTCCATTGCTACTGTTGGTGCTGCTGCTATTGCCAGTGGTGGCGTCCATTGTGTATACGTGCGTTGAGATTGAGTGACGTACCCGACGCCTTTCGCTTTGTTTTCTATTTGTTGTTCAAATGAGTGCGCTGCAAAAAGTATCCGTTACGTTAATTTACCAAATAAAAAATATCTTTTAAGTTCATATATTAAATAAGAATTAAAAACAAAAACAGTGCATGCCGTCTCGTGTTGCACTGCCCAAGCCAGAGTCAGCTACCGTGCTACGCACATACAAGGTTACGTGTGCAGCTTCTGGGCTACGTTTTGAACTGTTTCGCTCTTTACAACGCGGCTTGGCCTGACTCGAGTTTTATTTTTTTCATTTTAATTTTGTATTTATTTATTAAACAACAATTCGTTGTTTTAAGTATTTGACTATTTACCTTTGTGGTGTTTGCATTAGTTTCACTTCACTATCGTAGTTTGTTTGCAATGCAACACTGCCGCAGTTTACGCTAAAGTTATTCTGCACATTTTTTAAATGCTGCATAATTCCCAATTTCTGCGTTTAACGGTTTCATGATTTTGGTTGTGTCACGCATCTAGTTTAATAATATGAAAAATAATAATCCTGCCCTTAATTGTGAGCGAACGCGTCGGCCATCTTTGCCCGTTGTCATCGAATTTGTCATCGAAAACGCGACGGACTAAATTATTTTGTTATCGGAACTAGACTGCGCTGACACTGGTGGAATGCTGTTTTCAATATCTCTGAATATTATGTATTATCACGAGACCGTTATAGGTAAAAAGTATACTCTCTATAACACCGATGAATCTTTTCTATTTTGGCTTGTTCATATAATAAAGTGAACCAAACTCATCAATATATAATATTCCGGTAAGTTCACCAAAAAGAGCGGTACTATGCATTAATTGGACCCATGCGAGTGGAATAAATGAATAAATTGAAGAAAATTGTTAGTGAAATGGAATTTTGCTACTATCTCGGAGGGAACTATGTACATTTCAAATAAAACTTGCAACACTTGGCAATACTGAAGCTGCAAAAGGCGTTGCCATACTAATTTTGACAAAAAAACAAAAATATTCAATAAACAAATTGGTACTAAATAAAGCACATATAACTGAAATCAACTTTGGCAAGAAATTCAAAATTAACCGTCTGCATTACCCGGCTTTACCATATCAAAACAAATACAGTAACCACGTGGCAACGCAGCTGCGTGTTTTTCATTTGACATTGAAAGTAGAGCAATAACAACAACAGCTATCATTCCAGCGGCTCTTTAGCACCCATACGAAAAGGACGTTGTCGTTGGAATTACGGTTTAGTACTCAAAATCTTCCACAACGGCGAGCTTGTGGTATTCTATTCCGGGCCGTGCCCCATTATTTAAAAGTCTGTGCCGTTTAAATGCAGGGACACTAACTGTGCTTAGGTAACTTGTTGTGAAAGTGATTTAAAGTGCAATTTGTGCTATTTTCCTAATCAATTTTCGTGAGCGTGTGCTAATTAAAACTTCCTAAGAACAATGGCTGGTACGCTTCCTCCGTTAAATACAGAGCCGGTGTTTAAGAAAATCCAAGAATACTACAATGCTCATAGTCAGGAGCTTGTCATTAAGGATCTGTTCGTGAAAGACCCCAAGCGATTCCTAAAATACAGGTGAGAAAGACTCGGTGGGAGGTTTTGTGTGTTTTTATAGTACATACGTATGTACATATATGTATGTGGATGGCTTCACAAGCGCGTTCGAATTCCATTATTCTGTATCTGCTGATGAATTGGTGAAAATTTTGATTTGCTCCGAAATATAGTTATGTATGCAAACATACATATATATATGTACCATGCCCATAGTCCTCATACATATTTATATCGTTAAGTTGTAATATTCATATACCACCATAAAAGAGGCGTCAACCAACACCAACTCAATAATTGTCCTTGCGTAAGGTCAAAATACTTTTTGTGCGCGTATCATTGATGTGCAATTGACCCCTGCTTAAGGTTAAATGCCTTTCGAATTTACAATTACCTTGTTTACATTTGTTGTTTTGTATGTGATTGTCAGCTTGCGGTTGTCCACACCCAAAGATGGTGAAATATTGCTTGATTACTCCAAGAACCGCGTAAACGAGGATGTGTGGCCCATGTTGTTGGAACTGGCGCGTGTACGGCGAGTCGCTGAGGCTCGTGATGCAATGTTTTGTGGTCAACACATAAATATAACGGAGAACAGGGCTGTTCTCCATACTGCGCTGCGTAACCGTAGCCTGGACCCTGTGTTGCTGGATAATAAGGATGTGATGCCCGATGTGCGCGCTGAATTAGCGCACATGAAGGAGTTCACCAATCAAGTTATCTCCGGCGTGTGGCGAGGCTGCACTGGCAAGCAAATTACCGATGTGGTCAATATTGGCATTGGTGGATCCGACTTAGGACCTTTGATGGTGACCGAATCGTTAAAGCCTTACGGAAAAGGTCTGCATTCGCATTTTGTTTCCAACATTGATGGCACACACATGGCTGAAGTGCTTAAAAAGGTGTGCTATGAGACCACACTCTTCATCATTGCGTCAAAGACATTCACCACGCAGGAAACAATCACGAATGCTACATCAGCCAAGACTTGGCTTCTGGAGCATGCCAAAGATGTGAGCAAATTATTTTTCTAATTGCTAAATATTTATTCAAATTAATGTTTTTCCCTCAGGAGGAGGCGGTGGCAAAGCATTTTGTAGCACTGTCCACAAACAAGGAGAAGGTGACGGCCTTTGGCATCGACAGTAAGAACATGTTTGGTTTCTGGGATTGGGTTGGCGGACGCTATTCCTTGTGGTCGGCAATTGGCTTGTCCATTTGCTTGTCCATTGGATTTGAGAATTTCGAGCAGCTTCTTGATGGTGCCTACTGGATGGATAATCATTTTAGATCGGCGCCTTTTGAGAAGAATGTTTGTAGAAGCCATAATAGTTAATGTTCTAAAAATAACCAATTTGTCGTTCCTCCTTCGTAGGCACCTGTTATTTTAGCTTTACTTGGTGTCTGGTACTCAAACTTCTATAAGGCCGAGACACACGCGCTCCTGCCGTATGACCAGTACTTGCATCGTTTCGCCGCTTATTTCCAGCAGGGCGATATGGAAAGCAATGGAAAATTTGTTAGCAAGTCGGGAAAGCCAGTAGAATACAGCACTGGACCGATTGTTTGGGGCGAACCGGGCACGAATGGTCAGCATGCTTTCTATCAGCTAATTCATCAGGGCACTCGCCTGATTCCGTGCGACTTTATTGCGCCTGCGCAAACGCATAATCCCATTGCCAATGGAAAGCACCATAAGATATTGCTATCAAATTTCCTCGCACAGACAGAGGCCCTGATGGCAGGCAAGACGTCGGATCAGGCACGTGAAGAGCTGACCAAGGCCGGCCTGTGTGGCAATGAATTAGAGAATATCTTACCCCACAAAATATTCACTGGCAATCGGCCCACGAACTCGATTGTTTGCAAGAAAATTTCGCCATTTACTTTGGGCGCATTAATTGGTATTTAATTGACAATTTAAACCTACTATTTTTTAAATGAATTTTTTTTCATTGCAGCACTCTATGAGCACAAGATCTTTGTCCAAGGCATTATCTGGGACATCAATTCATTCGATCAGTGGGGCGTCGAATTGGGAAAACAATTGGCTAAGGCCATCGAACCAGAGCTAGACAATTGCGATGAAATTTCATCCCACGATTCATCGACGAATGGATTAATTAATTTCATTAAAGCTAACTGGAAGTAGAATGCTGGCTTTTAAGTTTTGCAGAATGATATAAAAATATATATTTAAATATGTTCGTATGCTTTGCCTATTAGGTGTTGTATTTCTTAGAATTTCATTGCCACAAACATATATTTCATGAACACTTGAAGGGCCCAGTCAGACCAGCAGAAATGAGTTCATAGCACAAAATTATAAAATATGTGCACATATGCAAAATTAGGTGTTTTTGTTTAAAACTCTGGTTAAATCCCAGAACTAATTAATTAATTATTATTATTGGCATCAAATTGTTGTTGTTAAAAGTAGATCTTATTCACATACAGTGCATGAAATTAAATGGATACCATTTTATTTGAAATTTAATCAAAATTATTTTATTTCGGGAAAGCAACTCTTAGTCAAATATATAGTTTGCATAAATCAATTACAGGTTTTCTAAGCAGGGGATTCGTCAGAGTCTGTATTGCTTACTTGATCGGAATCTTTGTCATCATCATCAGAATTATCTGAATCTTGTGTTAACGCTATATTATCATCATCTACAGCCATATCCTCGTCGGACACAGCATCGTTCCCATTGCTGTTGTGTTCCTCCAAGTCGCTCCAATTCTTTTCAATGTCAGAGTCATCGATTGCCGTTGGTGGTGTATCATTCACTGAAAAAGTCATTTTATTTACAAATTTGAGATTAAATTATGGATGAATATCTTTACCTTCATCATTTACAATTAGAGCGTTCCTGTCATTCAGATGTGTATTAAGATTGCGTCCCATTTGGTTTATAATTAAATTAACCCGTCCAGTGACTCTAAAAATTAGAATTATTATTAATGGAAAGATTTCAAATAATTCGAAAAGCTTTACAAATCAGAACACACAAATTTTAATTTAAATTGTATACAAAAAATTCCTTAAATTTTCATTCACTATTCAAATAATCTTATATAAAATGGACCCGCCGCCAAACTTTATATTTAACGAGCGCCAATCTCATATGTATGAGGAGCACGAGCATTCAGATGACGATGATTCAGATATAATAAGCCAGACCTTAACGGTTCGGAAAAACCCGATGGCTAAGAATAGGAACCTGGATCATTTACTTACAGCCAAGGAAGAATTTCACGTAGCGCCCATAAATGAAAAAGATAGCGTCACCGAGTCTATGGAGTTTTGCAAGAAGCCATCGTGCACAGATGCAGATATTCAATGTGTTGTTGATCTAGTTAATGCTACCATATGCGAAGCGAGAGCGATAATTGATTCGGATCCACGAGGTCTATTTTGTTACAAGTATACGGAGATGCAACCGGGTCGGAGTCGTAGTACAGCCTCGGCCGCAGTTGATGTGCTTATAACAAAACATTCTCTTGCAAACTCTGAAGAAAAACCCAAGACTATTGCCACATTTAACGTATATACGGAATCAGTAACCACAACAAGTGCCTACGGTCATCATTGGCTGACCATAGATGAATTCCAGTACAGCAACATAACCAGTCAGATTCGCAACTTCATTGGAGAGTGGAAGCTTTCACCCAATACTATGTGTGTGGTTCTTAGCAATACACGGCGTCAGGAGGTGCCAATTAAGGGAACCATTTATTTTGTAGATGCACACTTCTCACGACCGACACCACGTTGCCCCAATCCACTGGCCGTCGCCAAGGTACGATTTATGGTTAGTGTTTCAAATGTAATGCAAAGACATTATCCTGTTATGGTTACATATCGTTTTGAGGGTCATAACACGTTGTACTATGCCTTGGGTCCCCGTGCTTTTAATTCTACGACATTTCAACGTTTCTTTATTGATACGATTCTGCACAAGAAGCTTAGTTTTTACGCTGAGATCTGTGAATGCCGGCATGGGACTCTCGAGAAACCTAAGCATAATGTGAAACCCAAGACCAAAAAGCGGAGTGCAGTCTTATAAATTAATTGAAATAATTACAATAATCTGTTTTCGTCTCTGTTTGAGTGAAGAAAATATAACCGGTGTCGCCTGAATGTAGACTGTATAAATAAATGTTCATTTAAAAAAGTACTCACTGTAGCGCTTCTGTCAGACAATGCAAACGTTGTTCAGCCACACCCAAACATACTCCCAATTTTTCACGTAATTCTTCCCTATCTTCGGACATCAAGACGCTAGTATGTGTGGATACTAAAACCTTTAGCCATCGTAGGGCACAAGCAACGCTGCAAGTTCAGTTTTAATTAAATTGTATGTTTTTGGATCGACATTTTTAATATGGCCTTACTCTCTGTGCTTCCCCTGCATCAGACGCGATAGTTCATAGATCAAGGGATTCACATACTCCAGAGGCAAACGTTCCAATGTCAGCTTAATTATCTTGACAATATTATTCTTAAGAACTGCTGCTAATAGACTAGAAAATTAAATTTTATTTAATGCAACGGTCACTTTTGTTAATAGAAATATCTTACGTTTGATCATTGCTGTGCAGTGCCTGCATCAAAAGTTGTGTTTTGCTCTCCGCCCGAACTTCGCCTTCACCTGCCGACCCTGGTATTTTCAGTGTTTCCAATCGTGCCTCGAGTGGCACCTCGTTTTGTACTTTTTTCTTTGAGACTGGCAGGGCGCTATTATATTCCACCAATTTCTTGTGAATAATAGGTTCCGGTGTCTTTAGTGTAGTTTCGGTGTTTGCCTTTTTCTTACGCTGCGTTTTGGTAACAAGCTTCTTGGGATCGGTGCGTACAATAACGTTTAACTTTTCGGCATAGTTTGGTGTAAAGCGTTCGAAACGCAATATGCTTCGGCTTCCATAGCCAAAGAGTATCTCATGCGAGCGATTGGCATCATGGACAAAGTGAGCAGCAATGGCATGTATAGGTTCTACAATATCCGCTCCATCAGAGGCGATTTGTAGAGATACCTTCGGCTTAATGAATTTCGAGACACTTAAACTGCAACACAAAACGCTTTAGCAATAGAAAACTTGTCATATAAGCACAACTTGTACCTGTCTTCATTTAATAGGTAGATGTGTATGTTACCATTGCGTGTAACGCTGGCAATTCGTATTTGTTCGTCAGTTCGAACTTCAATGGCTACAGAATACGCCAAATCCTCCATGAGCAGGGTGCAAGTGGATGACTTGTTACGTCCATTTTTTTCAATTTTCCAGAAGCAAATAACGCGTTCCATTTTTGCTGTGGTAATTACATATTCATCGCCACCTACGGTTGCACAACTTGTCATTGTATTGATTTCTGTTGTGTGTCCAGTAAAAGTTTCCAACAATTCCTTTGTATCAATATCATAAATCTTTATCTGGCGCGATCCAACCGCTATTGCTCGGCTTTGCGGCAAGTACACCAAATTATGCGGTTTTTCGGGACCAACGTCCCAACTATTTATACAGCGCTCTTCAGCCAATGACCAGACAAGAACTCTACAGTCTTGACCCACTGTGTAAAGAAGACCAGCCTTGTCATAGACAATGGATTTTACTAATCCATCGTGGCCTTCGCCTCTCAGCGTGCGCTCAATCTACAAAAAATGCAGTTACAATAAAGCAATTTGTGTTCAGTGAATGTGATTAAAATTCACCTTGCCCTCAGCCAGAGAATACAGACTCACTGTTCCCTTGAATGTGCCAAGTGCTATGTAAAGCTTATCTTCTTCAGCTGCCTGTATTTTGGGCGATTTCATAGATGGTTTTTTTGAGGGAGCCGCGACAGTTACCCACGTTAGTGCATTGCATGGGCCTGTCAGATGGAAATTTGGAGTGTACTCCTGCTTTAACAGATTCGTCTCGGTATCCCATATTCGCAATATGCCCTGTTCATCGATTAATGTAAACAGTTTACCACCGTAGGGAGAAAACTCCAACACGTGCTTCTTCGCCAACGACATCGCGCTTTCCTTTTGGCATAAGAACCAAACCAGTGCTAGGGATGTACAAAAACATCGATGTATCGAGCATCGACGATTTTTTTTACCAAGATTCATGGATGTTTTCCGATGGTTTTTTGCTAACGATGCATCTTCGATCCATCGATGTTGGTCCAAACATCGAATATTCTTCATGTTTTTTTGGGCGGTCACATTTCTTTGTGTGGTTTACCGAAGAAGGTATATTTGTATTATAAATTATTTGATGTTTTCATTAAAATGTGTATTTTGTAATATAAACTTTAGGATATAATCAGTTTTTTAAGTAAGCCATACAAGTTCATCAAAAGTCAATATTCCGAGTACTTTTTTGATTAGCAGCATTAAGTAAAATACTATGACAGTCTCTCTTGATATATAAAAATTTTTTATTTCAAACATCTTTGTTGATTTTCTCCCTAATAATAGCTTTTTTCTATGGAAAGTAAATTTTTTAAAACATCGATGCATCGATTTTTTATAAAGAGACATCGATGTACATCAACATCTATGTTTTCCCTTTGACTTACATCCCTAACCAGTGCTGGACAACATACAATTTTAAATGTAGTGCGTAAAAGTAAATATCGCATATTAAAACGAGTATTCCGAATATATGTATATGTATTTAAACTAGCGCCATAAACAAAAATAATTAATCAAAAGCTTGACATTTTTGTCTTTTTTCGGATAACTTAATTATATACGTATGTTTATTCATCACTCGGCATATTCCTTCAAACCCGATCGATGCCATTGAATATCAAGTAATTTTTCTAGTGAGTAGAATCGTTCCAGAATATTCGCAGCTGTCATACTGCATTGAGGTTAAATCAGAAATAAGTAAATCATACCGACTGCCTTAACTGCTGCTGCTCGTACCAAGAAATCTGTGAACCAAAATGGCTTTATCTGTTCCCAAGGCTCCTGGAATGGCGCAAATGCTGAAGGATGGTGCGAGGGTGAGTACAACAAGCTAGTCTGTAGTGGTTTTCCTCATATGTAAAGGGGTGGACATTATTTTATATGATTGAAAACATTTACATGCTGCCGCTACGGCGCGTGATTAGTCACCACTAAGACAGACATGGCGATGAAACGTATTTTATGGAGTTTTTCTATTCCGTAGATGTATAGCGGCCTGGAGGAGGCAGTTTATCGAAACATCAGCGCCTGCAAGGAGTTCGCACAGACAATGCGCTCTGCTTATGGACCAAATGGCATGAATAAGATGATTATTAATCATATTGAGAAGCAATTTGTGACGAGCGATGCAGGAACAATTATGCGAGAGCTGGACGTGGAACATCCAGCCGCCAAGCTAATTGTGATGGCCAGTCAGATGCAGGATGCTGAGGTGGGCGATGGTACAAATTTTGTGGTTGTGTTCGCAGGCGCTTTGCTAGAGTCATCCGAGGAGCTGCTCCGTTTGGGGATTACCACTGCCGAAATTTCAGATGGCTATGAGTTGGCTTTAAATAAAGCATTAGAGATACTCCCAAAGTTGGTATGCCATAAAATAGAAGATTATCGTAACGTCAATAAAGTGAAGGAGGTACTGCGCGCAGCCATCATGTCGAAGCAGTACGGCCAAGAGGATTTCATCAATAACCTAGTGTCTAAGGCCTGTGTGTCTATATTGCCTGATGAAGGTACTTTCAATGTGGACAACATACGCGTATGCAAAATTTTGGGAAGCGGACTTGCCAAGTCTGAGGTGGTGCGTGGAATGGTCTTCAAGCGTTTTGTTGAAGGCGACGTCACCTCAGCGGAGAAAGCAAAAGTGGTTATATTCTCGTGTCCAGTCGATATCATACAGACGGAAACTAAGGGCACAGTGTTGATCAAATCGGCCGACGAACTGATGAATTTTTCATCTGGCGAGGAGAGTCTGCTGGAAGCGCAAATCAAAGCCATTGCCGATACGGGTGTCAAGGTCGTAGTTTCTGGTGGTAAGGTAGGCGACATGGCCTTACATTACTTAAACAAATACGGACTGATGGCTGTACGTTTGAATTCGAAATTCGACTTGCGCCGCCTGAGCCGTGCCGTTAACGCTACCGTTCTTCCACGTATAACAACGCCCAGTCAAGAGGAGCTTGGCTATTGTGACAAGGTGTGTGTTGAAGAGCTTGGCGATACGGGAATTGTTGCTTTTAGGTAAACGTAAATAAAAAACTAGATTTTCTGGTCAATTAGGTAAAATATTAAAATGTTATTGCAGAAATGATGGTAAGGACTCGCACATTTCCACCATTGTCATACGGGGCGCCACCGACAACTTCATGGATGACATTGAGCGTGCTGTGGATGATGGCGTAAACAATTTCAAATGTCTTACTCGTGATGGCCGCTTCCTCCCCGGCGCTGGAGCCACAGAAGTGGAGCTGGCTACGCAACTCGCAGCCTACGCTGACACATTGCCAGGTTTGGAACAGTACGCTGTCCGCAAGTTCGCCACTGCACTTGAAGTGTTCCCTAAAGCATTGGCTGAGAATTCCGGTATTAATGCCACCGAAATTGTTAACCAATTATATTTGGCGCACAATGGTGAAAGTGGCAAGAATATCGGCCTTGATATTGAAGCTGAGAAAGCTGGCACAATCGATGTGACCAAAGCCCATATTTATGATCTGTATCAATCAAAATTCTGGGGTCTTAAGTATGCGGTAGGTGTGGCCACAACTATTTTGAAGGTCGATCAAATTATTATGGCTAAACGGGCTGGAGGCCCAAAACCACGACAGGCTGCTGGCAGTGATGATGAGAATTAATTATATTTAATAGATTCATTTCAATCTATGTCCTCATGCATTTCAAAAAATTGTCTTGCTTCACTCATACATTAGTTTCTGTCACTTGAAAATGCAAAATTTCATTAACTAACAATCACCCACAAACACATGCAGTAAGTTGCTTGTATTAATAAACTAAACCTATAAAAACAAATAAATGTCTAATGTGCTTTCTCTAGGGGAGGAAGGAATGGAATTGGCTAAAGTTACTCAGGAAAGGTAATGGAATATTCGTTTGTATTATACTTTTCATAAAATATTACGAACAAAAGGAAAATCTATTTAAAAAGTCTTGAGAGTTTTTCTATGTTTATAGACTGACTATTTTTATACCCTGTACCCGTAGGGTAAAAAGGGTATATTAGGTTTGTGCAAAGTATGTAACATGTAGAAGGAAGCATCTCCGACCCCATAAAGTATATATATTCTGAATCAGCATGACGAGAGAAATCGATCTAGACATGTCCGTCCGTCTGTCTGGGTGAACGTAAGGATCTCAGAAACTATAAAAGCTAGAATAACCAAAGTTGGCATCCAGATTCTCCTTGGTCCGAGAAAGGACGATTTTATTTTATTTTTTGGAATTCCCCCCCGTCCACATTTCAAATGCTACCTAAACCAAACTTTGCACACATAATTTATATATAATTATCTACTGTTGTTTAAAATGTTATCGAATTCGGTCAATTCTAGTCAGAAGTCAGAAAAGTTATAAGCGAAACAAATTCTCTCCAGTACAACCCCACCAAACTGCAGCAACAAGTTCGCTCTTCTTCTTCCTCTTTTTGCTTCTGCTATGGGCGCATATTAGTACCTCTAGTGACGGAAGTTTACCTGGGTACAGGGTATTTCACTGTCGGGCTTGCTCGACTGTAGCGTTTTCTCTTGTCTTAATTACGGTCAGTTGCACACAAATCGAGCAGGTTGGAATTTAGACTTGTGGTTTCTTGATATCTAAACAACTAAAGTGTAAGTGTACAATACTTACTTGTACATATATACGAGTGCAATTGTTGAAAATAAAATGTCATAAACAGATTTTTTTATCACACCAACTTGGTGTCTCCGCTAGATAACTAGTTACCTTTCTTTATTATTTTTGAATTCAAGCCAACGATATTTTGTTCATTTTCGTGTAATATTTGCAGTTGAGTACAATACATTTTCGAATACACTTCATTTATATTGTTTGCCTTCTTTCCATCAAAAATAAAGCATTTGCAGAAATTTGAATAAAAATACATTGCCGACTATAATTGTCACATAAATTGGATTTGAAATGTTAAAATGTTAAATATTTGCATTAAATTGAAATAAATTTCAAGTGTAGTAATATGTATTGCTTTAGATATTTGTTGCACTTTTTACTTAAGTTTGCTTTGTTTCATATAGGTGCTTCAATAAGATTAATTCATGTAACCATTTAATATTTGTAATAAGTTGTAAGAATGAAAAAATTGCCACTAAAGACCAACGAAACAATTCGTGCTCCATTGAATAGTTTCGTGCTAGCTTAGTGGCAAAATGATATATGAAATTTCTTATCATTTCAAAAACTGTTCGAAATTGCGGAAAAAGAGCGATGTGTGCGAGTTAGAAACCAACTGCAGTTTTAGTTTAAATCAGCACACACAAGGCTAGGAAATGGACTGACACCATCGTGTCCTACTTTTAGATAGTCTTGAAAATTTGAGTTTTGTGCTATTTTTTGCTGTTTGCTCACGACAGCAAAATACAGATCAAAACATCAACAAAACACCTTAAAGATATCAGCATACAAAAGGAAAGGATGCATGATTTTTACGTTAGTACAATAATTTATATAATTAGTCCACAACATCCATATAGATTACTTCATCATAATTTTGTTGTCGTATTTCGTTGCCAGGAAATTTTTTGTATCAACTAAAAGCACCTCATATTTTGGTCTATATAAATGCAAAATGGAAGAACTGATAGGTTTATAATATATGCAAGTCGTTAAAAGTAAAAGCGCGATGTGGTTTGGTGTTTTGCAATGGGATTTATGAAATGACTATTCGTGTTTTCATTTTGTAGAAGAACCGTTTCATTTCAATCCAATGCCAGACAAATGTGCCCATTGCCGTGTTCTGGTATAAAAAAATAGCTCAGCTTTAGTATTCCTTGCGTCTCATGCCAATTGCATTTTTTCTTTATATATATTTACTTTATAAAAATACAGGCTCAATCACGTTCGATTAAAAATGTGTTGCGAAACTGTTGATGGCTCACTAAATGTATATAGGATGGCACATATGTACGTATGCATGTAAAAACGAATAATTCAACTGAAAAACAATACATTCTTCCCTATCTTCTTTCGAAATTGTATGCCAAAGAATAAACAATTTTCAAGTTGGTACTAAATTTCATATGGAAAATACATATTAAATAACTTATCGCTCAAAATATGAAAGTTTTTTGGTGAGTGATTGGCATCGTTTCTACGATGTAACTTTTTTCAATTAAAAGGACGAAACTACATTAGGTTTTCATAATTGTTTGCATTTTTGTAACATTTAGCAATATGCTTGTTGCGTTACTGCAACGGTATTTAAATATATATTTGTGTATAATTTACTAATAAAAACTTTTTAATAAACGCACTAAAATATTCAATAAGTTAAACTTGTTTGCTGTAGGTTTTAACATTTGTTATTTGATTTTTAAAGCTTTTAAAGTAATTCGATAATGTATGCAATATATATTTGAATTATTTTAATATTTTAATAGTTTCATTCCATGTTTTAAAATTTTGTTTCGTGCTAATATTTGCTTGCTATATATTTTTTCATCATTTCATCCGCATCAACGCGTTACATACAAGGAAAGGTTTTTTTTTTGTGAAATAAGTGGGCAAGACACATACTTTTATTTGGGATTTTTTTATTTTCGTTTTTTTCCTTCTTTTTTAATAAATAAATATATTTGTCTGTATTTATATTTGCATGTTCGTTGATATATAGATTTCATATATATGTGAGTGTTTTATCTTGTAGGTAGTTGTTGCTGTAGTTCGCTTTGTAGTTGTTTGTATTTGTTGCAATAGTTGGGATATTCGTATTATTTAAAGTTCCCCACAATTGCAAATCAAAATTGTTGATGTACATTTTCAACTAAATGCCTATGATTTTGTATTTTCATTTTCATTTTTTAGGGAATATGTCAATAAGTATGTTTTGTATTTTCAAGGATTGCGTTACAGATTTCGATATTTATTTATATATATATATATATATTGTAGTTCTTCGTGATATTTGTTTACAATTTTGCAAAATGGTTTTGCGTACAGAAAAATAGAACTGGTGGTCTTGATAGCTGTTTTATGTTCTAATATTTAGCACTCATTGCCTATTTCATATTTGATGATATTTCATTAAGTTAAAACAACACGGAATCCACATTGCGCATATGTATGTGTATGCACGCCATCTCCAATAACGACTTTTTAAAGAACGGTGCACGAGGACTTTTCGCGGAATGGATTTACCTTCTGACTGGTGAAGCCATTCAAAAGATAATCCTCCTGCTCATGCTCCGATATGTATTTCATCATTTTGGAGCAGGATTCCGATACAGTTTGGCGATCGATGCCAGCCTCGCGACGAAGCTGATCAACAACAATGCGTTGTTGTTGTAGTGATGATGACATTACGTCCATGACGGCGGTCTCGGATAGGCCTATGGTTGAAAATTTTCTCAGTGATACTATATGCAAATACAGAAAATGTGTGTGCGTGTGTTTGTTGTGCTTGTGGTAGTAGTGGTGGCTCTTGTGTTTAATTGTTATTAAATGCCCTAAGTTCTGGATATAGGGTAGGTGGTGATGGTTTTTGGATGAAGCTTAAGAAGGCGCGCTGAAAATGTAATAGAAGAGCATTTTACCACGAAAGTGGACTTTATTTTCATGTTTCCAGCGAGTTCTACATTTTCACGACATTAAACAACAACGACACAAAATTTCATAGGACATGCAGGCAGCATGAAAATTAAAGAGTTCAGTAGGTAGACGGAAATTAGACAAAGAAAGTTTAGCACAAATTTAGATTCAATTGAGTACAGAGGGTATCGTCACTTTAAAGCTTTAACATATTGAATTGCCTTCCTCAGTCTGTTGTCCAATCGATTGGTGATTAATTTTTCAACGCAGAAACCTTGACTTACTGCACAAGTACATGGCTGCGGTGAGGGCGGATATGAATGCGCGTTGGCCAACCCTTACTGATATCCGCCAAAAGGAAGAGGTACGAAAAAAAGAAAGAAAAAAATAATATCCAAGCCCTGTTACAGCTCTATTGTTTATCATCTAATTAACTATACTTTTAGCTTTTCCCCCTGCCCCTGCGCTTCCAGCAAATTACGAAGTATAATTTCCACAACAGTAACAGAAGTATAGAGTTAATAAGAAATATCGACATAGTTAGCAGACATAAAGCACACAACTACACGCCAATGGCACTACCAATTTACCAGAGTCACAGCAAAATAGTAAATGATTTGTATTTCCGTGTATTTATTGATATTTATTAACGAACGAAAAAGATACACACCCAAGCACGGACGTCTATATACTACACGCGAAGTTGGCTGCGATGCAGCGCAAGTGCAAAGCTGCTATCAGCTCGATACCAGTGTGCATTTTTATCGATACAAAAACGGCATCGAAATGCGGCAGTTGCTTTGTTTTCGTTCGACCTGCTGGGGATAATGGCTAAGGACAAGGAGTTTGCTGGAGCGACCACTCCACTCATCATAGATCATGACTGGTCAACAGAAGAGGAAGTACAGCTTTTTCATGCAATGGAGGGTCTGCGCCCATTCGGCATAAACAAGCACTTTTATATGTCGTGCATATCAGAGCGCCTCTCAAAAAGTTTAAATCGCGATATGCCCAGCACACTCATCTGGCGCCAACTTGGCAAAATGTACAAGCTCAAGGAGCTAGATGATCTCGAGACTTTGCCTTTTCCCAATGAAGAACGCGAGTTCTTTTTACCAGAGCACGAGTACGCGACTCTTCTAATGAAAAAGACGGCCGGTGCAAGTGCTGCCGAGGACACAAAGGATATGACACCGACATCCGAAGCAATAACCGTTAGTTTAACGGCAGACAGTAATGGCAAAGGTAAGAGCGAAAAACTGTAACACCTTTATATCTGTGTATTCCATCTTACACCTATACTTTGCATTACAGTGCCTTCAAAACAGACAGTGTTGCAATCGAACCAAAGCAAAGATCTCGAAAAGAAGGTATCGGTCAAGTTGGAGTTGCCAAAGCGATCAGCTAAGCGGACGCGTGGTTCCATTTCGAACGAATCTATCAGTCCATCAACGACCCCACCACCAGTGCAAACCAACAAACGTCGGCGAATCTAAAATACACGCCAAATTTTTATTACGAGCTCTCAAGATTTATTAGCTTTAACTCCAGCTGTCGCCATACACACAACCAACAAATCCATTGACTGCAAAATACATATATAAAATGTACATTACTCCTCGAATTCATTGTCGTCAGCTCCGATGGCGTTGTCTGGGTTTTGTGATTCATTATTATTGGATCTAATGATATTTTGCAAGTAATATTGGAGCAAGCGCTTATTTAGGTGGTCAGTTTGTGTGATCTCACGCACAGGCATCGGGTCCAGTTCTGTGTCCGAAGGCAACGGCGGTGTATTGACTGTTAATGACCCAATGTCTTCCAAAAAAGGCATTATTTCTTATAATATGCTGCTCTACTTTTTATTGAAAGAAATACTCTATTTGTGGTTGCGATAGGCTATTTCGATTAATTTCAACGAATGCGTTTCGTTAAGTTATCACATCCGAGCGATACGGCAGTATTATTCGAGCTGTATTGTGGTGCCGGTCCCGCTCATTTAATTGAGTTGGTTTAGTACATTACATTTTTACAATGTTTGAGCCCGAAACGGAAGATATGTTGCCCAGAGCAGCGCCAAAACCTAGTACTCCATCAGAAGCGATGGCTAAACCCACAGTGCCCGAAGTATCAATATTGTTTGGCCAAATGCCACCACAACAACAACAGGAACAATCGCATTCACAACAATCACAAGCGATGCAGTTTCATCAACAGCAGCAACAACAACAGCGAACAACTCCTACCTTCGCATCGTGGAAGAAACAAATGTTGCCGCGCGTGAATTTTTCACCAGTACTAACAACAGAGCTGGGACCAGCAACCAGCAGCACCAGTACAACTATAACAACACAATCTAATGAATATGTTATTATTCCACGCAGCCGCGCCTCCATTAGCGATGCAGTTACAACGCCTATGTTGCAGTCCTCCAGCAGCAATGTGGGCTATGTAGAGCCTTTGGCTCATTATCAACGAGAACAGTTGTCTACAGTACAACATCGTCGATCACTAGACTCGGCAGCCGCAAATACAGGCAAGTCCTCGGCGTCAGATGTACTTACCATTTGTGCTGGCACACAAACAGATGCAGTTAACATTTCGCCCAAGTCGGCCACCTTAGCCTCCGCCACCCACACTAATTCAAGTCATTTGGCGAGCAAGCAGGATGTAGAAGAACTTATTAACATTTTGGAATGCATGCGCCAGGAGCAGCAGCTCCTAAGACAATTGTGTGAATCATTGATACAACAGCAGCGTCCTTCGGCCCTTACAGCTTATAAGGAAACTGGCACACAGTGTGATATCTTAGCAAACAGCAACAGTAAGCATTAAAGTATTACTTATTTTATTCGTATTAAAAATAAATATTTGTCTAGACAATGTCGCCGTCAAGCGACTTACACCCATCATACAAGAATACATAATAGAAGAGGATGAGTTTCCCGCGGTGCCCTTCAATCCAACAACAAGACCTGCATTGCAGGCTCAATTTCAAACACCACGGGTGGTGAAGCCCATGGCGCAATCGACAGGTTACCGCCCGAATACGCCTCAGGGTAAGGTACCGCCGCCAGTAGTAGTTAATGTGCTGCCCAAGCCCAATACGGAGAAAAGTCTGGTGATGAATGAGCTGGCTCTCAAGTATTTGCCACAGCAACAGCTTGACGAACTGATGCAGGAGCTCCGCCTGGCTTCTCCAGGAACGCATAACAATAATATGCACCTACCAATTAAGACAGCGAGCCCTTTGCGTCAAATAGATAATTTGGCGCAAAGTCCCAATGATATATCAAATGCTTCCTACAAGTATCTTAAAAAGTATCGTCTGCTTCCCGAAGAAAAGCTAAACTACACACCCGAGGAGCATTTACAGACGCCACCGGCGGTTCGAAGACCACAGCAGGTTCAGCAACGGGTAGGCTCGCCACTAATAGGAACAGCATCGCCACTTCAACTTGAAGAGCAGCCTATGCTAGATCTGGAAAACATACGTAATCAGCCCAAGTTATTATAAAGTGAAAGTTGCGAATTCTCATTTTTTTAATATGTGCAAAATTTTTAGTTTAGTTCTTGTCATACGAATATATTTAATTTTTTGCATATATATATGTATTTATCTCTCGATTAGCAACATGTTAAATTTATATGTATTTATATAGATAAGTAAATCAAATCAGCGGCACAAGCTCACTTACAAACATGCATTAAAATAAACATGGAACACGAGTACATTACACACATGTAAGAATATTTTGTTACAACAACAAATACGTAAAGTTGAAGAAAACATAGGGAAACTGTTTTAACGAAAGAGAACTGAGCACGCTTGTAGATTAGGAAAAACTAATCAAATTAACGCAAAACCAGTTGTAGTTCCGCTGCCGATTGAAGCAGCACCTTCAATCCCTGCATGAATCCAGCACATTGCGAAAAATCCGTGCCGAACGCTATGCGCGTGTGCATTTCTAATGCATTGGCATAGTCCGATACTTGTATGTACTGAACAATTTGATTTAGATATTGCACTGTTGAGGATGTGAGCTTTGAAATGAAATAAACAATTAAAGTAATTACAAACGGGGATATATGTGTTTATGCGAACCTTGTCTTCTCGCAAGCAATCGTACAGATTTTCCAATCGTTTGGCCACATCAACAAATTTGCGTTTTGTGCGCTGTAAAGTATAAAACGGATTAATAGCACTAATGAAGCAGTCCGAAAACAACAAAAACAGAAAGTCTTAGTTCATTGTGGAGTATGTATATAGGTTGTTTGAATATAAAACAAATAATGGTTTATGCCGGTACCAACACTTCAGAAAAGATTGATTTAATTTTCCATTAGATTAGATTTGCTTCTTAAAAATTGATAATATTCTGGTTCAGTTGGTCTAGAATTGGGGTATAATTTAAATTTGGATACTCAGGATGTTTTTTTCTGCACTATATCTAGTTCATGTCCATGCAACTCACCGGATCTTGTGTGGCACTCAGACATTGTTTTTTCAGCTCCTCCAGGACAGTTTGTAAATATATATATTCCTCTGGCAGTGGTGGCTTTTCTTTGGGTGGTGGCGCCTGACGTTGCTGTTGCTGTATTGGTGCTGGATGTTCTGTGTACCCAATTGTTTGCTGATGTTGTTGTCCTTGCCACTGCTGCTGTTGATTTTGAATTGCCGATGTTTGGAAGTTGGGCTGTTGTTGCTGCGGTGCTGGAAAGGTTTGCTGCTGAGAATTGTTGTTGACTGTAGCTGGATTGTAGTAAGTGTTGCCGCTGGCTGGTGGTGGCATAGCCTATACAGAAGCAAAGAAAATAGGCTCAGAACTTGTGCATAGTTGGCTTCAAGTTGTAATTGGAACCTGGTATTGATTTGGATCGACGTAGCCATTTTGATTTTTATTGGGGTCTGTGCCAAATAATGGATGCAATATAGGAGCAGCTAGCGGTTCCGTTGCGGCTTTGGGTTTCGGCTGCAAAAGAAAAATAAAAATACAAAAAAAGAAGTTGCCAGAGATTTGTTTTATTGGGCCTACCACTCTCGATGATTTAAGGGTTGGCGGGTCATTCCAGCCAGGTGGCGGCGTTGGATTTCTTTGTATATTTTGTATAATGGGCGTTTGAGCAGGTGCATTTGCTGCAGGCATTGTGTCGACCGGAGCCATACCTGGCACATAACCACCACGGCTTCCTGCGTCCATGTAGGTTACTTGACCGTAGGGCTGAACTGAAGCTAAGGGATTCGTATTGAAAGCATTGCTATTATAATTTGTGGGCACACTGCCAGGTTGTTGGATGGGCACTGGAGCACCAGTGAAGGGTGCGGGAGCTGGCGCTGGTACTGGAACAGGATTGTATGGCACACCATAAGCGCTAGTGGGTGCTGCCACTGATGGATCCAAAACATACTTGGAGCGTGTGTGGAGGCCGACGCCGCTGATGCTACCTGCTGCTGGGCCACCACCTGATGAGCTGGCATTGCTGTGTGGTCTTGGCGGGTGTGCGACTGCCTCAGGTTTGGCTGCCGCTTGTGGATTGAAAGGTTGGGGCGGTGCCTGGGCTGTTGGATAATTGGAAATCGGTGTGGCCATGGCCACCACTGGAGCTGCCACTGCCGATACAGGACTTTGCCAGCTAGCATTGCCTATTGGCACATTGTAAGGATTAAAGGGCGTCGGCTGTGAGAACGAACCACGAGCTGCTTGGCGACTGTAGCCTACAGCAGGCGCTACAGTCGGAGCCGGCTCCGCTGTATTGACGGCATGGCTAATGCGTTCCCGTAGCACATCCAAATCGCTGCCTTGAGCACTGCAGCTACCCAATGTTGTTATGTATTGCAAAGCTGCAGTTAAAGCGCCCTGCGATGCTAAGAGCCCTCCATATTCCGATATAAATCCTGCAAATCGACCAGCTAGATCTATTGCAATGCCTTGCTGTTCCAATGACTTAGACATCAACATAACTACTTCAGCCAGTTCTTGCAGCTCGCTAGTGTTCAGTTTGTAGTTGGGATTCTGCTGTTCCAACTGCTTCGATTGGTACCAGGCATTAACCAGCTTATCGATGCTGCCGGCGCAGATGTAGCAGAGCATAGCATTCCGTGTGTATTCTACACTATTTGCACACTCGTTGAGCAGACGATCGCCAAGGCGTTCGCAGATATCCACTAGCTTACGTTCACTGTGCTTTAGCGCCGCCACCAGAGCTTCCTTCCACGAGTCTACGGTACAGCGATTGACAAAGTCCAGCCAGTCCCGCGTGACCAGTGCGCAAATAACCTGTGATAATTCCCCCCTCTGCTCGGACAGAAAACGCGTTTGTGTTCTAATCAAGACGTCGTGGCCCGCCGTGGAGGCAATAATCAGAGCCTCCGGTATGCGCTGAGCTTCGATGCATAGTTCAACTGCTGCTTCCGTATTGCCAGTGAGTATGGCCTCTGCAATAAGGCTGTCGGCATCTGCCAATTAATTAAACAAATAAGAAACATATATTTACAATAAGCCCAATACATTTTGATTTTAAGTAAATTAAGGATTATGCTATACTTACGATCACCACTCGGTATTTTGAAATTCGGTTTCGGCGGTGAAGTATTGTCCCTGAATTGTTTTGGACCTTCTCCAGCAATCTCATCGAAAATAGTCCTGTTGTCCGCAGTTTGCTGTAAGACACATTACAATGTAATTAAACTATGGGCTAAAATTTCAATTTTGCCCGATATTTGCTTAAAATTATTCCAATCAGAGATTTCTTACCGATGTATCAGTGCTATAATTTGTGCTCTGATCGCACTCAACTTCTGATGAATCGCTCTGTCGAAGCATAGAGCAGCATATCGAAGAAAGAGGCGAAAGCGGAATAAACATGCTTATGTATTTGGCACAGGGTCAACATTGATAAGAAATTAAACAAGTAAAAAAGCTAAGGTCGGGTGTCCCGACTTTGAAATACTCTGTACATATGTGTAGAATAATTATGCGTGTATGTGTGTGTTTGTGTGTCTGTGTATGTCTCGTGTGCCTGAGCAAAGCAGTAACAACAACAGCTGCGGGCACTGCATGGTCTTATGTACATATATAGTTATAACTTCCTGGTAAATCGGCCTATCATTATGAAACTTGGCATTTAGACTTATAATCACTATCTGGAAATTCAAATTGGGAATCAAAAAAATTAAACAAACTTGCACAGCATACACACATAACGCATCTTTGTGCAAAGTTTGGTGTATCTACCTCTTATAATCTCTGAGATCCAGGTGTTCATACGGACAGACTAACAGACAGACAGGGCTAGATCGACTCGCCTGGTCACGCTGATCAAGAATATATATACTTTTTACATGTTCAGCTCCCGCAAACCTAATATACTCTTGTACATTTCATAAACAGAGTATAACAATTGTGCGTGTACTTTAAGTGAAATTTTAGTTTCTTGCACAAAGATAAGAGGCAAGCGGATATGGAATGCGGGCGATAAGAAAATTGGTTTGAGGAGTGTAGAAACTTACATGCGTCAGTGTGGAGATGCGATTTGTAAGCGAGTCGACTTCAGCTAGGGCATCGTTTTCGTTTTCTTTTATAAACTTTGAGAACTTGCTATCAATATCGTCTTTGTTGTAACCTATATGTTTAAATTATAATAATCAGAAAAACTTGTCCCATCATAACGCATTGCGCATTACCCAGTAGATTTAAAAGCTCCTCTTTGGGATTCACATCAAAGTTTGCCTTAATAAAGTACCAGATATAGCGTCCATGCTGATCAGCCGTTTGATCAGCACGATGTCGGCAATAATCGGCATAGTTGGCCTCAGCCAGCGAACGTTCCAGGGCATTAGCACGCTCCACTAGACTTGGTTCTGTGGTGAGCTGTGAAATTTTGACTGTTTTGGAGTTTCTATCAAAGCTGACCAACTTTCCGCCAAACTGCGTATTACAAGTCATTAAGCATATGTTAAAATTTTTATTTTTTAAACATACTTACGCCGAATGACACGCCACATGGTTGCTTCATCCACTTGGGTGCACGTACTAGATCGTGGTAGACCACTTGAGTAGCTTGTTGTGAGAGCGGAACTTGTGATAACTGATCCATGCCAGGGAATGAATCAGCGATCTTATTGGCCGTTTGCACTACTTGTTGGGTTCCGCCGTTAAGAGAGTAAATGGACACAGCACCTTCTAAGCTGGCGCTGGCGATAAGTGACGGATTGCGTGGACAGAATTGTACATCGGAATACCAAGAGGCGGTGGTGGCTACTTCTGACAGTATTTCACCTTCAGGTATATCCGTATTGGGATTCCAGCAGTAGATCCGATTATCTTTGCCGCACGACACCATCAAATCTGTGTCCTCCAGACACCATGACATGCCAAGCACACCCCTATGATGAATTTGATAGGTCTTGGCCGGGGCAGTAGCATATCGAAGGTCCCACAGCTGTACAACAGGTGCCTGATCGTCTTCGGAGGCCAGCCAGACCTGTGTGGCCGCTTCGGGATGCCATTGTATGGAATGCCACCGCACACGTGATTGGGTGTCCGACAGCTTGATGATTTGCTGACTCTTTCGCAAATCCCAGATAACACACCGCGTGCTGAACACCGACGCCAAAATGTGCTGCACCTGACGATTCCAGGCCACATTCTTCACATCCTCCAGGGGTTGCGTTTTGGCCCCGGGATTCATATGTGTGGCCGGGTTGTTCAAATCCCATATGTAAATTTCAGATTCTGAAGCACATGAGGCCAGCAAATTATTTTGGAATGGATTAAAGTCCAATCCGCTCACAGCTCCTGTGTGCTTATCTTGTCGCGCCAGCAACGGTTCCTCATTGGCCAGAAGTTTAGCTGCTGAGTATATATTGATGTGACCTGCCTCACAGCCACCCACAATGAGGCCATTGGGATGCGTGGCATTTAGGCCAAGTGGGCTCCAAATCACTTTTTGGAATCTGAGTTCAAGATTTATGAAATACTTATCACAGAATTAAAATTGCATAATTCCTACTTATATTGGCTGGGCACGGCCGCCTTCAATTCCAAATCGTAGCTTGCATCTTTAAAATTGGGCGAGTATATTTCCAACGCAGAGTTCACATTAGAATCAAATTGCTGAGCAGCTGTGCCGGCCGCCAAGTAAATTGGTTGCTGCTGTGCCGGGGACCAGGCGATGTTCACAGTCTTCTGTAATTCCTTGATTTTCATCGTGCAAATCGTTCTCTACTGTAATGTAAATGAATTTTATAACACATATGCATGTGTTGCTTCGAAATGGTGTCACATCCAATTGGAGTGCGCCCCGTCATCACTTTTAGCTGCCTGGCTTCGTAGCGCCCGCAAAAACGTTAAGTGATATTTTCTTGAGCAACGAAACTACGGTTAACTTTTCTAGTACTCACCGTCAAATGTAGATAAAATGCACAATATAATAAATTGATTTTGAAAACTGTGTATAAGTTTAATTGGCTGGCTTACAACTTTTCTAATAGATGTGTAGTTCAGAGCTGATGGCAACACCAGAACTGACGGCAACAGGAATGCAATGAGTTGGCAATAAATCGATTACGGAAAATCGAACTAGTTCGTGTCCACCTCTTGATGCAAGTAATTTAAATTGATCAATCTTTAAAGTATTTTTATTTAGATAAATAGTTATAATAGTATTGTTTATCCAATTACTTTTTTGATGATATAGCGGTAACACGTTCTTCGACCTTAGCTACCTTCTTATTTATAGTCTCCAGATTTTGTGCAAATGTTTCTTGCACAGAATGCAAAAGTTCTTTATTATTGACCAAACTAGTAGTAATGGTACTTTGTTTCTGCTCGATTTCCGCAATTATTTTCGCAAAATTGTTTGCTGTAACCGAAAAAATAAAAAATCGTATGTTTAAATTCGAAATACCATTTTGGATTTTTGCTTACCATATTTGTGTAGCGCCTCAAGGGCTTGCATGCGCTCAATGACATGTGGTAATATTTCAGCTACCGGTTCGGTGCGCTTCGCCAGGTCATACAGCTCAATAATCTTCTGATCACGCTTGGCATCCTGGGCACTGCCGCTGGACTTCTCCGCAATGGCGTCCATTTTACTAGCCAAAGTGGTAAGGCGTTGCTCAATTGTGTCCAATTTGTCTGGCTGCAGCAATGCCGCTTTTGTGCTAAGTTGACGTACTGCTTCCAAAACGTTTCCAGTATTCGTAAGCGTGGTTAGCCGACTGAGTTTTTCCGGTTGTGCACCCACTGCCTTCTCCAGTTGATATAGCCGTTGTTCAAGACTGGCAACACGTGCAGTAGATGCTAAGTCCGCGCCTGGTGCTGGAATGGCTGTCAGAACCCCAGATTGTTTAAATTCCTCAACCTGGCTAATAAGAGCTTTGACCTGTTTATCGTTGGGAACCTGTTCTTTACCCAGCACTTGCTCTAGCTTCAGAGTATCCAATACTTTCTTGGCCGTGGTGATGACAGTTGCCACAGCATCGTAGGACTGCTTCTCTTCGTCGGCAATTTTACGATCTACTTGAAATGCCGCAACCTCGTTGAGTAATTCGTTCATTTCGATTTGCAAGCGTTTGCATTTCTGCACGGGTGTTTCTTTTTCACCTACACCCACTAGCTCGTAATCGCCTCCGCGAACATCGTATCCTCGACATACACGGCTTCCAATGCGATCGCTAAAGTCCACACTGCCCTCAAGCGTGGCGCCACGGAAACGTTGATGGGCAGCGCTCGGGGAGATGTGCAAACGCTCGATGGCATCATTTTCAGGTTCTTCCTCATAATAATCGGATGTGTCAATCTCCGGGTCATCAGGAGATTCATAGATATCGGGTTGGTCATAAGCCTACGATAGAGAGAAGATAATTGCATCTTTATGATTGAACAAATTTTATCTCAAAACATACGATTCCGGGTAAATTTTGAAACTTTGGATCGGCCATTATTAAGGGCACTGTTGCAGCTTGAATTTGAGTGCGTTGTGAACGTTATACTTTAAGCCCCAACAATTTTTACAGTCAAATTAGCTTTTTACCAATTATGTTTGCAAATTGTTGCAAGTGACCTCATAGACACTAAAGATGGTAAAAAAAAACGTGATGTTTACGTTCCTCTGTTATTTCACCCAGGTAACGTAGTAGTGATTTCACCATTGACTGTCAATTTAAGCAATGTTAAAAATTTGTTGATTGGGTTCATATTTGTTATTTATGAATTCAAATTGAAAATAAATTGTCATTTAAATCTTTATTATACGTTTATAATTGAATAATTCATTCATAATTCAATCTACCGTGCACTATGCAAAAATATTCTCTTCTTTAAGGGATTATTGAGTACTCGTTACAAGCTAATAGTTATACAAAACTGATCACCTCTAGTAGGCACAGTGGGTGGTGGAGAAGAGTTTGAAGGTGCATTTGCACTGCATTTTAATCGTTGAAAAAACTTACCATATAGAGCATCGTTTTAATTTCATACAATAGTATGTCGACGTTATTATACACGAGCCATTGTTATGATGAGCTGCCGCTAGAAGTAAGTTCGTAATTGTAAGCAATTGAACGTGACAGACAACTACTATCTGATGGATACGAATTCGAGTCAGCTGACCTGTGCCTTTGATTCTCGCACGCATATAGATAATTCTGCGCATATACAGTTATTTGGGCTACTCTGATTTGCAATCCGCCGGATCCACCTGCAGACGTTGGCATGCAGCGTTGGATCAGACGGAGTTTAATTCACGGACCCGCATCCGCTTTGCAAAAGTTGTACTTTCGGATCAATATGGACCCGCTGTTGATTTCCTGAAATGCGAACGCCATTTCCGCCATTTTGTGTTCGAAGATGTTACTCTTGGCCAGGTGCAGAAATTCATAACACACATAGGAAGCACTGCACACTCGCTAACGCTGGACAATGTAGATTTGAATGACAAACAGTTCTATGGCGTTCTGTGTTTAATGCCTCACTTACGTGAATTATCCGTAGCTCGCTGTTCCCCGCTTTTCATGTCTGGCACTTTTTTGGATGGCACTGTGTGCAATTTGAGTGAATTAGCTACCCGGTTAGTCTGCGTACGGGAGCTGACACTTTGCGAAAATCAGTATTTAACAGATGCAATATTGTTGCGCTTGACGTCATTAATGCCGAGACTAGAGGTTTTTAACATGTCTGGGTGCCACATAGCATTTCACAATGCCATACATCGGCGCTTCTATCCGAATGATGGTTGTAGTACTCCCAGTGAATCGGTACTTACGTTTAAATACGTTTTAAAAGTTCTTACGGAGCATCGTAAGCATTTGCGCGAGTTGGACTTCAGTCACACACTCATTGGACAGGCGTTGCTGGCGTTATGCGAACTCGATTCTGAGGGTAATCCTGGTGTCCAACTACAATGCCTTTATTTGGCTGGTTGCCGACAGTTAAACGCTGCCACTGCCAAGATTTTTCTCGCCACACAATCTCAGTTGAGTGTCTTGGACTTGTCGGCGACTTTGTGTCTAAACGATGACTCCTTAGCCTCCATTGTGCAGTTCAATCCGCAGCTACAGAAACTCAAGATTAACGCATGTTCAGCGGTGACAAACACCGGGGCTTCCCAGCTGCATCGTTTAAGTCGGTTGCGTCACCTGGACCTCTCCAATTGTGATAGTATCACTAGTAACGGCATTATAGAGGGAGTGGCACGCGAAGAGAATCTTGTGCTGGAGGAGCTTGACGTATCGTATTTGCAAATCTGTGAGGAATGCATCAATGCAATAGCTTCTAATTTGCGTGCCTTGCGTTCCCTCCACCTGAGTCACTGTGTCAATGGGGTTACCGACAAGGCAGTTCAGTGCATTATTAGTAAATTACGTTGGCTGCGTGAGTTATCTCTGGAAAGCTGCTGTCTGGTGAGTTAGTCTTTCAGGACATGCATAGACTTGCTTAATGAGTATTAATAATTTTCAACTTCAGCTGACAGACGCTGCATTGACAGGCATTAATTTGGCCAAACTAGAGCTTAATCGCTCCAACTCACAGACATCCTCGTTGGACAATTTTTATCCACCGATCAGTCACACATTGGCTGAACGCGATAGATTTGCCGGCTCGTTGCAATCCATAAAAATATCCCTGCGTAGCAAGGCTGAAGAGGAAATTGTGCGTGATGCCAAGCGTAAACAGGCCATGTTTGCCGCTTACGAGATGAATCTAATTAACGATGAGGATTTTGAGGGTCACAACATTCAACAGCTGCGTGGTCTGCGGTCACTAAACCTCCGCGGCTGCAACAAGATAAGCGATGTTTCTCTGAAATATGGTCTAAAGCATGTGGAACTGCGACGCCTCCTGCTCTCTAATTGTCAGCAAATATCGTTGCTGGGCATGGAACAATTGGTGAACAATTGCCCCTCTATAGAGGAACTAGATCTTTCGGATTGCTACAATATCAATGATAAGACCATACAAGTTGTTTCGAGTAAACTTCAACGATTGCGTGCCCTGCATATTAGTGGCTGCAGTCAGTTGACGGACCACACTCTCGATGCCATTTTGGTAAACTGTACATGTCTGCAAACGCTCTCCGTCTATCGGTGTCGCCGCATGTATACGGACATTGAAGACCGTTTGTCAGGCGTGCGGACGTTGCGCAACCTAAATATGGACAATGTAGCAAGCATTGATAATGCCGAGTTCTTTCGCTTAAAGAAACGACTAGATTACTGATATTTCGCTGCAATTTTTGTTGTGTTTATACTTTATTATTTTCAATTGTACAATTTTCGCTAGTCAGCCAGATAGTACGAATAGAAAACAGTGCTATGTTCAGCTAGAGGCTTCTTTATTTGTTTATAAGTTTTATTTAACCATAGCAGAGACGGTCCCGCTTTTATTGACATTTTAATACATATACATATGTACATACACACTTTTAATGTGCATACATAAGCGAGGAATTACATAGGTCCTACATGCACACTGACATACATATAGTTGTATGTAGCTGTTAGATAGAAAATCGAACGAAAATGTAGCTGTGATGTTCTTAAAAAAACTATATTTTAGGTGTACGTGTACTATATTAATCATGTGATTTTTGTTGTTGGGTTATTTTATATTTATGTTGTTACATGTTTAACTTTCTATAAAAAAATGTATTGTACTCAAAAACCATATATCAAATAGTGTTCAATGTGTGTGCACCTACAAAATAATATTGAATGGATAACAATAAAATGCGTTAAAAACAATTCGTAGCCATTTAAAATAACTGGGACTGGGTTTGTAATTAATTAGATTGGTCGAATTGGCCAAATGAGAATAAAAGTATTTTGAAACGTACGATTTCGAAATGAATATTTGATGATAGTAAAAAATACATACATTTGCTTTAGGTAAAAATAAATCGCTTTATTTAAAATCAAATTCATTGTCATATTAAGTACAATTCGGCATACATACATATATAGTTAGGTGTACGTACATATATATGTATGTTTGTGTAAATATACATACTAAAATTACGTTTAAAAAATTGACTAGGAAAACGTCAAGATAATTAAAAATGTATAAGCACTTGATGCTGGCACTTGATGATTATCGATGTTTTCAAAACTGCCCAAAGACCGATCTATTAAAAAATGCTTGCCTGACCGGCCTAGCCTCCACCACCGCCGCCAGATAGCTCGTCTTCATATTGCTTACGGAAGCAATCACCAACCGGGAAGAAGTCCCAGCTACGCTGCTGATACATATTCCAAACATACGTTTCTTGGCCGGTATACTCTGTGTCCGGCTTATTAATCAAATGCATCAGGAAGAACATATAATTGGCCAAATTGTGCTCCTTCTGTACATGCGTATCAAATCCATGCGGTACTATATCGAAAAAGTCTTTTCCCATGCCGCAAATAAAGCAATTCGATTCCATGTTATCCTTCACCGATTCCAGTTGATCACGCAGCTCACCGAAAGCGTCAATAATCAAACCTTGAATAATGGCCAGCAGGATAATAATAACGAAGAAGAAGAATGTGATGTCAAAGATGATGCGATAGACCTCGTAGTCATCTCCATCCGGATCGCCAATTTCATCGCCAATGCCGCCGCCTGCCCGCACACCTTTGTACAAATGGAATACGAAGCACGTCAACATGTCATGGCACTTTTTGTCGACTTCCTCGTCCTCCTCTTGTATGTAGAACTTCCGGAAGAAGTTGAAAGCAATAACCGTGTATATGTATACTATAATTGTGAGCAGCATGACCGTCAGAACTAGTTGTTTGCCGTTGTGTGTCACAGACTGGAGGATGGTGCGCAGGGTTTTGAAGCCAACGGCAACATCGAGTAAGTGGGCGGCAAAGAAGAAGTTATTGAAGTTGCCCATCACAGAGAAGGAGAAGTACCAGAGCGAGTAGAGGAAAGCGTTGTCCGTGAATGTAACGCCTGCCTTCCACACCTGATAGCGCCAATCAATGTTCATTATGTACTTTAATATGCCCGTCTCTTCGCTTTCTTGTGCCGTGAAGGCACTCTTCTCCATGCCCAACAGATTTGAGATGGAGTCAAAGTCATAGGTTTCGCTATACTTTTGGCGCACCTTCTTCTTAACAAACTTGTCCCAATAGTTGACGGGAAAACTTTTGGCCGATATGACAAGTTTATCCCAATGCGATTTAAAGTCATCATCTTCTGGCTGCTCCGCAATAAAGAGACCATCGAATTCCAAACGACGTGCAATTTCTTTCTCGCGTTTGAATATCGCTAATGGAACCTTTAGATGATAGTATGCAATCAGCATGGCTAAAGAGACAAGAGAATGCAACAAAGCGGCAATGCGTATAACGTGTGCCATATAGAAGAAGTCCTCATCGACATGCACCAGTTCCGGAATATCATCCTCGTCCATTTCACCATCGCCGGAGCCGCCATCACCAGAGCCGCCTAGGCCAGAGCCTGCAACATCAGCGCCACCACCAGAGCCAGATCCCAATATCAATTCCTCCTCGCCAGAGCTTTCGCCTTCCTCCGCCAATGAGGTTACCTTGTAAAAGAGCAGCATGAAATTTATGCTGAAGGCTAGGACTAAAGCCACATATTTTAGGTTGTAAAAGTTTCGGGCTAAGAAACTGACGGCGCGATGTGTGTACTGGGAGAAGTCAATCTGGTTGACAGCAGGTGTTTCTTGTGGTGCTGCCGACGATTTCTTGGCCTCCGCTTCAATCGAAGCCATAGCTGCCTCTTGAGCCTTTTGTGCCTCTTGACGCTCTTGGGCTGCCTTCTTTGCTGCTTCTCCTCCGAGCATATCGACTATTGATACGGGCTCCTGATGTGGTTCTCCTTCAATGAGCTCACCAGAAGCAGCAGCGGCGTCCTCTGGACTAGATTCAGCTTCCTCCATGGATGAATTAGCACTGCCAGCCGGTGATTCATGAACGACCACCTTATACATGCCATTCTCCTCTTTGGTCATGTCTAGACCAAATGCTTGAACAGTGCCTGGCGGTTCTTCCAGAGGCAGCGGTGGTAGTGCTCGTCCAAATGTTTCCTCCTCTACAACGGGCTCCTCCTCCTGTTCTGGTGCTGGACCGCGCATGAGATTCAACAGTATTCCAAAGATGTAGCGCACTACACAGAAGTGCGCATAGCCAGTATAGTAGAACATATAGAATATAATTTTAAAGAACCCTATTATGAGTTCGGGTACAGATTTGGTTTGCATAACTCCTATCTGATGCTTTATGTTCGATGGACTGAGCATATGAACGCCGAATTTCAGACCCTCCTTAACGGCGGTTATTGTGCGTCTAATGGGATCCCGGGCAGCACGTTCCTCCTCTTCTTCACTCATATAAGAACTGTAGGCAGTATCACGCTTAACATTGCTACCACCATCGTCAGTGGCCATTAGGCCCGAAGCATGTGTCATTTCAAAAATGGCATCCTCGCAGAAATTGACAAAGGCCTCAAGTTTCTCCTTATCACCTTCGGTCACAATGGAATAGAAGAAAGCACGTTTCGATTCGCGAATCTGAGGTTTCTCCCATTGCTCAATGTTTGAGTCCTTGATCTCGAAGTAAACACGTTCGATGCGTTTCGAGCTACCCAGAATTTCAATGCGTCCAAGGAACGGCTCGAAATAGTTGAGCACCGAGCCAGCGGTTTCCAGGAAACGTGCCAAGCGCGGCTCATTAGGCATATGCTCACTCAAATTGGTAAGAAGAACGGCCAAGTTGAAACCGATCTCCTTTGATGGCTCATGGAAACGGTCCACAAAGGCGCCGTAATCAATTTTGCCTTCATGATTGCGTTCGCAACAAGCCAAAAGGAAATCCATTTCTTCCCTATAAAGGAAAAGTAACAAATCAACTCATTTGTGTTATTGTAGTACAAGTATACATACGGTGTGTAGTTCTTGGATTGCTCCATTTTGTCTCTGAAATCTTTGGGCGTAACCCAGCCCTCATTTTTAATGTCGATTTCATGGAAGCTTGGAGACTCAACAAGATCGGCCAGTTTCAGGAACATGTCGAAGTACTTCAGGATTAGTTCCACATTGCTTGCAGATTCCACTAGAGTATCAACCATTTGCTTGCCAATGGTTCCTGTGGAACACAATTTTTAAGATTTGCTGGGAACTAATTATTTTTTTTGGACTTACCGTTGACGACATTGCCCTCCAGCATGGATAACATCATGGTAATCATGTCCTTTTGCAAATTTAATAGCTCCTTCAACAAATCCACCTGGCTCGAGTGTTTTGAAAGCTTATCTTGCATATGCGAAAACAGGAAAAGAAAGCCTCCTACGGCATCCCATAATCTGGAATGAGCCAATGCCTGTTGATTCAGTGTACATGGACCCTGTATGACCTCAGTAAGTGTGTTAAAGACTTGACTAGCCACGCCAATGGCCTTGAAAAAGTTTGCTTTGCCAGCGGGATCTATGATCTCTTTGCTGGAGTAATGCCAATAAAAGTCCATTATAGATTCCTGTAGTCGCAGCAAATAGTCCACAGTACAGATGACCACATTGACTGTGGTGGTATTTCCGGCCTGGGTTCGCAAATAGTTCTGCCATTCTGAGCGGGGAACAAAGCTCTTCTGATTAAGTTTATACAATTTTATGTGGGTATCGCTTACCCAGATTGTGACCTTCACAGGTTAGTTGGATGAATCGGAACAGAGCACACGTGAACTCGGCATCGTGCATATTCTTCTCACCCGCTGCGCCTTCGGAGCCAACACCCAGACCTGCACCCGCACTTGGAATATACTCTTTGTTGTGTTGTTGCAAAATTGTTTTTGATTTTGACAACGATAGCAGGAAACAAGTAGATACGGGATGGCATACGGATGGTGATGGCATGCGGGTGTGTGTATTTTAGGGGGAGTAGTTGGATGGAAAGACAAATCAAGATATGAACTTAAAATAAGGCGTGAAGTGGTCGCGGTCGTGGTGGCATGGCAACATAAAGTTAAAAAGGCCCAGAAATTATAAGCAGGACACACATGGTTTCTTCGTATTACACTATTCTGTCTAGACATGCCCACTTACCCTCTGCTTTGGTGTTACGTTCGAACGCATCCAAGTCAAGTACGCTGCACGAGTTCATGAGTCCGGCAATCGATGTAAAGAAACCCACGTCCTTTTTCTCCTTTAAATGGTTCAACATTCCCATTTGAATGTCAATATTACCGCCCCGTAATATGGCAATGCCCAAATTGAGTGTTGTCATTACCATCTCCGAAGGTATACCTTTGGAGGCGGAAATGTGCAACAGCACCATTTCAGCAACGCCACGATTGGAGAGACGGGCTTGATGGAAAAGTAGCTTCTGTTTCTCCATTTCTTGTTCCTAATGGGAAGAGGCTATTATATTACATGTCTCCCTTTTTTTTAGCGGCCTAGTAGCTTAGGTTACATATTGTTACATTACCTTCAAATTTATACTCGTATTAGTACGATTACTTTGAATGGATAATTAATGAATCATTTATTTCGACGAGGGCGAAATTTGAGTCAATTTTTACTATCGTATAATCCTTACTTTTAGAGAAATAATTAAAAAATATTTCAAAAACCACATGCTATACATTTAAATTTTTGTTGTTTTTTTAGTAAGACAACCGCCTAATACAGGGCAAATGTATTTTTCTTACGGTTTGTTGAGTCAAGAAATAAAATTTCTAAAGATGTGTTCGTATTCATTTTGTACCAAAAATGCGGGAGTTCATTTCATACATTTACATTTATTTATAATTAGCAAGTGTGGCTTTCTACCTCTACTTGATACCTGATGGAATAACTTAGAAATGTATTGTTTCTATTTACCATTAACTTAGAGATACGACACTTGATTTTAAATATGGGTAAGCATGTTAGAATCGAGAGTGATTAATAAGTTTATTATTATGATTTTTAATTGTTGGCCACCCGCACTTACGTGAATGCTGGTGCCCTCGCCCTCTTCGCCACCCTCACCACCCTCCTCATCACCACCTTCCTCCTCTTCCTCGCCACAAGACTTGGCTGCAATTTGTGCATAGGACATGTACAGCAAATCCTCTTGTAGAGCACCACTACGCTCCGTCATTGCACCGCGACAGAATGTGGTGACCAGTTGAGTCAAAGGATCGGATTTTCCTTCGGTTTCCTCCTCATCCTTCTTGGACTTTTCAGATTCCTCGAATGTTTGCGTTAGATCCTCAATCATTATCTCCTGGCCAACATTTTCCTCCTGCAGCCACTGCTCATAGTAGCTGCGTGCAAATATGTTGCAAGCACGATGTCTGCGAAACATATTTTACGGGATCAGTCATTTGTTATCCATAATAAGGAGTGCGAAACTAACGCAACAGTTGAAGCTGTTGACAACATGCGATTAGACTGTTGAGTTAGTTTTGTTACACACCAAAAAGAACGACGGGTAAGGAATCAATTAAATTAAAAGCTATAAGTTGATAAATATTATGTGTGTTTCTTGTTTTCTCTTATTTAGAGTTTTGAACGGGTGTGTCTTTTCATTATTTTACTGGAATGGACTACCACCTGCTCATGCGATATAGATGCTTGGCGCGTAAGCTTGATATAACTGCCTGGCGACGTGCCACCGAAATTTTAGAGCCCCAGCGTTTGGCCCTGTTCTTGGCGCCGGCTGCCTACATGGAGCGAACGAGCGAGCGAGCGAGCGAACGAGTATGGAAGCAAGCAAGAGCATAAAAATATACAATAATATAGATGGTATTTTAATGGTTTTAGTAGTGCTACATTTACCCATTACTTATATGGATGTTAGTATGTTGATCTTTTTAGTAGATTATTTAATTAATTAATGAAAATAAACTGGACGAAAGAAGTTAGGGATATGAGTGTGTAAAATATTAGCTCAAATAAACAGAACACGTCTGAGTCTTTCTGTCTATTTTCGAACATATAAGTAAGTATGTTATTCTTCGGGTAAAAACCTGGGTAGAGAATGTAGAGATGTTTGACGGAAACATGCGATTACGGCACGCTTCCTCTGTATCGACACAACGCTCCTGTAGACATTTTTGCTTTGCTGTTGTGGATGGTCGATCTGTAATTGTTGGGTTCATAGATGTTGGTCAGCGTTCAGTCAAAAATCGTAGGAATGACAGATTGTGATGTAGTATTGTAGTACGTTGGATGTGGCGATAATGTTTTAAAAAAGGAAAAGAAAAATTAAAATGCGCATAGTTATAAAATAGTAAATTTTCAATTGATGTAGAGAGTTTTTCTATGATGTAATTTGGTATCATATTTTCAAAGAGATTATATTCCAATAGGTGAGCATTACTGAACAGTTACAATAGTAGTATAATTATATCGTATTCAAATATTTCTTTATCTTAGTCTAGATTGTAACTAAGTTGTATGATTGAGTATACGACTGTAAGTATGAGATTGGCATGATAAGTTCTTTTAAAAAAATTAAACGAAATTATATGTACATGGTTCTGGAACTTATCATATCACCCTCGCACGTAATTGTTTCTTGTATTGTGGCAGACCATACTTACCATATGTAAGCCGAAAAGGACTTTGGCCATAGCAACAATGCGATCAACAGTCTCCTGCGTCTTGTCTTTCCCCTTTTCGTTCGAATTGACGCTGGCTTTCTCCAAAGCCAAGTCCGGCACAGGCTCTTCGGTTTTGCCAAGCTTTGAGTATAGATAATGCTGCCAGGACATTTCATCGGATGGATCTAGCTTATCTGGCAATGTTAACTGATTTCTTGCAAACTCTATGACGTCATATTCGGGCATTTTTTTGAGATACCGATCCTTGCAATGCTGCACCAGTTCCTGCTCTCGACCCGCAAACAAATTCAGGCCAACAGGCAGTAAGCGTTTCAAGCAGGCAACCATAAGACTGGCCTGTACCTCCTTGTCCTTATCACGTTTCTTATCGCGATTCTTCTTTTTCTTCTTCACTTTACCACCCACCACCGGTACGCCTTCCGTGATGGCCGAGCGGCGCGTCGCTGTTGGCATTATCAATGCCATATTATCTATTTCATTGGCAGATATAAAGTTCTGCTCTTCCTTCAAGAAATATTGACTCTTGGACCAAATATTAAATATTTCGGCAACGTGATTGTACAGCTCTTCCGCCTCTGGTATATTGTCCTTGAGCCAGTGATTACGCTGCAAGTCCACGTACTTGATCAACAAGGGATAGAAGGAATAAATGTCGCGAACAAGCAAATTCCAATCCTCCTGCAGTTGGGTCTCCACCTGCGATGTATCGTCGGTGGCCGATTTGATGAAGCCTCTCATGCTTTCCTCCTTGTGCATCATGTTATCGGTGCGTTTCTTAACGCGCTCGGCCAGCGGCAAAAATGGATCCTTGAGCAGCTCTTCAGAGGTATTAATAATAATTTGTTGGGTGCAAGCCGCAATACGTGTCATCCAGGGAGCATTGTCGTTGCCAATGTTCTTCTTAATCATTTTCAGAACATTGCGCAGCAATGAGTTCATGTGATCTGCAGTCACCATTGTCACATGGTTGCCACTGGTGGGACTGACGTTATCGGGCCCCTGAGACCACCAGAACGGAAGATAGGCGCATAGCAAGGGCAATATAACATCAATAATGTGAGGTGCGTCGTTATACGTTTTTTCTGACTCAACGAATTGATCGACTTCGCTCAGTATGGTCTCCAAATTCGGCATGCAACTTTCCATTTTTACCATAATGTCTTGCGCCTCGAGCGAATGGTCGGCAATACGATTCAGTAGAGAATACTGATTATGCTTGTTTAGATGCGGCTCTAGAAAGGCTACAGGAAAGCAACTGCTGTAAGCGCCTAGGCATGAGCCCAATGCTGGTCGGTGACGTTCAATTTCCGTTTTCAGATACTTTCGTTCGTGGGTTAAGGTTGCGTCCGTCCCCAGATGATAGAGAGCAGCAAGTATTTTGTATGATGCCACCTGAATTTCGTCTAGCAATAAATCGCTTCCATAATCGCAAGAAGCCAAATGATCAAACATGGCCGTCAGCACCGGCAGCACCACCTGATTGACATAGCCCAGAGATGTCGAGGTTTTTAAATGGGTGCCACGTAAGTGACTGTACTTTCCATCTTGCAAGTTCAATATTGTATTACCTAAGTCATCAGATGTTTGATTAAAGAACGTCAACATCGATGTGCGTATAAATTCTGGACAATTTTTGGTTAGTGTCCTGGCGTCGATGCCTTTGACGAGCACCTGTAAGCAACGTACGGTTATACGCACATCAGGTCCAAAGGCACTCAGACGGTTACGTAATAGGGCTGCTAATTTGCAAAATATGGAAGCCACCATTTCTTTTTCCTTTAATGAGGCTGCGCCTATGTTGTTCGTAGCCGTGGCAATGGCTATGAAGTAATTGCGATGTGTGGAGAAATATTTTTCCATGAGTGGCAGTACCACTTTAGAGAAGAACTTAATATCACGGGAAGCGGTTTTGAATGAGGTGCGACGGCTGAAGGTGGTCGAAGGCTTAAGCAACTTCATGTTAATCGTAGCTCGATCCAGATATTGTATGAGTTTTTCAAGCAACGAATACGAGAATCGCAGCTCAACGGCAGCTTGTGTGGCGCCACCCTCTTCAACGGCACCACCTTTGGATGGTCTACAAATGTATAATTTAATAAATATGTATGCTCTATGTATTTCCATTTTATACTCACTTGTGCAACTTGTATCCCTGATACTGCATGTATTTCAAGAACTCCTGTGAGCGCTCGCGATCCTTCTTTTTCTCCTTATCAGTTAGCAGATCATATGGAACCAGTTGGGGATGTATGACACCGCCACATCCATTAAGTTCCTCGTTCTTTTTCTTCGCCCAAATGTCGTGAGAATTTTCTGCCAAACGTTCAGCCATATTTTGCATCTCCCTGCTCAGCGTCAGATTGCTCATATCGACGGGATGAGGGTTATAGTTGAATGGATTGCCCTCGTTCTGAAAATCATTCTATTTGATTTAAGGCAAGCGGCGAGTGGGAAATGGATTTGATTTGGAAAGGTTTTTGCAAGTATTTTGGCCAATTGTTTTAATGGGCGTTTCCATCAGTCATTGAAAGAAATGAACAAGAATTTTTAGCATAGTTTGAAATATTCGAAAGGTTAGCTGAACGAAAGGACATGTACGTACAATTTGAGGCTTCGACTGACGACGTGTAGATCCTCGATGATTTAGTGGCACATCCATTTCCTGGTGCTCCACTGTCCAACCAATTGCTAGCAGTCCCTTGAGGCACTCACGAACTGGATCACGATAGCGCTCGCGTTCCTATTCATAGATAAAAATTAATCTCGTGGAAATATTTTAATTACCTAACCGGTAAGTTGGCTGATCACAAAAACTGTGCGAGCGATCTGGAACCTAAAACATGTATATTAACTACGTACATATTCACTGAGCATATTGCAGGGCTTCAAGCGTGGATGTTTACGATCGTTATCGGACCGTATTTCACCATATGTCCAGCCACCTTCCAAGCGACGACTGGCCCAAGCATCATGGTAATGTTCACTAAACTTATGCACTAGGGAATTTAGATCATTATCCAAATGAACATTAGTCGTATCGATGGGGCAGGGCACATATTGTGGCTGATCTGGTGCGCCCATTTGCCTGCCATAATAATCCTCGTCTGTGTTCTTGGATAAACTGTAATCGGGTGGCAATGCACAGCCGATTGCAATGAGGCACGGAAGTGCCTTACCGAACAGCTCCGGGTCATAGTCCATGTTGCTGAGCGAGTCAAAAATGTTAGAGAACAAAAGCATTGTAAGACGTTTTTCTTCGTCTGACGATGCTCCATATGAGCCTTGGCCTTGCGTCGAGCCATAGTACTTTGCGCAGCGATCGAAGTGAAGTGTGAGCAACTGCAGGGGGAGGTAAAACAAATGCTTGAGAGCCCCGAAAGAAAAGAAACCCCTTTGCACTTACCCTGAGCGCTACCGTCGTGTACTCTGATAGCTTAGAAACATCAACAGTCAACTTGCGCAATAGTTTTAATAACATGGCAGGTTGCATTTGTGATGTTAGCGCCACTAAGAAATCGGATACAGCTTCACGTTGACCCTTGGTGAGCATACGGTTCTTGGATAACCTATAGACCGTGTGCAGCGTAGCATCCAAGAGACTAGCATAGTTTTCGGCCTCGTTATAAAATTTAGAGTGCTTAATCAATAAAGGCAATATGGAGTTGCCGATGTAGCGATTCATAGCCAGGGCCATATCGCTCTCAGACCCATCACTCTTGTCCAATATAGTCGCTGTGCGTAAATCAGGCAAAAATGCATCTTCCAGCAGGCGATAAAACAGATCCTGCGTTTCAATGCCATACACACGTTCCAAAAAGAGCACAATACTCTGCTTATTATTTGGCAATAGGCCCGAGGGCATATCCGATTTCGGCTTCTCCTCGCCAGGCGCCGTTTGTGTAAGTGTAAATTTTAAACTGAGCACACCCTGAAGGTCTTCCAGTGGCACCAGAGATCTCAAAATAGCTCTAGCTCTCAAAGATTCGTTTTTACCCTGCTCGATGACAGTAGCATCCGGAGCACATCTGCCCAAAAGATCCACAAGTGTACAATAGAAGTTTAGAATGGCAGCGCCCGTATCAATATAATCCTCATCCTCTTCACCTTCGGGTAGAGGATGTGTAAAATTCAGGCCGACTATAGTGCCCTCGGCTTCGTCTTGCATCTTACAACGATCTGAGATACGCTCTGACATGCGGTTGGCCTCAACGATTGCACGGAAGAGACCTTCCCCTTCTCCTCTTAGAGCCGGTCCCAAGCATTCTGGACGACGGATAAGAAGACGAATGACAAGGTTGGCATTCTCTTCGACACTCTCGCCGTTAACCCAAACGCAATAGCGCAAAAAGTCCAAATAACGTTCACCCTCAACAGGATCCCAACCCAAGTCAGGATAACCCTTTTCTACAAGTTCAGAATTGCTTTGAAGACCGCAGCGTGATAGATAAACAGCAATTTTTTCCAGGTAGTGCTCCCTAAGTGCCAGAGCTAATTCTGTGTTCTCCATCAAGCTCGAATATGCCACATCGAGCGGAGTAGAGCCACGCAGACTGGGCCGAGCCAATAATATATTAGCGTTGTCCAGTAGAAAATCGAAGTGATCAAACATGGCCTTCTGATTCTGCCGGCCTGTGCGGCAGAAGTAGCAGAGGAAACGACAACAGGCCACAACCATTTCGTGTGATGTGTCTTTCTCCTTCGAAGGTATACCTTCAGCTCCCTCTGTTTGAGTGGGTGCATCACTTTGGGCTTGGGCACGACGACCCAGCGTGTTCATCATGACAGCCATGACGTTTTCATGTATGCGCAATATGCGTATTAGGTCTGGGTGTTGGAAGAATGTGGCATTATTAACCAGCTTCCAGAGTCTTTTGCGCATCAATTCTTCTTCCTCTTGGCTCATTTGCACAGGCAATAGAGCTCGTATTTGACTCAATCCCACCCACATTTCTGCAACATCATCTCGGGCACGATTGTTGATCACATAGGTCTTCTCGAGGGCGCGCGCTAATTCACCTACAGTATCATATTGTCTCACTAACAGACTGAACATTTCACGCACTAATTTCGGATTTTCAATTTGTGTTTCTTCAGCCCAGCTGACAATGGTTTTGATCAAAACCTTGCGGAAAACTTCTTCGGGTGTTTTTTTCTCAGGCTCCTCCACTTCTTTGGGTCCTTCCTCCAGTTCCTTGACGGTATTAATAAAATTATATATTTTTGTTATGGGACCCGTCTTAACCTCTTCGACCGCAGTACTTTCGACTCCATCTGGCTCTTGTAGTGCATTCAGCGACACCTTTTGCATAAGGCTATCGTGGAAATCGCCCAAGCGACTGCGTAGCTCAAGACCACACGTACAATTATCTTGATCATCAGCTTCAAGATTCTTAAAGCATAGAATCTGATTCATTTGTTCTCTAGGCGGACAACGGAATTCTTTTGTCTTTTTGGCCGCAACAGCACTTGGCAAATCGGACTGTTTGATCTCGATATAACGACGCAACTGATCGGTTTGAAGATCACCTACAAAATCATGGGAGAACGCAATTATGCTCTCGACACGATGACGTAGCTGTGTATCGTAGAGATGGTGTAAGAGATAACACATTTGCAGTTTAGCTCCCTCGGCCATTTTCATGGTTAACAGACCCTTACGGTGTTCATCTTTGCCATCTACAAAAAGAAAACAATTTAAATTTAGTTTTAAAATTTCATCTTTATTATTGATTATGTATTTTTTACCTCTTTCGAATGTCGTATCCCAAGTTTCTGGGTCCACCATAACTAAAAGCTTTTGTACGTCTTCGTCAGTGAGCACACCAACCAGAAGCAAACGATCCGTTAGTTTAATGAGAGGCCTAAAGTAATGGTTAATTAAATGTGACTGAGCTGTAACCAAGAATATTTTACTTACAAAAATAAATTCTCATTGGTCCAACCGATGGGATCGCGATTATGCACCTGATTGATTTCCACGGCATCTTTTAAAGCCTCCATTACGAATTCCCTGACTACTTCTAATGGGAACTTCGGGGAGTACAATTGGTCGATGTCGGGTATTGGTTCACTGGAAACACTTGGCATACTAGATGTTGCAATCACAGGGGGTCTGAACGGGTGGTGTTGTTGTTTTGGTTGTTGTTGTTGTGGTGTGGCATACAGTGCGGATCAGTGTTGGAACAGTGCAGGCAGGTATTGCGATTGAAAGTATTTGAAATAAAATGCGAAATGAACGTATTGAGAACTAGGGTGGCAATGGCGTGCTACCAAATGTGTGAAAAATGTGTGTTGTATGCAATAAATATGAACGTTGCACCTTAAGTGTGTCGAAATATTTATATAATGAAGGGAGTTTGAAACGAAATTGTCGGTGATAAAGGCACTTACGTGATCTCTGTCATGCGCAGCTGAGGACGTACAGACTCTGTGACGAGCGAGCGCAAAGAGTGTCGCATCTCCTCCTCGGCATATAATTCCTTCAGCTCGGTACCTAAAGGTGTAATATACTCATTCTTACAAACTTCCATTGTAGTGGCATGTGATTCAAGATGCAGGGCTATGAGTAAGTCATAGAAACCCTGGCGCAGAGGACCGCTCATATATTCCGAACGTATGGCATAGAGTAGCTGTTTCTGATCAACATGTTGGCAAAGCGCATGCGCAGCACGGTAATTGGACTGATAACAGAGCGCAGCATAGAGTGTAAGAGTGTGCGCATGAAACGAGAGTAGTTTATCCATCTCAATAAGCTCTAAAATATCAATGCAACGATCCTCCTCGGGTATGTGCAAAGCCAGCATAGAGACCGGATCTTCACAGAGCATTGACCAACCGCGAATATCGGATAGTTTGAGCGCATGAACCTGTAGCGAGGTGTTGGGAACACGTGCCCACTGATGTGGACGAAGGCACTGTACCTTCAGACGTGGAGGCGACTGTGGGTTGATATGCTTGTCACTGGTAGGAAGAACAGCAGCTGACAGTGGCAATGTGGTAGGAGTCCGTCCTAGTTCAATTTGTAGAATTTCTTTGCTAGTAGCTTCAACGAAAATGGCTGGAAACAGTTTTGAATCCGGTTCCATCATCCAGCGATGTGAGGTATCTTTACCCTCGCATGTAAAGCGAATAATGCCAGTGGCCGTGTCCACAAAACAACCCACAAACATTCCCTGAGACGCTCCCTTACCAGAGGCATCTTGAGTGACCTCATTAAACAGTTCATCCGCGCGCACCACGTAACAGCTCTGACGATCGATCCGCTCTATTGGTACTTCATATTCATCCTCAATGTAGACCGAGCCGCGGCGAACTTTATTTTTGTTAAACTCATGACTATGCAGGTGATATTGTGTGGTTACCCAGCCCACGTACACGTGGGTAGGATCTTGACCAGGGAAAATGCGCACTCCATAGAAGTATTCGTTTATGAGTTTGAGGCATTCGGCATCAAACATTTCATCGCCCGAAGACTCGACGGGTGGCTGACCCAAATTTTGAGCACTTAGCTGCTTTGGACCCTGCTGTACAGGACTGGGTGGTATCTCAGCCTAATATGGATGAAATTCTTTTAGTCGTAATCACTTACATAAAGTATATTCTACTCACATTGTTTAGGCGCAATGTTGGCGTTCTGGTTGTCATTTGCTGGTTAACAACATTTCTACCATGTGCAACAGTATTTCTGCGTTCCAATGGCACATCCATAGTCCTAGTGGACATTTTTTCGCGGCTTTGGTCACGAGACTTCTTTGAGAAGAACTTAAATGGACTGCGACCGCGTTTCTTTTTATCATCTATCTCTTCGCCCAAACCGTTCATATCAAGCACAGATGATGAGCGTTGCATTTCATCCAAGGCAGCTGTCATATCTGTTTCAAATGTTATGTTGCGCGTCAAGGAACCCTTACGTGGCGGTCTTGAAGGTCCTCGCAGCGTATGCTCGGCTTCTGGATCAGCATGATCGTCGTAAGTACGCGTTAATCCTTTGATGTCATTCATATTAAAGCCGCTCTTCAGCATGTGATCCATATGAGCTGCGGTCTGTGCTTGCTGCTGTGCTGCTGCTTCTTGCGCCTCACGCATCAGGCGATATTGGCGAATTTTGACGTCTTCCCAACGCCGGGCCTTCTCCTGCTCGCTTATAAACTCACTCATGCAGGTTACGGGCAAGGAAAGGCGTAGGAACTCCCAGTTAGCCTTTTCCATTGTCTCGAAAGTATTGTGGGAGATTTTGAGGTGAGGCGGTGTGTCGGCGCCGCCAGGAATGCGTGTGACATCAATACGACAGTCCGGCATTTCCTCTGTGTTTTCAAAAATAGGCTGATCTTTGGTATACCAATGTGTAACCGGTCGACGCATATTGCTGAAGAAAAAATACAAACTGAAAAAAGACTTTTGATTTTTTTTTTAATTAAACTTACACACAGAACGGTTCGTAGCCCTCTTGCAAGCCACAGCTGGTGAAAAACTTAAGAGAGTCAACATCCTGACCATAAATAAGACGCGCCTTTTGACCCACGCCTAAGGTGCAGGCGGGTACAAAGCCGACGCCCTCGGCAGTAACATCCGCAAATGTTGTCTCTCCTCCCAGGGCATCCATAAGCAGTTCACCGTTCAATGAGAAGCCTATTTAGGGTGGAATTAATTCCATAAGATAACTGTTAATGTGAAATTCGTCCTTCTACTCTTCTTCTCTAATGAGACTTGTGCATGTTAGTTGCAATATTTGAAAAAGTTGTAAGTAACTAAGTATAATTTGCCTTGCAGTTACTGAATTAATTTCGTATGGTTGATCAAAAGCAAGCCATGTTGTTATATCATACATATGTTTGATTACAAGTATATATATATGTATCTATATATATCACCCAGATTAAGGTGTAAGCTGTCATGCCAAATATTATCTTATTAGTGTTTGAAATTAATTCCAGGCAGTAATTAAAAAGCATTTTGAATGAGCTGATGTGTTGTCACCTTCCTCTAAGGTAGTCGAGTCCTCTTGCAATGCTAGGCGACAGTTGGGCAGTTAGTTAGTTTTGTTAAAGTAACATAAATAGTAGTTAGAGCATGGGATTTGCTTCGGGTAGTAAAGGGCGGAAACACTACAAAAGCTGCTATTGTTAACATTCAAAAAATATGCAGCAGGTTGTATAAAAATGTTTCTTATTTCAAAGCTTCTACTAAAATTGGTACATTATGCAAAATACAAGTATGTACATACAGTACTTGTAGTACAAAAAATTGTTTGTGTGAATTTAGATGTAGGAAGATATGTAAATTGGTAGCTGTGGTCGATAAAAACGATATAAAAATGACCAAAAATTGTTAATAAATCTATGACCTGTTAAATTTTGATTTCCTTTATAAGCAATTGGTGCTATTCATACTTAGCTATGGTATCGCAGTGGGGGACCTTAAGATTTTAATTTTCATTCCTCGACATTTAGTAGATATCAAAAGCACGGATGTACATTTTATTTTGGGGGTTTTTTTGTACAACAAAAATAAATGTTTTTTTTTATAAAATTCTTACTAATTGTGTGATCGGCTAGATCTAAAAAGACGCCGACAATATCACCGGGTCCACATTGTTTACCAAAAGATTCACTGTTGCCACCATAGACTTTCTCTTCCTAAAAATTTGAATTTCATTTTAAACGTTACAGCCACAATATTGTGATAATTAACTAGCGATGTCTCTGCATATTTGTTGTTGTTAATGAAAAAAAATATATGTACTAGTGTTGCTAAATGAACAAAAAATGAATTAGAAACCAAGAGAGTTGACAAGAAGAGTTAAAGTTTTTAAAACGAAATGCGTTCGATCAAAACGAAGGGTTTAATAAATCAATCAACGTTTTGGTAGTGCGTCTCGAGTCCTTACTGATGGTTTGCTCCTTAGCATCGATGAAACAACCAATGACGTCACCAGCTTCATAGCGCACACCAAAGTGCTCAATGGATCCGGCATGCATTTTTGTTACCTATAATCATTTGGGGTTTGAATGGAGGTTTCTCATTAAAGCCTATCTAATGCACTTATCGGGAGTTACATGAGTTAACCTTAAGCCCTTGCTTATAGTAAATACATTGTACAGCTCTGTTTTTGCCTTTGCGCCCAGTACTTACATTGTGGCCATCAAAAGCCCAGCTGGTATCCTCGCTACCCAGCATTGCCCCAGGATAACAATCAGCTCGCGCCCAGCCTACCCGCATGGGCCCTGATGTTAGCACCTCAAATTCGAAATACCATTTGCCAGAGGTGACTGCATAGTTTCGTTCTACACGGTACGTTCTGAATGCAGCGAATTTTAGCCGCTGGGCCTCAGCTAGCAGAGCTTCCGTGCCTTCGCCGGTTGGCGGATCCAAAATATAGCCATAGACTAACAAGGTGCGCACAGTTTCTGATGCGGTATCACGATTTGCCTTCTTAATGGCCTCGTCGACTTTGGAGTAGGGCACCAAATGGGGGCTGCGATGATTTTCAGAGTCCTCGTTAAGGCCATACGTCCAGCCCTGTTGAATACGTTCCCGAGCCCACAAGTTGTGCGTATTTTCGGCCAACTGATCCACCAGCTCCTCAAGCTTTGGTGTTAGTGTGACCGCGCTTAGGTCGAGCGGTGCCGGCTTGTAGCCATTGCCCTGCATGAAGATCTCATTTGGCAAACGCACCGGACGAATGCGTGCTGGTGGCTTATCCATGGTTATATAATAGCCCAAGGATATGATCGTTCTGAAAAGCATAGTAGATGATTAGTTGGCATTTAAGTGCTATCTTGTGATCATTTACTTTAAAGTCTGCACCGCCAATTGATTGTCATAGCGTTTTTCAGCAGCAGGTAGCTTTTCAAAATGAGTTAGACATGGATGGATGCGTTGATAGTCATCACGATGCTCGCCCCAGGCCCATCCAGCCTCAATTTTATTTAGCGCCCACATTTCGTGTATGTTCTCAGCTAGTTTTTCCTTGATTTGGTCCACTGAACTTGGCAACGTTACTCCCGTTGTATCGACGGGATTGGGCACAAAAGCTGTGTCATCCTCAATGAGCCAGGGACCAGCAAGTACATTCTTGTTTAAATTTCCAAAATAAAAGCAAGGATCTAAACTTAAAATCTGATGAGGCATTAGGCATTGCACGAGGGGTGAGAAGCCCATAGGCGGAGAAAACTTTAAGCGTCCATGGTCGCCGCCGAAGAGAAAACGACAACTTAATTTCGACGAGCAACTCATTACTGGAAAGAACATGCCATCCAGGTTAAAATCCCGAAAACATCCGCGCACTCTGCCGCCATTGAAGGTGAATGTGATTACAGGTACTGACAAATCTATTGCCACGCCTACAACATCACCTTTTCTAATGAACGGTTCCTCAGGGAGTGAATTTGCTACTAAAGTTTTACGTCCACCCGTCCACAAATAGGCGCCATCAAATCCGAATGAATAGAGATCGTCGCCAACACCATTACCACCCCATTTTTTGCCGCCACCGGGATACGGTACGTATCCGGAAGTGTTGGCCCAACCAATGCGCAGGTGTGGCATCATGTGTGTTGTTTGCTCAATGTGATCCATTGTTACCTCAAAGTACCATTTCTGGTACATTGATGATCCTTCAACGCGTCCCACAAAGATATTTGGGCGAATGCTTGCCACATGATCAACCAGCAATGTTTGGAGCAGCAAATTTTTGCCGGGTAACAAAAAGTCACATATGTTGTTTTGCGAAGATCGAACTGCAACGCCGTTACCCACGCACAGGGAACAAAGTACGTCCAGAACCTTAGGATCACGTCCATGTTTTTCTAGCAGTGATATGATCACTTTGATGTGCTCATCTCGCATCATGTTCAGTGCCTCTGGCGAATCGATCAGGACACAATGTAATACGTCTAGCATGCCGGAACCTTCACTGGAAGCTTGTGATCCAAGACGCGAAAACAACCAGTTCAAGCGATTGCTATTCGCAAACTGAGCACAATTTGTGTGATTGCCTTTGATAATGGCCGCCAAAAGTTGATATAGGTAGGTGGAGATGAGATCCCAGCTCTGGCCGGTCTCATCACCAGCCAGAAAACTAGCCAGAAAGCCTTGGGAAGTAATTATGTTTATTTTGTCAATGGCTTCCAATATGAGATTAAGGACGCCCTCCTCTTGAAACAAATCCTGTCTATTGCGCAAGGCACGAAAACGGTTTTGTTTTTCTTCGTGTTCTGAGTGGAAAGTGGAGTAGCAATATTGAATTTTTGTTTAATAGTAAAAGTAACACCTTCTACTTACCCATGTCGTCTTCTGGCTGAGAGAAATAGTTGATTAAATCTTCGAGGCACATGACCATCTCGTTGAGATTAACTTTTTGAAAGAATATGGAGTGCCTGCGATTTGATTGCAATGTCTCCAATGCACTGAGGAACAGAGTATAATTAGAATTAAAAATTAGAAAATAATAATTATGACAAATATTAGGCACGTACGTTATAAACTGTGTGAATAGGCTGCTGCATTTGCGAATAACTCGAGCTGTTTTTGACTCTTCCTCCTGGGATCGCGAAAAGTCCAAGCAATCGTCCATTTTACCCTCCTCGTGCAATATGGCTTGCTTCTCTTCAACCTTGCCCACACCCTTCTTTTTCGTCTCGTAGCTCTTGTAACTGAGCCATAAACTAGACTCGCAGTGCTGGACGATGACCGTGGTGTCACCATACTTAATGATTGGGGAACCAATTACTTCTAAGTCTTTGTCCTCGAGCACTTTCTTCTCGTCGTCTTTTTCCTGCCGTAGGCAGAAAGTCGTCGTGGCAATAGAAGCCTCCTCTTTCTTCACCAATATTAATTCGTTATTATCGTTAACGCCCAAATAGCGTCCCGTTGTGATGTGACGTATCCGCATAGGGTGGTACCAATTGATGAATCCGCCTGTCCATTTCGTTCGCGCCAACTCCAAGCGCCATAGGGATCGCGCTTGTGCCATGACCACACCGCCTTCATAAACCACAATACTGTTTAGGTTGACCAAAGTAAAAAAAAATGATTAACTCAGTCAAGATGACACGTACATATTGTAGATAGAGACTTACTTTTGACCTGCTTCACGGCCCCATGTACTAGGTATAGTAAGACATTCATCACCGCCGTGAAAGAAACGCAGTACATCACCACCAAAGACATATCCCACATACTTCATGCGGGATATGCCTGTACCGTAGGGTTGCACAGACCAGTGGGTGACATGGAAACTGGCATTGACAATCGATTGTTCGTTCTCCTTGGTCGTGTGCAGATAACGCTCCGTGGCCACCGAAACCAGAATCAAATCATCACCGACGCGCACCTTCTCACCCTCCGAACGTTGTTTACTAGCTGGATGAACGGTCCACCAACAGGCCTCGCCCTGGCTGTGTTCCTGAAGACCCACATCGAATGACAACTTATCGTTCGACGACGACGTAGACAGGCAAGCCAAGTACTGTAAAAAGTTAAAAGCTTAGTGGGAGAGTTTCAATTTCATATGGGATATGGCTTACCATGTCGCTATTGTGGTGCCTCAATAATATGGCGTTACCATACAGAAGAGTTCTATGGCCGGATCCAGTACCTTTACCCTAAAGCAATTATTTTAAGTTAGTATTGATTATAAGATAGTGGGACTAGCTGACTTCAATCTACTTGACTACGGTGTGAGGGCTTATTGTGGGAATGTAAAAATTGCTCGTTACAGAAAAGGTATTGTAAGTATTTATTTAGTTGTTGGGATTAGGCGAGAATCAGCGTCTCGTTTATGGTACAAGTTTCGACTGTATATGGGAATTCAATAGTTAGTGGTTAGAAATTTCAGTAAAAACTGTTATTTTACAAGGTTATTTTCACAGTAAGTTTCGTAAAATGTTTGCTTGGTGAAAATGTTATTAAGTCTCTCACTTCACTGTTTGACCCAGCGAAGATCAGAAAGCGGAAATGCAGAAAATACTCGTATATCGAGAATCCAGCTTATTTTCATTATACATAAATACAAATGGTTATGTCTAGTTTGTAGACCATTTAGAATTAGCTGGTGAATCGTTCTCTAAAAGTACGTTGCAAATGATTGAAGCGCAATCGGATTACATAACAACTGATACAGAAATAATTTTTGAGATAGTAGAACGAAAGTGCGTTTGAATATAAGAAGTTTTCTGTATACTTACAACTTGACTATCCTGTTGTGTTCAGGTTTTACGTATAAAATTTTGAAAGATACCGGAAAATTTATGGATTACAAAGTGTAGAGAAGAAGATGTAAAGATGTTGAAAACATGCACAAAAGCATTTTATATGTAAGTAGTATGATGTGTATAATTTTTGTATATGTGTGTGTTTGTTTGTGAATACAATATTTTTGTATATATATATATGTACATATATACCAAATTTGAGTACACACGTGTTATCAGGTGGAATGATTCTTTTATTTGGTCGGAAAGTGGAACATTGGGAACATTGCAAGTATAGCGCACATCATAAGAGAAAATGTAGAAAGAAATATAAAGTGGACGTGAATATGATACATACAAAAAATACATACATAACAAGTATGAAGGAATTTTACTTTCATTGAATATGCCCTATTTACTGAGTATGTGTGAGCGGATTGTAAGCGGATTGCTTTAAGCCAATAACTTACTGTCTCTGATCCAGCTGCTGTGACTAACTCCTGGAGGGCACGCACCGACAGGGCTTGCTCAATTACGAACACACACTGTGCCAAGTCTGGCGGCACATTTTTATCGGCTATATTCTCTAGGAAACAATGTCGATTGCCAAATCCTTCGGCGGCCAAGCATACACGTTCGCCAGTGGCTGTGCAGGACAGTGTGACCATATCTTCCTGTGAATAGAGAAAATTAAAAAAAAATCCGGAATTACTAATACCAAAAAATCCGGAATTTTCAATACCAAACCCCAGCAAAAGAATTGATAAATTTGGATTGGGTTTGATCTAAGCATTCTTAAGAAGATTTCGTATTTAAGATTTCAGTATTATTCCAATAGAATAAATTTAGTATTTTGTGACTTTCAAAATTAATAAATATAGCAAATTAGATATTTAAGGACTTTTTTGATCATGCCAATAAGCTTTAAGCAAATGCGACATGGCGGTACGCTTAATTAATCAACGAAATTGCTGTGATATATAACGTTGAGAATATATACCTATATAAGTATATGTGTACATACTATATATGGGAATGAAAACGAATTTTTATTGTGTTAATAGGCTTAACTTATAATTCTTTACTAGCCCTATATTTGGTGCTAAGGTTGATTTTGGGGGCAAAGAAGTTGTTTTTGCGGCCACCAGTTGGCTGATTTCATCGAAACCTGAGGCAATATTTAAATGCGAATAATATTACCAAAATTAAATGTGGTTTTTTCAGAAAATGCTGTCCTAATTACTTTCAGTTCTGAACTGTCGAAACAAAATTATTTTGAGAAGCATCCGAATTCTTTTTAGAAAATTAACCAGACTTGGCTTTCAACCTACAGGAGTTCCCATTAGAAAAATTATATATTTTTCTCTCTGTTTGCAAGCCTCTTTTTTTTCGCCGCCGTTTATATTCATCAAGATTTCAATAATTTTAAAGTATGTACACATATGTACATACGGGTATACAAAAATTCATCATTTATGTAAGAAAACAATTGTTAAATTTTACACTCTCGATGTCGCACAGGCCCAACTTTGTATTAGGTTCACGATCACAAGTCTTCTTATTTTTTGCAGTTTTTTTTATACCCTGTACCCGTAGGGTAAACAGGGTGTATTGGGTTTGTGCAAAGTATTTAACATACAGAAGGAAACATCTCCGGCCCCATAAATTATATACAAGTATATTCTGAATCAGCATGACGAGAGAAATCGATCTAGACATGTCCGTCTGTCCGTCTGTCCGTCTGTATGAGCGCAAGGATCTCAGAAGGTACAAGAGCTAGAATAACGAAACTCGGTATCCAGATTCCCATGTCTGTATGCCAAGTTTCATAATGATAAGGCAATTCTGAAGAAAGTTATAGCCATAAATAAAATTGCTGCCCATGCTCTGCTTGTAGCCGGCAGCGCTGCACGCAGCTGTTGTTGTTGTTGCTGCTTGGGTTCAACTTTGTGCTGCATACATACACGCATTTAAGCACGCAGAGACACGATTCTGATGTAAATGTATGCTGTTAAAACTGTACATGAACATGTCTTCAATTTAATTAAATAATTCAATTAATATACTTTTTTTAATTATTTAAAAAAATTGTTTTTTCATTTTTTCCTTTTTGGTGGGAGGTAAAGGGTATTTAAGAGTTGAGCTTGCTCGACTTTAGCATTCTTTTCTTGTTCTTAATAAATATCTTATTTAAATTAAATTTCTATTTTTATTTCATTGAAAATGTATGCAGGTTTCCTCACGATGTTGTTCCTTCACCGAAAAGTTAGCGAATAGATGATGAATGCATGAATTATGTTTTATGGATGAATGTAAAGTCTCCAATACGCATTGAGCTAGCGTGGGGACTACAGACCATTCCCTCTTGCCTAAGAGAGGAGGCCTATGGCCATTAGTGGGACATATACAACGTGTAATTGAGTACGCTGAAAATCTCGAATTTTATTAAAATTGAACTGAGTACAACGTGACGATTTTTACTGAGAGGACCCCATCAAAAGAATTTGCCACGGGCCCCAGGTGGTATAGTTACGCCACTGGTAGTTGCTCTGGTTTTTCATCGAACGGTTGGGAAATATACGAAATTAATCAGCTGTAAGCTCAATTAATAATTTAATTAACTCATTTGTACATTAAAACAAGAGAAACGCTACAGTCGAGCAAGCCCGACAGTGGAATACCCTGTACCCAGGTAAAGAGCGAACTTGTTGGTGCAGTTTGAGGGGGTTGTACTGGCGGAAATTTGTTTTGCTAATAACTTTTCTTAGAATTGAATTGGATAATATTTTAAACAACAGTAGATAATTATATATAAATTATGTGTGCGAAGTTTGGTTTAGGTTGAATTTGAAATGTGGACGCTATTGACGAAATTCTGTAGCGGTGGAAGGGGAGGGGGGGGGGGGAATTCCAAAAAATAAAATAAAATCGTACTTTTTCGGACCTAGGAGAATCTGGATGCCAACTTTGGTTATTCTAGCTTTTATAGTTTCTGAGATCCTTGCGTTCATCCAGACGGACGGACGGACGGACGGACGGACGGACGGACATGTCTAGATCGATTTCTCTCGTCGTGCTGATTCAGAATATATATACTTTATGGGGTCGGAGATGCTTCCTTCTGCATGTTACATACTTTGCACAAACCTAATATACCATTTTTACTCTACGGGTACAGGGTATAAAAACAATACCTATACGTATAGTATATAGAACTTAGTATAAATGTATAATTTCAATATTCTTTGTGATAAAAGATCTTCGGTGACAAATCTTGATTGACTGGATCTACCTCTGATATCATTGGGATGGTAGTAATGCGTATATTCAGCACATAATAAGTTTACAGAGTTCGAAAAATCATTGGACGCATTTTTCATGTAACAACAGCAATTTCTAGACGACAATTAAATGCTCTTGAGTCCAAAGCATGTTTAAAGTTTAATGGCAGATGCGCAACCTTCAAGTTACCACAGTACGAATTGGCAATTGGCACCCCACATCGACCAATACATTCACCCCCCTATACCTACACCTATATCTGCATTCAGCTGGAGTCAAGTATCAACCAAAGCAGGGCACACATGCACACACATACACGTATAGGAGTGTGTATGCAAAATCGTTGTATGGGGAAATAAGAGCCATGAACTGCACTGAATGTGCAAATGAATGGGTGGACGGTGTAATGGTGAGGGCATACCTGAGAACGATTTTTAGGTTGGCGGATGAAGGTGGCGGATGAAGGTGGCGGACGGCGTGCAGACCCCTTGTAATTGTGGCCAGCATTGCTGTTGTGTGTAGTTGAAGTTAAATGAACGGTAATGGATTTCGAATCGAACAATTTGCATAATTTAAATGCGTACGAATTGCCGAGTCCTGACGCAGCAGTGCCAGCAATGTCGTCTACATGCTTGGGTAGCCCAAACTGTTTAAAAATTAAAGTCAACCACAAATGCACACACACACTCACTTACAAAATACATATGTATGTATGCACATTGTGTGCATGTGTGTGTGTGTGTGTGTATGTGTAAAGCAATGTTCAATGAATCAATTTGCATTTGACTTCATTTTGATAAACGTTTTGCAAACTTGCATTTTCACATTCGCATTTGCTGCCACTTGGCTTTTATATGGTCTCGACTTAGGCTTACTGGTTACTGGGAACAATTCCAATTTTACAGAATGATGACGTAATGAAAGTTAGATTAGATTCGCCACAGAGCTATCAAACATTTATAAGTATAAGTGCTGGCTTACACACTACAATTGCAAATGCTTCAGTATTGCACAAATATAATGTTACTAACCGACTGGACGACTTCTTATGTTTAGTATATCATATATATACATAAGTATAGGACACTTTAAGTCGTAATCCCTTAGTGCTTCTATTTTTAGTAAAACGTGGCAGTTAAGGCTGCAAATTTAAAAGAATTGCCTCTTTATTTGTCTCGATAAACGTAATTTGACGTGTGACGACCAAAATGGAATACAAGGAAAGCGTTCCCAAGACACCGCTGTCGGTGAACTGCGCCGCTAACGTCTCCCGCAGGAAGGGAACAAGTTAAGATACACAATATACAGAAAGGAGCAACCCAAGCATGCTGCTTTTGCCATTTTTAGTTGTGCTCTGCACAGTGTCTTAAATATGATATTTGTAATCTCAAATTCTTACAGCTAGTTCAGCTGTGGCCATACCAGCAAATAATTTGAACACAAATTTGCGAACTACATTAAACCTAATTCTGTTTTTACACGGTAGATTGGTTCCAGAAAAAGTCGTGTGAAAAAAAACTTGTAAAAATGTTAAATCAAAACCGTTTAAAATTATAATTTTATTATTCAATTATCTGCGTGTCTGTTCATAAAATTAGTCTGAATACAATTTTTTAGGTCTATTGACATCAACTTCGATTTCTTACATTCATTGATTAGGCATATGCCATACGAGTATATAGTACGTCAATTCGATTGATATAGAAACAATCATAGCAATATTAATTAAAATCAATGTATATAAGTCTGTTTGTATATATTTTGGAAGCTTTATTAGCCTATGCTGTTTTATAAAATGTAGCATTCAAATTTTTTTTAAGTTTTAAATATTTTTAAAATCTTTTTAAAATGAATATGGTATATTTTGTGATTTTTTTGTGCATTTAGTTAAAGGATGTGCTAACAAGTAGGAGTCGTTTGATAAAAGCTTACTATTTTTATACCTATTAGATTTTCTTGAACAAGAAAAAAAGGTCAAGTCAGAGAAATACAAACATACATGATATTGAATCACAGTACGGTAACTGCTGTTGGATGCTTGAACTATTGCCTACCGTTCTACTATTTTTATTGAATTTTCGTTGTGGTCACACACAAGGCAACCAAGCTGGTATACGACTGACTGGACGGCTGAACGACTGGTTGCCTGGGTGGTTTGCCGGGCCAGCTAGCTGGCCTGCGGGTAAGCAAACTGATTTCGCTGTAAGAGATACAGAGAAGATATGAGAGCCTTTCTGAGTCTCCATATCAACATGTTTTGTGTGTGTAAGTATATTTTACGCGTAGAAGGGACTCTGTTCGTATCTAGGATGGCGTGCAATGTGCGTGTCGCCAAGCAACACGCTTCGCTCTTCTTCTAAGCATATTTATTTATTGCGTCAAGGTGCTGACCTCGACGCCCAGGAGGTTGTAGTAGCCAGAAGGTTGCCAACTATTCATTTATACATGTATAATGGCTGTCATTTTGCACAACAGCTGTGGGCATTGATATATTGTTGCATTTGTCAGCTGATATGTTCATCAGGAATCTGGTGGCTGTGGCAGCTGAGTCACCAGCAGCGGCTATTTATCGTATATCTCAAATGAATTCGTATAAATCTGGCCTTAACTTAAAATCGTGCTGCGTACTTGGGCCGTGTGATTGAATTTGTGACACGACTTTTGTGTTTTATTTGCAGCCATAAACTGATGGGAGAGGTGGGGCGCCTATAAATATGCAATACATATTACTTTTATGGACACTCTCACCCACTCACGCCTTTGTCTTCCCAGTTTCTTGCCCTTTTCCTGTTTGAGTGCGTCTCTGTGTGTGTTTTATGACACCAATTGTGTGAAATCCCCGTTATATTTTATCGAGTGTACGTAATTGATTTTAGATGATTTTGTTTAACGTCTTCACGACATCAGCACGCCAAGAGCAGAAAAGTTGCGGCAATGTGCATGATTGAATTGCGCCTGTCGGGAGTGACTATATACTTTGCTTCTCATCTGGGTCAACATGTAGAATAAATGGGCTTTTGTCATATTCAGATCACTCTTCATCATATTTGATGCAACAGCTTACTCAATTCTTAAAAAAACATTCGCCTGCTTAAATCTTTAAGGTAAAATAAATAAATTTTTATTTTTTTAACTCTGTGCCCGGACGGTGAAAAGGTATCTTAGAAAGTCCAAACGGTAGATGGAGGCGTGGCAGACTCCATGTTCTAGGTATACATAGTATGATACGAATAAGGCGTCGAGCTCAACCTTTGTCATTCTGTCTCTTCACATAATTTGCAGTATTATCGGATCGGCTTTCTATGTCCTACTATGTATTTGCCAGAGGAAAATTCCTCTATTCAATCTCCCATAATCTGAAATTTCATGAAAATCGGCTACCTATATCATATAACTATCTCACGGCCGATCGGTGCAGAAAACCAAATTACTACCAAAAACGTTTTTATTTAGAAATACATCTTATGGCTTTTCATTGTTGGATGTATTTTTAAAATTTACATAGCAATTGCGTCTATGTGAGTGTATGTATGTCTATGCGCGTGCAATCATGTTTGCAGTCAACCAAAGCACCAGTATCAACAACAGCTGCGGGCCGCGCTTGGGCAGCGCTTGAGCAGCGCTTGAGCAGCAATTATATTTATGGCTATAACTTCTTGTAAAATCGGTCTATCATAATGAAACTTGGCATACAGACATATAATCATTAATTGGGGGTATTTCCAAAATTTGAGTTTGAAATTCAAAGAATTACGGGAGTTACAGAAAATCACGATTTGATGAGGAGCGGGGGGTGGAAGGGAATTCCAAAAAACAAATTTTCTGCGTATTCACATAAGGCATCTTGGACTTTAAATTTGATAACCCTAGGTCTTATAGTCTCCGAGATATGGGCGATTATACGAGCTGCGTTGTGGAAAAAGGCAACTTTGTGCAAAATTTGGTGTTTCTAGCTCTTATAGTCTCTGAGATCCAGGTGTTCATACGGACGGACAGACGGACGGACAGACAGACAGGGCTAGATCGACTCGTCTCGTCATGCTGATCAAGAATATATATACTTTGTGGGGTCTGCCACGCCTCCTTCTGCCTGTTACATTTTCAGCTCCCGCAAACCTAATAAAAAGTTTCAAATTATCAAATTTCACATGTCGATGTCGCAACTCTACCAACTTTATTGTACTAAAGTATTAAGTGCGTAGTACTTAGTACTAAAGTACTAAAGTAACTCTTTGCCTATTCTCGGTATTATTATGGCGACAACATTTCATAGGTATTGGGATAAATTGTAAATTAAACCCTGAAAGCTTTTGATGTTTCCACTGAATAATTTATTTTAGCCATCACTTTAAAATGTCGTTAAAACTAATTGCATTTTCTTTTATTATTATTTATGAGATAATTTATTTTCGTTTTCACTTACCGTACGCAGGAATGAAACATCATCCTGCTCGGAGCCACCTTCCGCCTCAGCCATTTTGTTTGGTAACGCACCGAGCGCAGCGTCCAAACAAAATTAAAATTGCGTTGAGCGTTGAATTTTTGTTATTTTTGTTTGGTTTTCCCCTTTTAATTCAATGTCATTCGCAATCCTCTTTCCTTCGTTGTTGAAATTCAAATAAAATATAGAACTGAACTTTAACATTAATGCTCAGGTCAAAGACACATAAACATCTATATATATTCCTTTGGCATTTGGAGTGCAAAATTAATAATATTTTAAAATAAAAACAGCTTTGTATGCACGTGCCCGAAATACATCTATGAGTACCTCAGTACTTTAACACACACACGCGGCGATTTCTAGACATGCGCACACGATGCGATTGACCCGTTTTCGCGAGAGAGCGGCCCGGTTCGGAAGTTATTCGACAATGTGGTGGGCTCGTCGGTTTCATCTGGCGTTTTGTTTTGCTTGCCATATACGCACAGCTGTTCCTTGATTTCCGTATTCATTCATTCGCATTTAAAATCGGGCACTTTATGCAACATTTTTATTAATTTTCTTTTCGAACTATTCGCGTGTTTTTGGCCTTTCGTCCCCACATCACTAGCACCATTTGTTTAACATATGTATATCTTTGGAGATGTGCCAAAATTACTACGAGTTTATATTTTGTATATATAGTATAGCTTTTCAAATTTTGTATTTTCGGATTAAAAATGTTTGTGTGCCAAGAATTTGTCAAAGTCAAAAACGCTACAAAAATTAAGGTAATTTTTTTGTATATACATCCAATACTTTTGATTGGCCCATCTCTGTGAGTGTTAAAAATAAGGAATGAGGTTGATAATTCAAAGAAAATATCAAGTATTTTAAAATGTCTTTTTAAGAAATTTAAATATTTTTAAAGCATTAAAATTGGTTTTCAAATTTTTTCACAGTCTACAGATATGTATATAAAAATCCCAGTATTAAAAAGCAAAATAAAAATCAATTCTACATACGCAGAATAATTTTCATTTATTTACCATTCACGTCTCACACTCAATGGAACTTAGAAACAACAAGTTTTTGATTATATTTTCGGTGTTAAACGATGTCGAACTCTCGAATTATCTTTTCTATTCTCTATTCTAAGCAAAAACAAAAACTTTTATATTACAGGAAATTCACTTGCTTAAACAGATTTTAGTAGTCCAAAAGTCGAGAGATTTTTAGGACATTATATCTATACCTGTAATCATTCCTGCCACACTGTCTAATTCACAACCGTAATTTCTGATATTAGTAGTAGTAGTTTCCTTGGGGTCGGAGGCACCTTAGCATAATGTGATGTTACTTTTAATTTGCTCGACTTTTTCTGAAGCCTTTTATTATTATTTATATTATTTTTGTTTCTTTTATGTATGCCTTAAGTAATAGATAAATATAAACCATAATTTCTAGCGTAATAAGAGCTTTTTATTTTGTATATCAGGTGTTCTGGAACTATTTTGATTTCTATAATAATTAATTGAATATATAGTAGATGCAGATGGGAAATGCAGCGTTACAAGTATATTCCGATTATAATTGGTTTCCACTGGGTTTCTTCTGTGTTAATTATAGAATTATTTGTTGCGGCCGCACTGCACGCGTACATTATTTAGACTTGTTTGGCTTAAGCCGGGTAAGAGATTTGATTTGGCGACTCTATGTCTGGAATCTTAAAATGACGTGAACAGACGCTCTCACTGCGGGCATCGGTAATCCGAGGGTCCGATGGCACGCAGTGAACGCAGCGCTTCAGTCAGACACCAATGGCGCTGCCACCATCGTCGACAAAGAGCCGTCGTCAACCGGCACCGCGAAACACACTCACATAACATTTTACGTTTCTCTTGGGGCTTATACTTTTTTCTAAATATCTGTGCAGCACCCGATAGGTGTTTATTTTTGGGTTGATGCCGCACGAACGCGTCCGAAGTACGTACGAAGAGCCTACACATGTCCAAAAATATCACCGCTATGGCCTGGGCAGCGCACAAAACTAGCACAGTTTAAGAATTTTTCGAATATAATTTTTTTCTTTTTCAAATACTGTGGAATTTTGTAATAATTTGCACTTTTTACGTAATTCTCACAGATTCTAATACACGGAGGAGCTGGTATTTACACAGAAAAAGCCTTTTGCCGAAACCACGCATGGATTTTTCACGTTTTCCATGAATTTTTGTACATATAGTATATATGTGTATATAATCTATACTCGATTGTGGGCCACAATTGGGACGCACGGACCAGACCAGCCCAACGACGCACTTACTTTTCGTGTCGATATTACTCTCTAGACTGACAACGACCACGAACGAAGGCGCCTATGAAATCGCCGAACGCTGAGCTCGGCGGTAGCATGCAGCAGCCAACTGTCTAATATATTTGGACCACAGCGCACAGTGGTGCTATGGCAAATAAAATATTGCCTTTTGTCAATATTTCACAGAAACTGTCAGCATTTTTTGAAACATTTGTGAAGGATTTATGTTGCAAAAAAAAAAAAAAACAACTTTTAGGATACCATGGGCTAAACGGACTCATCTTACTGATCAGAAATGTATACATACTAGTATATAAAAATACATAAATAATTTTCTTTTTAAATTAAAATAATTTAAAAAAATGTATGTATGTGAAGAATATTTATAGAAATAAACAACAAATGTAGAAATGTATGCAGTACATAGTTGAGCAATATGACCTGTCTTGTCATCCTGATTAAGAATATATATACTTTGGGAGTCTCTCTTGCCTTCTTCTGTGTGTTACATACATTCGCACAAAACTGGTATACCTTTTTATGGCTACAATATTAATTAACAATGACACTGATCTGAGAAAATAAAAGCTAGATTATTTATTATTTCACTTTTACAAAAAATGTTACCTTTAGTTTTATGAAAACAATTTCTTCCCACGTAGACACACAGTTCCACAGCAGCATATACTATGTATTTTTGCTAGCAACTGGCATGATGTGGAAGCTTCGTGTTCAGAGTACTTCGGTCCGCAACGACTACTTGCCTCTGGCGGGCTGTTGCTTTCAAAGAACTGTCTCTCTTTTGTTGATTTTTGGCCTGAGAAGCGCACACTCTTGGTTCAGGCATTGGGGCTATTTAAAACAGCTGTTTGGATGCTCATGGTTCGCTGTTGTCGCCATACACTATATCGTCTGCGGGAAATACCAACATGTACGCAATAATACAAAAACACAAAAACACACATTATTACTTTAAAAAGGTTTTGTGTTGTATAATTCCGAATTTATTTTTAAATTGGTTAGTCTTGACTTTTTCTTCTGAATGTGTGCCAAAAATGCAATCATTTGTCTGCTCAAATGTTGCATGTAAATGTGTAATCAAATTAGTAAAAGAAATCCATTTGTATGTATTTGTATTTCATACGTATTTGCAGTTTCTTTCATTCAACTTGAACTTGTCAGAAACAGCTAGCTAAAAATATATATACATATGTACATATGCTATATGAGTATACTAATATGTATGTGATTCTGTATGTGTGATTGCTTTCATGAATGAAAGACGAAAATGCCATGGGCGGAATGTTCAATATTTGGTTTTAGTCAGTCAGCAGTTAGCAGTCAGCAAGTTTCAAAGCAACTTCACTCAAGCAGAAGAGCTAGAGATAGTTTCTGGTAGCTGCGTTGAATATCAGAATACCAGCGAATATTTTAGTTTAGAGCAGCACAGTAAGAATCTTACAAACACGCGCACCACTAGGCGTATGTGTTATTGCGCATTTCATTACGATTCCTTCCAGGCGGATGACGTTGCTGCTCCTTGAAAAATAAACATTGCACAAACTTTGTGCACAAATTAGCCAGCATGGGTAGCGACCAAAGACGAGGACCACGAGGCACTGCAGCTCAGCGATAAAGTTTGCATGTATGAAAATCTTATATGCCTTGAAAATGAATTTCATGGAAAACAATAAACAATAAGCTGGGTGGCTTATTGGCTCTGGCCATAATTTTTGCTCAGAGCAGTTGTAGGAAGGATATTTCAAGTACGCGAGTATTTGCTATTTCTTGGGTGGCTGTCGGAACGACGGCGTGTTCTCTTTCTATGACATTGATAACGCAAAAGTCGTTGGAAATGCTCATGCATGCGCAAAACTGTAATAGACAATATACATTACGGTTTTTAATGTGATTAAATGCTGTGCATTACCATCGAGTATATTCTGCTACACCTTCAATTGAATCCAGCGCATGGTCTCATGATGCCGCTTTTACGTTAATTTGCAGTTCTCTAACATTTTAGTAGTCCCACTAAATGTACGAGTATATGTGTATGCAAGGTAGGTGTAAGACTTCTGTGATTGTCAGTTGAAAATTTCGCTAAGAAGCCATTCTTGTCGGCTGCGGTCCAGTTTTGGGGGGTTTTAGGCAAATTGCCGTGCGTGTTTTTAATGACGTTGAGAAATTATGTTGGGCGGCAGTAAAAGTTAAACTCCAATTGCTTTTAAGAAAAGTGTGTGTGTGTGTGTTTTAAATAGAAACCATAATAGCTTCGCATTTGTTGTTGCAAAGTTATGTATGTGCTTGAGGCTGCCATTATTGCAACATGTAGTAAGTTAGGCCCCGTCGTTTGCGGCTGCACAGTGCGGTTGTTTCACTCTAAATACTAACTAACTAAGCCGCTTTTATGGCGCTTTATATCATTCAATGCCATTGTACAAAAGGCAGCAGGTAAGCTTTAAATTTAGGGTTGACAGCGCAGAGGGAAGCGCCCAACCTTTGAATGTGGATTTAGTTGTTAGATCTCCTACTACAAAACTTATTTAAGCTTATTTTGTATCTTATTGTAATTGATAGTTTACTTGACCCACCTCTTTCTACTCTTCCTCTTCCTTTCTTTAACATCCTAAACCTCTACATAATTTTAAAAACTTGAAGAATCAAGTTGATGCAAAATGTATGTTTATGTTTAAGAATATTGTCTTGAAGAAGGTATATGTCACAATTCAATGTTTCAATTGATAGCAGTATTCAATTAAATTGTTACTGGAGTACATACTTTATACTAGTGAAATAGGTTATGAAAGGCTTAATGTAATATAAGTAGTAAATTGTCTTTGCGCTGGTCGTAATATAGCTCG